ATTGCTGTCGTTGCAAAATCCTCCATACCACAGATCATACGTATTTCCAATCCTTCATCCGGCTATGACTGCGCAAACCGCCGAAGGGCTCACGCCCGAACAGCTCACTTTCTTCAACGAGAACGGTTATCTACTGATACCGGATGCGCTGTCGCAAGAAACGGTCAAGCAGTTGCTGGAAGACACGAACAAGATGCTCAACGACTTTTCACTCGACGACCATCCCATGACCAAGTTCTCGACTGGTGGCGACGACGGCGCGGATCATGTTGGAGACAGCTACTTCTTGGAATCCGGCGATAAGGTACGATTCTTCTTCGAAGAGGGTACGTAACGCGTTCAGCAATCCAAAACAAGTATGCTGACATCTGAGCAGACGCCTTCGACGAGTCTGGCTCGCTGACGAAACCCAAACACCGCGCCATCAACAAGATCGGGCACTATCTTCACGAGCTGTCGCCCTCCTTCCGCAGTATGTCCCTTTCCGCCCGCAACGCCGCCATCGCTTCCTCCCTCGGCTTTCGCGACCCTCGTGTCCTGCAATCCATGGTCATCTGCAAACAGCCCGAGATAGGCGGCGCAGTGCCACCACACCAAGATAGCACCTTTTTGTACACGGATCCGCCGAGCGCGGTTGGATGGTGGTATGCGCTCGAGGATGCGACACAGGAGAATGGATGTCTGAGTTTCGCTGCTGGGAGTCATAAGCGTGCTGCCATTGAGAAGAGATTTGTAAGAACAGGAAACGGCACGGGGTTCATCGACAATGAGGGCGCCAGATTCCCCAAAAGCTTACAGCAGGAAACAAACGGCGAAAAGGAGTACGAGATGGTCGAGAAGGAGGAAAGGTACGACATGGGTGAGGTTAAGGCCGGCACTCTAGTGCTCATCCATGGTAATATCCTCCATAAATCGGAAAAGAACACTAGCAGCAAAAGCCGGAACATCTATACGTTCCACGTCATTGAAGGCGAGGAGAAGTACGACGAGAGGAACTGGTTGCAGCCACCTGAACAGGGATTTTCGAGATTGTCCAAGGGAACAGCAGCAGCGAATGGGACGGATACGAATAACAGACTCGCGAGGGACTGGTAACGACCATGTAGAATTCTAGGTAGATTGATCACGATTTGCTCTGGACGCATAATCCGATGCCGCCGAGTACAAAGGCCATGCCTATCCAGGTGTCTTTTTGTTGTTAGCCCATATCGCTTGTACAGATCAGGTCAGACAACGTACCTCGACTGATGACCTTCTTCTCTGCCCACCACTCTCCCAACACGGTGAACATGAACGCGAGAGAGTTCGTGATTGGCACCGTGAGACTCAATTCCGCCTTGCCTATCAATATGAAGAACCACACACTGCCGGTGACGTTCAACAATAGTGGTATCGCATATGCTGGCCTGCTCAAGACGCCAATTACGGCGTAGAGTACTCCCAGAACCTTCTTCTTCAGCCAGGAGTTGTTTGGATCGGTGAGGGCGGGGCGTTGGGGCGGCGTGTAGTTCCTGGGAAACGCGCATTAGCTCTGGACGCGTTCCGGACAGGCAAAAATAGACAAAAGACAGTAGATGACGAAGCTTGAGACTTACATGGCAGCTTTGCGCATGAATGGTGTTGTAAGTCCCCAGCATGCGCCAACCAGAAGGAAGCCCATGATCCAACGGAAGACTCCTGGCTGCGGCTCACTGGCGACGGGCGCGTCGGGATCCATTACACTGGTGTAAGGGGAGAATTGGGCAAGAGAATTGTGAGAACGAATACGAAAGTGTGAACGTCAATTCGATCCTTGCTGCGCTGATGCAGCCGTCATACTAGAGACCCGCGAGCTACGCATGTCCGGGGCTGACCCACAGCTGTTCGTACGACGCGCTAAACCGCCCGTGCGCACCTGGGCAAGCCTCAACACCACGCTGCCATCGTGAACGCGTTCTGCATGGCACCACCTCCATCACCACCGCGGCAACCGGCGCTGACTAGTCACTCAAGATGTACAAATCGTTTCAGAATACGATGACGAGTCTCTGCATCGGTAGTATGCCACGGATCAAACCAGACACGTGAGACTAAAGACAATGCCGTCACAATCTGTTAAGAACAAAAGCGAGGCCTAACATCGTTGTCGCACATTGAAACACTATCATTTCGATCCTATGATCAGTTTCAGATCGTTTCCAGACCTGGTGAAGTTGGAAGGTCCACGCACTGAATCTTTGCGGCCTCCAACGTGCAAGCCCCGGATTGCACATCAGATTGACTGTGCTGCAGATCTCACGTTGTTACGCTCAACTACCTTTGATCCAAGGTCCTGGTTCCTGCACTAGCTACATCCTGACCGATTGGAAATCCCCTTTCCTGCATCTGTTTTTGGCCATCGATCCACTTCTCGGAATCTGCAGACCTGATTCGAAATCGATGAGTCGAAAACGTCTGCGATATCTGTCTTTGCCGGTTCCCAGGCTTTCGGTAACTGAAGTGGCGAAAGCGTCTTGTCGCATTGAAGATTTCGTAATCCACGTGGTCTACTCAACAATCTAAGCTGCGACCTCACCCTCATGAAGTGCTCAGGCGCCCTTCCGACTTCTCCCTTTGAAACAACCCTCAGGTCGCTACCTCTCACTCATATGCAGGTCGAGCTTCGGTATACACAAAGAAACCGCGACAAAGAACGTCATCTACAACCCGATTGTCGTATCACGGGTACCTGCGGCGTGGGCAACGCACCTAGGGAGAACACCCAAAAATTGGTAGATGGCTGCATGAGCATGCACATATTATCTTTACGACATGTTCAATTACCCTAGTCGCGGGCTCGAGAAGTTTCGTGGCACGGGTGGTGCGAACGCCTCAAAGCTACCTGAAACCAAAGGGTTGGGGCTTGGTCCCCACATGCCAACCCCGGGTCAACCTAATTCGACCTACTACGCTAAGTATAGATGGAATGTACACCAAGTAGGAAATGGCCGGTAAGGTATTTTGCCATATTTGGATGCAGTATTATGTCTCTCTAGTCCGGTTTGTTTAGCATGTTTGTTACGGTTCATCATTGGCACGTTACAGAAGTAGTTCGTGCAGGTCTGTAATCACCACAGCGTATCTATCAGTCAGGTACAAGTACCGTGTTACTTATTACTTTTACTCACCACCACATCTCCTTCATCCTCCAACGCCACTCATTTGCCTATCCATTGCTAGTCAACACGATCAAACACGCTACAACAATACTTTCTCTCATCGCTATAACATCAACGCTCTATCGACAATATGCCAACACGACCGATCAGCGACAAAGAGGTCGAAGTAGTCGACCTGGGCCACTTATTCGAACAATATGTCGAGACAGACTTGCTCAACCAGTTCAACAACTGCACGCCTAAGCAATCCAGTTCAGATAGCTTGACACATCATTTCGAATCGTCTTTGCCAAACAACAGCGAATGCTTTGGCCCTGAGCCTATACTCGATCGGGAAACGCAGGCTGCTTGGCACAAGGCTCTCGAAAAGTACGCACAAAACGCAACCTCGTTTCGATCTGCTGATCCTGCCTCCTCTTTCTATGTTACATCATCTTCCGGCATTGATTCTCGCAGCGACTCCGAGTTGCTAAGTTTCGAAGATCTCTTTGAGCTGAAGACAAATCACTCAAGGTCCACCTCTCAGCCTCCTACATCTCGACCCCACCCTTCTGGACGATCTGTCAAGAAGGCTCTATCCTCTCACGGTCAACCTAAGTATCGCGGCATTACCAAATCTACGAAGAGATCACATCCTTCAGTCTCGACAAAGATGATGCAATCATCTCATTTCCAATCGTCCATCGCGAATGCCTGGACTCGCAAGACGGACATCCCAACTGAATCTTTTACGAGAGCCTCGTCACATGGTATCGCTTCGCCCCCGCTTTCATCCAATCTGGGTCAGCAAGAAAGCAACAATGGGAGTGTTGTCCAGAATCACCACCAGGCTTACACTAACGACTATTCGAGCCTACCAAACGACAGGTCAAACTTTACGAACTACCAATTGACTCCATCCGCATCGCCAGCAATGAAGAATTCCAGCAAATCCGACAGCGGCTTCAACGATAACATGGGACTTGCCTATCGCTCTTCTAGCGGATCGAGTGCGGCTCTCTCAGCCTTGCAGACCCCGCCCTCCTCTCTCCAATTACCCGTGACAACATGGGACACCGACACCTCGCCAGCTCTGGACCTTAGTTTCTCAGCCTCATGTGACACTAGCAACGGCCTTGAGACAGCAGGTTGGTGGAATGAGAACGTTCACATCGTTCAGCCGCCATACTCTACCAGCTTCAATCAAAGCAATATGCGATCTACGAGCCAGGACGTGAGATTAGAAGGATTAGGAATCTCTTACGACTCAGCCGCATTTGATTTCGGCACTCCGAACGATAGCTATTCGACCCCCAGTGCCTCAGCCTCGTTCGATATGGCAAGCTGTGGAGCCATGTACAACAGACCATCACACCATTACGCGCAGCCCCAAGTGCTGCCCACCAGCCAATCAGTCTCGCGTTCTCCCTCACCGGGCGTCGAGCCACGCTTTCACCGTTCCAAATCATCAAGCCATCACCGCTCCAGCCAATCGTCAAGACGCAAATCCAGCCATTCTTCCCATCAGTCCTCACGGCAAACGAGCGCGAGCAGTGGCGGTGTCGGCTTCGTGAACTTCACGTCAGACGACAGCCGCAAGATCCTTACGGGCGTCGCGCCTAGCGGTTCCAGCAAGACCAAAGCACGACGGGAGAAGGAAGCTGCGGATAAGCGCAGGAAGCTTAGTCGAGCGGCTATGAAGGCTGTTATAGAGGCTGGTGGTGATATCGATAGTCTGAGGAGATTGGAGAGGGAGGGGTTGCTGGTCATGGAAGGGTGATTGGCATTGTGTCTAATGACTTTCGGAGTTTCTGTTCATGTTGGGTTTCTTCCTTCGCTCGCTTTATACAGGGCCGATGTTTTACATATACGTTTTTAGATGAGGGTAATATGTCTTCACTGCACAATGAGTAATGTATGATTGACTATCTTTACGATTCTCTTGGGCGTGCGCGATCTATGTGCGCTCCGTGAGTGCTGTTGCCAGAATACTTCTGACAAGTGACTACATGTTACAGCGCAATGATTGCTGCTGCTGCACGTTGACAAGTCGGCAGATACAACCCGTCAGGGCGCGTAGACCCGCCGCTTGAGCGGCATGACATGCCGATGTCTTTTACTTCTGAATGTTTTTGGATGCCTCAAACTTCGTCTAGCCTCAGCCGGCAGCCTCCACCTCCAGACGTCCAAGCACAGCTTCTACGACACCCTTGGCGCCAATTCCCCTCTCCACACCACCTAGACTTTGCTCTTCTGCCTCAAGCTCAACCGCACCGTCGTATACCTTGACGATCATATCCTCATCCACCTTCGCGCCACATGCTACTAATCCCTTGATCAATGTGCTGACCCTGGTAATCTCCCGCACAACAGGTGGCTCGATCTCGTCGTTCTGGCTGGAGTACAGCGTCTCGGTCACACTTTCGTCTAGCCTGTTGATACCCATCTCCTTCGGGTCCGCATTCGTTGCGATATGTTTGCTGATGAAGATGTATCCGTTGACACCAAGTACAATGTCGATCTCGCCTGCCGCGGTGTTCAGCGTGAACACTTGCCGTCTACTCCTCACTACACCACCCTTGCGACTCAGTATGCCACCCCCTGCGCCACTTAGACTAGTGAACAAGCCATTCCGCAATTTTCCGTATTTGAGCGATCGCGTATGGAGGGATGCGGTGCCGTCTTGGTGCAGACTCTGCACTTCGGCGACGAGCAAATCGCCTTCTTGGAAGAATGTCCGGATGTTCAGTTCGTCTACCGTCGTCCTGCGTCGCAAAACTCCACCGGGCAAGTTTATACTTGACAAAGGCAGATTTGCATGCATTGGCGCTGCGATGTCCACATTCCACTTCTTCGTTCCAACCGTCATTATGCGTCCTACGACCAAGTCGCCTATCTCGGGTTGGTATCGGGCGCGCAACGGTTGAACAGAGAGCAGTTTGTTGGTCTTGTGCAGGGTACCCGCGACGGTCGATATTATCGTGGTGGAGGAGGGAGGGAGGCTTGGGATGTAAGTGCCGTGGCCGCGCATCCATTGAGGGTCCGAGGTTATGTGTTCGCCGGGTGTTACTATCGATTTCGAGCCAGAAGTCGCGAAGTCATCGTCTTCCATTTCCACATCGGAGTCGTCGTATTCGTCTTTCGCATCGCGCCGTGGTGGGAGAGGTGCGCTAGGTGGGAGTATGGAGATTGGCATGGTGAAGATACGCCTGTGCGGACGGCGCGTTCTGTCTCGCGGGTGTAAAGTATGTGATCGATCGATGCGTTGCAGTCAGTTGTTTTGACTCAGTCGAGGCTGCGTTCGTGTGATATCGCGGGGGTGTTGGTGATGTTGTCTACTGCGAAGAGCTTCCGAAATTTTGGCGGGGATTGAAGCTTCCCCGATAATCCCTGCGGAGCTTTCCGGATGAGGCCTAGTCTTGACGCGTCTACTCATGGCAGTCGCGACAGGTCCGACCCGACGTCATCCATCAACAATCGAATCTCGCTACCACTCCCTCTCGATCATCGTTGTATCGCTACTCTCAACTGGGAGTCCGCACATAAGGATTATGGCACCAACAACACCATCCCCGGCCGTGTCTAGCTTCAACGAGCCCTTCATCTCAGCCCTGGATGCTGCGGCGCCGGCCAATGCGAACGATGACCCAAGTTACTATGCCCGATATCCGCGGTCCCTGATCACCACCTCTCATCTCGACGCTTTCATGACGGGAACTGGATCTGCAATCTACGACTCATTAGTGCCTCTTCTCGAGTCTACTAGCCGCGAGCTTATTCTGGTCACCTGCTTCTGGGCTAGATCGACCACTCTGGGAACACTGAACGAAGTCTTGAGAAGACTGTCCGACAAGGCTGTCAGGAGAGGGACGGACAAAATTAGAGTTCGACTCTGCTTTTCTTCCAGTTCGGTCTTTCAGAAGCTGTTCCATAAACAAGCCACTTCAGGACAGACATATCCGCCTTCAGTATGGGTTAAGAAGTTGGGCTTACCTGACCCGTCTGAACTCAACGGACTGGACCTCGAGATCAAGTCCATATTCATACTACCATTCAGTGTCATGCACCCCAAGTTCATTATCGTCGATCGGAAGACGGCAGTGTTACCAAGTTGCAATATCAGCTGGGAAGAATGGTTCGAGGGTGCCGTCACCCTTACTGGACCTGTTGTCGAACAGTTCCTCAAATTCTATCGCACATTCTGGGAACGGCGAGAGGATGCTCCGACTAGTCTTGACGTTCCCGACAGCGCTACGGTAAAGCTTCACGGTGCGCTGAAATCGTCTGCACTACTGTCGGCTCGCAGTATACATACCATCTTCCTTCCCAGCCCACACCGTCGTAATCCACGCTTTAGTTTCATTGGAGCTCAAGACACTCTTCGGGCTCCGCCAACGCCTCTGAACGTCTTCATACTCACACTCTTCGCAAAGGCCGAGAGAAGCATTCGTATTCAAACGCCAAACGTCACCGCACCGCCTGTTTTGTCCGCGATACTGAGAGCGCTTGCCCGCGGTATCGATGTACGCATTCTGACCTCCGAACGTCTCATGATACTCGAGCAGTTGGTCACAGCAGGTACCACAACATCACGCTGCATCAAGAAGCTCATCAAACGCTATCAACAGCTAACTCGTGATGGCGGCAATCCGAATGATGAGGAAGCAGCTATGGCGACTCCTAAGCCCGGTCGCCTACACATATCATACTTCGAGCCGATCGGCGGGCCTAAGAAGAGAGGCAACGAGGCCGAGGAGCCTCAACAGTCGCATCTCAAGATGACCATTGTAGACGATGAAGTCCTCGTTCTAGGCTCTGGAAACCTTGACCGGGCGAGTTGGTTCACAAGTCAAGAGCTGGGTGTTGCCTTCTTCGACAAAGAAGTGGTTAAGAAGGTTGGGAATGCGGTTGACGAAGGTACACAAGGAAGAAGCAAAGTGGTGTTTGATAGTGAGGGCTAGCATGTATCGTGTAAGACGGGCGCTGCCTAGTGCACTGGGCTAAGAGTATAGCAGTGGCATCAACGCTCTGTTCTGTTAACCGTCAAAACTTCTTCCCATGATACAAATTGACTGTAGAAACACCCAGCCAACTGTCCTATCCCCCTCACGATCTCCGAGCTTACGAAGTTGACACGCTCTTTCCAAGACTACCGCTCCAGACCAACGTCCCTCAAGAATCTCATCATTGTCCTTCTCGTCCATACGGTCAATTTAATCCTTAATTCCGACGAGATTCGCAAAGCATGCCGCAATCCTTTCAGCGCACCCATTGGGACAGGCATTGGTGCTGGGACTAGCGTCTCCATCGGTTGAATACTCTCCGCAGTCCAAACCACGAATCTTGACTGTAAGCTTCCGAGTGCTGAGATATGTACGACAGCCTTCGAAGTGATCTTCGATTACTGTTCTGGTTATACAGTAGTCCCAACCGCTGTTGTCCCTATCGCGCATTGAGAAAGGGAGTGTAATGTTCACTGTGAGCTCTTTCAAGGCGGGAAACTCTGGCTGCCAGACGGCGGCCGGGTTCACGTTCCCCTGAAGCTCCGACGGTGTTCGACGCAACCTGAATCTCTTCTCGCTCTCGAGAAGGACATCCCATACGTACGGCAATATGTGCTTGTCACTCTTGAAAACAGAGTTCCCTTGGTACAGCAGTTTGTACTCCTCGTGACGATCTGGCCATCTCAACCTTTTGTCCACGAAGATCTCAATGCTTAAGTTCCGAACATGTTCCGCGAGAGATAGGGACGGTCGTGGGTATCGTAAGCCAGTCCACTCGGGTTGGATCTTTGGGCCTTAGTAGCCCCACAATCTATCACTCAGTTCGCCCACTCTTCTCCCTCAGATCATCAAAACTTTGGCACCTCCAAGGCCTGCATATTATTCAGCGTCTTGCCCCGTTTGTACAGAGTACACTCGCATCAAGATAAGCGGCCTGGTATGCACGACAATTTCGGATCCCGGAAGGGCCCGCATCCGAAGAGCCATGAGCCTCTTCTAGTCCGATGAACGGGTGCCACAGCTTGATTGGCCAAAGCACGCACACAGAATCAATGAAACATGATGAAATGTTGAGAAGTGGCGCTCGACGGGCACTAAACCTGTGCTGGCGCCTTGTTACTTCTCGTATACCGTATTGCACAGCAACCCAATGACAGGGCAAGGGGTCAGTGGCGAGAGATGCGCATCTGAAGGTATACAGCGTCGGTATTTGAGACATCCCGTACTCCGGGCTGCAGAACTGGTTGGTGTTTGCATGTGTCAAGCCCCGGCCCTCATCACGTCTGCAGTCTTTAAGTAGGTTGCCTCTGCCCCCATTCAAAAGCAACTCGGAGCAATGGATACCAACATCACCACCACTCCCGGGACGCCGGACTCCGCAACTATGAAGTTGCTCACATATGTTAAAATAACATATACTCTACAGACAGCCGCTATAGCTGCTCTAGTCTTTGTGTTGTTCACATTCGCTCCGAAACTAAAGCAACAGTTTCAGCTCGCAAAGATCCCCGCGCTCTCTAAATCTAAAGACGCGCGCACGGGCTTACTGAAGTCTGTAAAGGAAATTTATATTGAGGGATATAAAAAAGTATAACTACCGACTTAGCTAGTGGAGTATGTAAACTGACTTAGGAACAGTTCAAAGATGGCGTCTACTACATGGCAACCTCAGATGGTCAGTAGTTCTGATAGAATACACAGTACGCTTGAGTGCTAATAGCATTTAGGGGAGGAGGCTGTGGTCATACCCCCAAGCTTAATGCCAGAGTTGAGAGCTTTGCCAGATGATTTTCTCAGCTTCCCAAAGGCAGTCGTGAGAGTAAGTATTCAAATTTTTCATCTGTAGTACTTGATCTGAAGAGACTAATGGCCTACCGACTATCTCTGGGTTTGATTGCTGAGCTTTGCTGACTGTGTTCTAGATAATGGCGGAGGAGTACACCAAGTTTAGCCTTGACCTCCCAGTCGCAGCACACATTGTAAAATCGGACCTTACACCGGCACTCGGTATGTGTGTGCTGTTTCATGTAGGTCAACTTTACTGACACGTTGTAGCCCGATTGAATGCCATAATATTTAGTGAAGTCCAGGCAGCTATGAGGCAACACCTGCCTCCCTGCGACGACTGGACCGAAGTATGCATCAACAGCCAGCTAATGAAGATTATTGCCCAAGTTTCTGGTCGTATATTTGTGGGGCCTGCGCTTTCCCAGGACCCAGACTACCTAGACATCAGGTGTACTTTCACTAAGGTTCTTGGGGACGCAGTTACAGCTGTTAAGAGAATGCGCCCGTGGCTACGACCTTTCTTAGCTTCTGGACTACCTGAGATTAAGAAGCTAAGAGCTATTGAGAAACGAGCAGCGAAACACTTAGAGCCTATCGTTCGCGAGCGGATAGAAGCCGAGAAGAACGACCCCAACTGGCAAAAGCCAGAAGACCTAATGCAATGGCTTCTCACCCGCACTTCCCAGCAGGGTCACGCCGTCACAGTAGAAAGCGCAGCAACGTTACAACTAGGCTTAATCTTCGCCGCAGTTCACACCACCACCCTGAGCGCCACAAACATCGTCTATTCGTTAGCGTCCACACCCGAGTACATCCAACCTCTCCGCGAAGAGATCGCTTCCGCCATAGCGGACAACGGCGGCGAATTCACCTCACGTGCACTGCAACAAATGGTCAAGCTCGACAGCTACATGAAAGAAGCAGTTCGCGTGAACCCTCCCAGCATGTGTAAGCTGATCCTATCCATTCCTCCCTAAGCTATCACAAATCTAACACAATCAACCCCTACAGCATCCTTTAACCGCCGCGTCCTCAAAGATATCACTCTCTCCAACGGCCAACGCATCCCCAAGGGCGTCATGCTCGAAGTTCCCTCCTATGCCGTCTACATGGACGCAGCGAACTACCCCTCGCCCTCCACGTTTAATCCGTTCCGGCACTCTAATCTGCGCGCTAGCGGTAGCTCTATAGACAACGCGCGCTCGCAATTCGTGTCTGCGAATGAAACAAATCTGTCGTTTGGCTACGGCCGCCACGCGTGTCCTGGCCGCTTCTTCGCAACGAATGAAATTAAACTCGTGCTGACGCGCTTAATCCTCGATTACGATATCAAGATGCCCTTGGGGCGGATAGAGCGCTGGGAGCAATTGGCGGTTGGAAGGACTATGATGCCGGATCCGACGAAGTCGATTATGTTGAAGCGTGTGGCTGTGTAGAGTAGGTAGGCTGCAGTCTATTTAGAGCCCGAAGGTAATGGTCCTTGGTTTAGGGAGTTTTAGATAGATAATTTTACACAGGTTGTTTTCTGTTTAGAAACTAGACACACAGAAACTTGTTGTCACACATTAATACATCTGATTGGGGGAACATTCTAATACGCCTTCCGGTCTTGTGCATCCTTTACATCCAACCCCCAATATTCATAAACTTGAACTTAAATCATCCCATACCCTTTCACTTCCCGAACACATCAAAACTCGCGCCTTCATACGCCGCTACAATCGGTTTCATACATTTATACTCGGTCGGATTACCACGTTCCGGTTTGGGTTTAGTTGCAACTCCGTAAGTTTTTCGGTCAGGATCGGGCAGAGAAAGAGGGAATGCATTGGCGGGCTTTGATGCTTCGGGTGCAGTAGTCGATGAATTAGCGGGTTCGGATTTGTCGACGGATTCTGCTGGCTCGGGCAGAGTAGGTGGTGTGTCGATGTATTTGCTCTTGATAAAGGCGAGGAAGGCGACAAAGATCGAAGACATTTTGATTATTCGGGATGTTAAAAAATGTGCGAGTGATCGGTTTGTTAAATTTTTGGAGAACAGCGTGTGGTCTATAGTAAAAGAAACTACGCTGAAGAACTTTAGATTTACTTTGGCTCAGAAGTCGTTGGAATATGTGTTTGTTGAATAAGGCTTCATGGCTTGGAACGTGCAAAACTTAACATTTCTTCACGTTACATTTGATGTAATTCGTAGCCTCTTCGGAAGCGAATGTGGTGGTGGCTGTGCTGTTGTGTGGCGGACAGGGCTGTTAGGCAGTCACCTCCTCCCGACAAATTCGTATATCAGCGCAGCCTCACTGTATATCAGGCACCAGTATTGCTTGCACCGCCTCCTCCACCACCGCTCGTCGCACCACCATCCCCTCGGCCGCTATCTGCTCCGTATGCACCTCCTCCACCAACTCCTCCACTTGACGCCACATTATCCCCTCCGGTGTCTCCCATTTCCGCGTATGTCATTCCCACACTGCCATTACTGCATGGTGCTGTAGTAGTGCTTTGAGTGGTGAGGTTATTTCGGATATTGGCGTTCGCTTTGCTAGGGGAGAAACCGAGGTATGAACACGCCCTGGTGTGCGAAGGGTTGAGTTGGGTGGATGTGTTACTCGTGGTGGTTGATAAACATGGGGGCTGTGTAGAGACTAACTGTGTGTAAGTGACGTAGCGCGAAGCGAAATGATTGACGCCCATGTTATTTGAGGATGGGTGGAGCATGGATGTTACTGTGATGAGCTTGCAGCACGACATAGACTGTGTTCTGTGCTTGCTAGAGGAATTATTTGACTGTACATATAGTGTAAACGTGATCCACATCAAGCGTAGGCAGTCATTGTCTAACCTTGTCCCAGACTATATAGTTGTCGTGAAGTCGCCGAAAGAATTGCACTGGACGTAGCTTTAGATATTGAATGGGCACAGGTTTTCGCATCCTCAATGAAATGCATCAAAGGTGAATTACTCTCCCGAAACCAGGCTTGTCGCAAGCAGGCTGAGCCGCAACCCTATGGGGACGTTATACTGAACTCGCATCAAGAACACTGCCATAAGCGGTTTCCACCCCAGTATAATCTTCCACTCGATGTTGTCGGACACGTCCTCGCTGTTTTGTCGAAGTGCGGAGGACTCTTCAGGTACGGGCTCTGTCACTGACGGTATTAGAGATGTTTCGCAGATTTGCAGCCAAGCATCATCAAGCTCAATGCTGTCGAAATATTTACCCATTCGTGAAATCAATGTGACCGCTCGCTTGTGACCTACGTTAACATTGGATCTTAAATTTGTTATTTCGTGAATGTAATATCCCTCGTCACATACTCTTCGATGTGTCGCGTCCATTCCCATTGCGCTTCATCCTCCTCCTACGTTTCACACATCACAAAGCCCGATCGATCAAACGTGACTACGCCGTCAAACGGAAGATGCACGGGTTCTCCTCGGCGCGATAAATTGTAGTCCTCGAAAGACGAGATCCTGCACGCTGCCGCGCTATTCTCAGCAGCAAGCCTGATGATTGATGCATCCTCACCTGACAAGTATCTTACTTTGAGATGAACTAGTCCCATGAAACCAGCACGATCTTCTCTTGACATTGTTCGTAGTATGTGCCAGTCAAAGTTCCCCAGACGAGTCTGGAAAGTGATACGACGGAGCTGAGGCCGTATATTCCTGGGATGCTTAGCCAGTATCGAGTCTGTAAATGCTGTCGAGTTGGAGAACTGCATGATGAACCTGTTCTCTTGATAGAATACAGATTTGGCCATCTCAGCGATGTCTGGTGTCATCCTGAGGTATGGGAGAAGCTCTCTTCGCGTTACAGTGTTGATGTTTGATGGCCAGATTGGAGAGGGAAACAGGAGGTTATAACGAAGTATCTCGAGCTTCAGTTCGGTCGGTAACTTGCTCCAGCCCCTTGCAAATCCTGGGGTTGCGAGGCCAGCGGGAGAGATCGTAATTTTGCTGTCGCATCAAATACGAATCGGTTTATACGCGTGTATTTGCATCGAGCAGGGTGCTGATATGTTCAATGGCTGGAACGAGTACACTGCGAAACTGGCTTGTCTGGGTATTTCCATAGGCCAGTGGATTCGGATGACTTCTGCAAATTTCTCCTCTTGTCCTGAAGTCCTTCTCTGTGCGCTCACTGAGGTTGTCTCTGGGTTTGTAGCGGACATAGCTCTTACAGTCTGTGCACCTAGTCTTGAAGAAATACTGCGGAAATCTGACTGCTTTTAAGACGTTTTCCAAAGACTCGAGTAGCCTAAGGAACAAGGGCTGAGGTTGGTGGTATAACTTCATTTTTTTTTTACGACTCGGACTTATACTGGTATCTATTCGCTGTGAAGCTGACCACTAACAATGAATGCAGTAGAATTCACAGTGCACGAACTGCGTAGCTCTCGACATCCAGACTGTGAATTTTATGCGCTGATACCAAGTCCGTTCGTAGTATGGCGCCTCAATTCTGTGATGACTGGAGGCTTCAAGTCGATGATGAAATCTGGAGCATTCTTTTGGAACCTTGGGATATTTCGAGGTTGGTCATGTTGAGAGGGCGTCCGCATACGATGCAGCTCCATCGGGCACTGCCGCAGCTCTAAATCCTGGTCATCTCAGTCGTCGTAGTCATCGCATTTCAGGCAAGATATATTCTCCTTGGCTGCCGGCTATCCTCGAGTCCGTGGCTGTAGGTGAGTAACAATTTGTACTTACGCTCTAGGGGTTAGAGCTATTCCTGACGATGGCTTGGAAGATATGTTTCGCGTTCTAGAGTACTCGGAAGCTGGAGTTGTGTAGGTGATACATCAAGCTCTGCGAGTGAAGCCCTAGTTACATATTCCTCATTGCGGTTCTGCCTAATCACTTGCAAGGCTCCAAACTTTTAGTGAACTGCTTCTTCGCCGTTAGCAGACTGGAGTACCTCAGCCTCTCACAGCCCACGCAAACCAAGGCATAGACCCACAAACTACCCCGTCAACTTCCCTTTGCCTCACAAAAACACAACTCATGGATGCGCTTTATTCCCATCTCAGCCTGACGCTGTCGCGTGCGCACGCTTTAGGAAGTGCAGCGCCGCAAGATTGCTCACCTCAATCTGCCTCATCTACGACTACACTCGGTCTATCCCAAGTATCGCCTCTCTGCATTCGCACACCAGTGCGGATGCTTGCAGAACCATGGCTCTGGATCACTGCACCCTCAGCGTTGAAGGTGGTCGATACTGATACAAAGGGCGTGACAGAGCTAGCCTGCACCAATGCTGTATACGTCCGACCTCACCACCATCTTCGTTTATCTCCTGAGATTTCTGGTCTTGCAAAGGAAATATTCTACTGCCATAATACCTTCTGCATACGGCGCGACCCGGTGTCGAGACCTTCGGACCGCCCTCTGTTTCCAATCGCTAGCGAGTTGATCCGGTAGATTTTGGTAGAGGTCTACATGGGTTTATATAGCGACTGGGACAATGTCAATCATCTCCGAGGGGAACCAGGGACTTTCGAACTTACGATACGTCAGCATCGTGGTCAATTGGCATGGATCTAGGTGGAGTCCTCTAAATGATGATACGATCGCGCAGCTTCTTGCCTGGATGCATCACTGCTGTGACGAACGTGTCGAGTTCAATTGCAAAGGCAAAGTTACATTCGTCGGTAGGCTGTGGCAGAGTGGCAAGATTCCCTCGATTACTAACGGTATTCAGACGGCGGAGGCACTCATGAGAAGTAAGGCGGCGTTTGGAGACGATTCCAGGAACGAGGAGTAGAGTTGAAAGGAATACATACTGAAGTTTTGGACTGGCTGGCCGACGACCCTGTAGCTTCCTCTTGCAAGGAGACTATCACGTTCGATAAACCAGCGCATCACAGCTGGGAGGCCACTATGGATTGTTTGAAGGAGGTGAAGAGTCGGATTAGTAGTAGCATAACGTTTACCTACCTTGTACAACACGGAATCATAACCTTATCCTAGCAAGTTGAGTCTCCGGTTCGAGGATGGGAAATGGTGTGACGCAGAATGTGAAAAAGATGTGATATCTTGTAGAACACACCCAACCTTCAAATCCTTGAGAGAGATGAAATGTCGAGCGTGGATTGTATTGCAGTCAGCCATTACCGCCGAAGCGCATAATCAGCATCATAAAGCTCACTAGCATCTCAGCCAGTTGATGAGCAGAGTAGGGTGTCTGTCTTTACAGAAAGAGTATATACAAGCTGTGTGTGATCCGCGTCCATCGTATCATCTATCATCAACCATACGCCATGACGCCAGACAAGCGCCAGGCCAATGAGTAAAGATACTGCGTATACTGCATACCGATGTGCGGAAGAGAGTGGTGTGAGTTGAGCAAAACGGTAGATGTCGGTATAGTCCAATCATCTCTTGGTAAAAATAAAGCGGTGAAAATAAACAAAAAGTCCAAAATATGATCCACATCAGCACTTGACGGATCGTCCCAATTGCATACCAGAACCATGCAAATCGAGAACCTGGGGGCATGCCAACGTAATCCAATCAGACCCAAAACTATTCCCAGCTCTTGCTGCGTGTACATAAATGCGCAGCCATGATCTAATGTTGAATGTGAGGGGTATGTGATGTGTAACAGTCGTGTCTCGTACGGCTTTGTGAGATTTCGCAAAGTTCGTCAGCTCTACACAGCGCGATGCTGTAGAGTAAAAGGGTCTACATGGAGCCCATAGCAATGAGTGCCTCGATAGCGTCGCGCTCAGCGCCCGAGCCGGCTACACCAGACGGTGCATTAAAAACGGAAGAAGTCAAAGGAGAGCCCGCGTTCACGACGTGATTACCGTGGGATGCATGTGGAACAGTAAGGAAAGGTTTGTGCGTGGGCGTCGCAGTGCGTTCGTGGTGAGATTGAGGCTGAGGCAGAGAGTGGGCCTGGGCGGATATGCTCCGGTAGCGCGGGTTGCTCGTCTGAGTTCGGCTTAGATAGTTGTAATCGCGGTGTTCTCGGCGCGGACCGCGGCGGGTCTCGCGAAGAGCTTCAGGCCCCATCGTCGCCCAGTCTTCTTGATCCGTGTCGTCGTTAAGTTCTTCCTCTAGATCCATGTCGGAAGCCGAGTCGGACTCGGTGCTGCCTTCAGAGTCGTCCAGCGACATCTGGTCAGCCATTTCTTCGTCCTCGCCCTGGCGGTGCGGCGACCACGAGCCAGCATTCCAGCTGCCAGAGTAGACGTCGCGCTCTTGTCGCAACTTGGGTATTTGGAGGCTGCCCCCGATGCTATCGACACTCGCTGGTGTTGCGCGCCCGTTTCCAGAGCGCTTACCACCGATGGGCATTCCTGCAACCTGTGAGCCGGAGCCAGCTACACTCCAACGCCCCCAGCCGACCTTCTCGAACTTGACCTCTCCGTGCAGACCGCCGCCGGCGCGATGTTCCAGCGCCGCAACGACTAGCCTACGGGCCTTCGCAGGGGGTAACCCAGAGAAGCCAGGTACCGCATGTGTCAGATGCGCCATCATCTCGCGGATGGGCATTGCGCCGTGGCCTTCGATGATGTCTGGCAGATGGTGCTTGGCCAGCATCAGCGCCGTAATCTGGCGCGTCGCATCCAAGCCTGCCAGCGCCTCCTTGGAAAGCGCGGAAGGCTGATCCTGCGCTGCCGCATGTTCCACCGCATCCTGGAGATCTATATCCATAGACTCCTCTTCTGGTGTGTGCAGGCGCCCGACGACGGGCATGGGGCGGCGCTTGTGCGCAGGGAGCGTCGGAGAGATGGAACTCGGGGGCGTAGGGAGGGTGCCGGTCGAAGCAGCATGGCCGCTGTTCTGGCGTCCAAAGGCCATGGCGATGTTAGACATCGGCTTCTGGGCGGAAGCAGCCATGTTTACTGTTGGGAGGCAGGGGCTGACGGGTGAGTCAAAGCGCGAGTTGGTCAGGTAGTCGCGCTGGATGGAAAGGAGGTCTGGCGAGCGGAAGAGTCAGCAACCAGAATCTCTGATGTTGTAGGGTTTCCAAGATGAGTTTGCAGTGCGATGCAACTCGTCTTGCAGCAAACGCACCAGAAGCTTCGGCTTGTACTGTCGGGTATCGACGGTACGGTCTTCGGGCTGCAGAAGGAGTTTCGGTGTAAAATTAAAGACAGCGATAGAACTGCTTTGTGCGACAAGCGAAATGCAGTTATGGGGCGGATATGCGTTGGCGTTGGGTTGTTATAGCAAGCTGCAGCAACGTAGCTTGTGCCTTCACCGTTCCGAGAGGTTTAGCGATCGGCGATGGGATCAGCGAGTCGGTAACGGGAGGATGCAGGTAGCGTGTCGGGGCAGCAGAGGCGAACGGTAGTAGAGGCAGAGACGGGCAAACAGCGTACAATGGAGCTATCAGAAGAGGTTCAATATTCGGGTGTGGGCTATGTTATGAGTCTACGTACGAGCAAGGCAGGGTCGCTATGATAAGGGCTCCTTGGTTCCGAAGGCAGCTGGTTCCAAGGAAGGCACGCGCATCTGACGGGAAGCTACGACTCGTGCCCCTGTCAGCCCTGTGATTGGCTCGGAAGCAGCTGACTGAGTCCTTGACAGCCACACCTCACACAAGCGTCATGAAACTTCGCCCCTCGCAGCAGCAGGGACTCGAAGCTTAGAAGAAGCAGGGCAACGCTAGAGTAGTACAAAGTGTATCGTGTCCTTGCGATACGGTGAAGGTGTATACTTTGTCTGAAATTGATGCGCCGACGATGTCGCGATGTTCGCAGCTGCACGCAGCCATCTCGATCGTGACTTCCGTTCGCAGCCGATGCCCCATATCACCATGCTGTGTGCATCGGCTTCTTACGTTGGCCATCCGTCTCTCCATGCCTCGCTCCCACACCGGCGATTGGCGCTATCATTATCGCGCTGCGGGGTCCATCCCACCATCCAAAGGTCCGACTTCGCCATGCGCCTACTAATGAGAGGCTCAGGCACATGGTGAGGGGGCCTGCTTTCGCGGCCAGCAACCACCGTCTGACACACGTGTTTGCCCGACAGGCCTCACTGCAAGACATCCCGTCGCAGAAGATCGCCAAACTCTACAGAGAGCTTGCGCAACGCATCGGAGCTTTTTGCCGTCAACCGAGGGACGTGAGCGTTACAACCAGACAACGTGATAATGCCTCAACCATGATTTGCGTTGACAACATACTTCGTGATAGCCTAGTGGGTGGGGATGCCATTAGCGATGCGACTACACACAGAAAAGTTCGAGTCAAAATCACGACGTACCGATTTGAGGACGTTGATCTGCTGCACCGTGCGAGTGAAAACGGCCCGGTACTGCTCGAGGTTCTGCTGTACCACTTCGTTGCGCGTAGTGCGGCCTTCGCATATGGCTTTCATCTGGACCTCCATCTACCCAATGTGTTAGCGAGCATGCCGGGTCATCAAAGCCCAACATCCCACTTACTTCTTTCCGGAGAAATGGTTTGCTGAGACTTGTCTCAAACCCCACGTTGTCGTATCCCTCGATAAGCGCGATACCCAGCGTCGTTGGGATGAACTCTTGTATTCCGCCCGTCCCTCCTCCGTTGTTCTGACCTACGGCTGCGCCGCCTCGCCCACCGCGTCCCCCTCGTGCACCCCCTCTTCCTCTGCCGCGGCCTCTGCCTGCGCTTCCGCCATCTGCGGCTGTTGCAGCACCACCCGATTTGAGTCTTGCAATGACGTATTCGCGCTCTTTGATCTTGGCGATGTGCTCGGCCATGGTTGCATCTGTGCCAATGCCGTTTGCATCCATAAGCGCGATGAGTTCGGGCTCGGTGAGGTAGCTGGGTGCCGACGTTTGTCCGTCCAGCATGTTCGCTTCTGTAGGCTCAAAAGTTTCACCTACCGTGTACTGGGGAAGTACTTGACTACTCTCCCACTTGTCGTATGGATAGACGTCGAGATAGTTCCTCGCAATTACAGTAAGGCCATGTGCATGGAATATCTCGCCTCCATACTCGATCTCGATGTCTGTGGCTTCACCTATAGCGTCTTCAGAGCAACATGCGAGAAAGCGGCGGACAACAAATTCGTAGACGGTGCGCTCTCTGTCGTTGAGCTGAGATGAAGCGACGTAGTTGACGGGATGGATGGGCGGATGTGCTTTGTCGTTGTTGCGGCCCTCGCGAGGTTGCTGAAAGCCGCCGTTCATGAGATTCTGTGCGAACGGACCCCAGCGACCGTCTTGTGTTTGCCTTCCGACAAGCGCTCGCAGGTCCATACCACGATCAAATTGGTCAGTCTCAGTACGCGGGTAACTGATCCACCCTTTCGTATACAGCTGTTCGGCCACTTCCATGACGTCTTTCGAAGTCATGCGAAGAAATCTACTTCCATTCTTTTGTAGTTCGACTGTCGTCAGAGGTAATGGTTTCCACTTCTTCGTGGGTTTTTTTGCCATCTTGATCACTTTTGCTGTTTTGGAGAGCAGGCATCGCTCAAAGATGAGGACGACTGCCATACGATCGAAAAGATGGCCTCGTCGCCAGTTGAACTTGACTTCAATGTCATCTTTCTTGTGTGCGAGCTTGATGTACCAAAATGGCTCAGGGACGAAATTTCGCACTCGCAGATAGCGATCGACAACGAACCCTAACGTTGGGAATTGACAGGAGCCGTAGCTGATCATCTTGCCTCGCTCTTCGCCCTGCTGAGGAATCATGTTTTGTAGCGCCAGTGTCTGCATGCGTGTGAAGGCCGCACCGAGTCGTAAATCTAGCTCAATACGAGCCGAAACGGCTTGAGCTTGCTTCTCGTCTAGGCGGATCGGGTTCTGTGAGGCTTGTATAACGTGCCTGCGTCACGTTAGTTGATGCTCATGAAGGTAGTACAGTACCACGGACGCTCTCTCGATGTTGCTGAAGCGCGCTCTCCAAACCTGCATGTTTGGGTTCGCCTTCAGCGCAATATCACGAATCTCAGTCCCGATATGCTCGCCTTCGCGATCACAATCAGTCCAGATGAACAAGATGCTCGCATACCTGGCTTGCGCCTCGATATTGCTCGCTATAGCCTTTTTGGTCTGTGAACGGATTAGCCAGCTCAAACAGAATGAATTCGTATCATTCACCTCTGCTATGCTCGATACTATGGGAGCCTCAAACAGTGCTGCGGGTTGACATGAATGCCAACTCTTGAATCGATCGTTGAATTCTTGTACAACAATATGCCCAATAACGCTGGTGAACGTTACAGAACATTGTGCCCAAGATTGGAAGCGGAAATCAAACTTATAGTTCTTGACATACGGATTGCCACTAATACTTTCCTATCTGAAGTCAGCCTGTATCCGACTTGCATACCAGGCTATGAAGGCTTTGTATCCGTGCTTCGAACAGCAAGACACATATTGAGAGTATTCTTCATCTTCTCCGGCCATCAAAATACCCATCAAACACAAGTGTGGACCTTCAAGGTACATGTTGAACTTACTGCTCGGGCTTGTCCGCCCAGATGATTTGCGACTGCTTTTGCGATCGAAGGCTTTTCCGCAACGCACAACACCCGAGTCATACCTCTGAAGTGTCGTTGGGACCGCGAGAGGGACTCAATGTGAGACTAGAGACGATGGTGGAGAAAGATCCTCATGGTCATGTGAAGACGCGATTGGCGCGTACTAGCGCGTTTGAGAGCCGCACGGACGCCATCGCAGCTCGCTAAGCCGGGGACACCAGGGAAAACAGCTCTTCATGAGGTCATTGTCCGCTTCACACAATAAACGCTAACGCCAGCTTGTGAGGGGCGCATCGCAACATCCCCATCTTCACCAAACCTCGTCGCAACGATGCCTGACCCACGTACATACACCGACATGGCGCTGCCACTTGTAAAAACGCTGCCCGACTGCGTCGACTATTTCAAGACCGTGGAGCCATTCCTGCCACAATTCTACGACCTCCCGTACAAGGTTGCAGCGCACATCACCGATCTGCAGGCGCTGAAGGACCTCTATGTCAACACCAACCCGCTCATGTCGTCGCTGGCATTTGCCACAATGTTCGTCACGCCCATCGTGCTTGCCGTCTCCGAGATCAACCGCAACTACTCGCAGGTTGACAGGATCTGGAGTATATTGCCTGCCCTCTACAATGTCCATTACGCAGTATGGGCCCATCTCAACGGCTTGCCAACAATGAAGCTGGACCATATCATGGCTGTCTCAATCATTTGGGGTGCTCGCTTGACTTTCAACTATTGGCGCAAGGGCGGGTACCAAGTCGGCAGCGAAGACTACAGATGGAACATCGTCAAGGACTACGTTGGCGGACCCGGCATGTTCATTTTCAACGTCACTTTCATCTCACTAGGGCAGAATGTAAGTACCCTAATACGGGTTGCTATGAATATATAGGATACTTATCATGGTAGATTCTTCTTTGGCTCATCACCACGCCCACGTATATTTTACTCCTCGCGAACCGTATCAAGGGCAACGATATCACAACCTACGATTCCCTATTCGGCCGCTCCATGCTCGCCATCGTCGTGTTCGAGTTCTTTGCCGACCAAGCGCAATGGAACTTCTACAAAGCGAGGAATGCGTACCAGAAGACTGCCAAGGTACCATCCGACCAGAAATACACTCGTGAACAGTTAGACCGTGGCTTCAACACTACAGGTCTTTTCAGCTGGTCGCGTCACCCCAACTTCGCAGCTGAACAGTCCTTCTGGGTGTGCCTGTACCAATGGTGCTGCTTGGAGACTGAGACCTACGTCAACTGGGCGTTTGCCGGTGCATTCGGATACCTGATTTTGTTCCAGGCTAGCACCTGGTTGACTGAGCTGCTCAGCGCGGGCAAGTACCCCGAATATAAGGTCTACCAGGAGCGGGTCGGGAAGTTCCTTCCGAAGTTCGGCACTAAGAGCATGGACTTGCCGCAGACGGAGAAGGAGAAGCAGAAGGTCAAGGACGCGAAGGCTGGCAAGGGCTCCATGAAGGCTAAATAAGTCCACATGGAACGATCTATGGCACCAGTGCAAGACCTCCGACGGATGGAGAGGCCACGTAATCGAAGAGGGGTGCTGTGTGGCCAGCCAGGATAAGTGGGAAATATGAGCAGAGGGGTGCTCAAGGTATGATTTGGATCTCAACACCACCATATACGTGGGAAAATTGACCTAAGCATAATATACAAGAAAGCAACTGACCACCCCGCTGGGTTACGTCACAGAAGTTGCCTCAACATCACTACCCTCATATCCTTCTATTATGAATTCTTTGACTTCTTCATTGCCTCCTTTCACAATCCACCAACCTATCCATGAATTCGAAAGCATGCTCTGCTCCCACGATACCGTCAACAGTTGTGGCTCCTATCAGATGCAACGACAGTCTCTTTGGCCTTCCGCCCTGGTCTCCTCGACCGCGAATCTGATCTTGCCGTTGAACATCTCCTTCACATCCTCGAACGAAAGCTCTGATGACCTGTCCTTAGCTTGCTGTGGAGCAAGGAACCTCACACTACCAGCGCAGTGAAAGCCGATTCCATCGCCGATCGTCTGGGTGAGAAAGTTGGTCCATGCTCTATTGGTCAAGTGTGTAAGCCGCATGTCAAACTCGACAACGACGTTGCGAAGAGCAGTGAAACCATAGCTACCGTTCGCAAGCTTAGCGAGCTTGGACCATTCGTGCCTGTTAGGACAGATTCGCACAGCGAGCTTCTGAATGAGATGATGAAATGCTTATGGGGGATAGGCGAAGTAGAGGCGGGCATCCAGTTTTCCATTTCCCATAACGACAGACTGATATGACGGCTCTAGATGGAACTCGTTCTTGGTCTAGAAGATGTCTTGCGCTATTGCGGCGATCTCGCGTGTCATGAGCAGGTGATGAAGTAGCTGAAAAAGGACTATTGGAGGGTAGGCTTTCTTGTCGCCCGCCCCCACGCGATTCCAGGCTTTCACATTAAACCCAAGTGTTAGGATCTTTAGCTCGGCTGGCAGCCTGTTCCATCCTTCTACGAATGTGGACTTGAGAGGCGATGATGACGCAATGATGAGCGGCCTTAAGGACGTGATCTTGGTGATGGATTGGGGGCCAGCGTCGACGTCAACACTGTTGCCCTTTATGAGAGTGACCCGATATGATGAGTTGCTTTTGATGGAGATGGATACAGGTGGATTGAGCTGGAGTGGTTTCGTTAATTGGATAACATCTTCGTGCGTATCCACGTCGGGGAGCTTGATAAGCATTTTGATCGTCAAGGAGGAATGCAGGGCCATCATCGCCGTGGTTGTGAATGCCAACGTGAGACGTGAAGGTGGCAGCGTGTCTCGAAAGCGCTTGCGCGCTGACAGGGAGGCCAAGGCGTTTGTGGGAGAATTTACGAACGGGTAACCACGTTAGTGTAGATGATAAAACGCTATGATAGTATTATCGTACAGTACACGTAGACTGTAGCCTACGCCTGAAGTGAAAGAGAAAGACTCTTCTGCCTATTTTAGTTTTGTTAAAGCCTCTAGATTACTTGTTAACGCATACGTCAGAAACTCGCAAGAGTGCTTAGAAGACGACAAGTTATTGCATACGATAAGTAAAACATCGCAAAGCCTCGTTTGATACCCCCAAAAAGGGGCGAATTCATCGCTGAGAAGGAGGCTGGTACATTGTGATTGTTGTGCTATCTTGATTCTTCAAACAACTTGCTGAGATGTACTATGTCTAGGTCGGCAGTGCGGTTACGTCGTAATAACTACCGCGTCCTTAATTCTAACCATCAAGGGTGTCTTTTCCCACAGCGAGTATATCTTCTGATCCGCGATCCAATTCCGACATTCGGGGAGTAGTTCGAGATCGAAGTTGAACAGTACTTTGCTAAGAATTAGGCGCATTTCGTGGAGGGCCATGCTAGTAAGACCGTGTTAAAATATTTGCAATTTCGTAGAGAACGAGGGATAGTGTTACTTACTTCTTGCCAATGCAGTCTCTTGGGCCTACATGGAACGGCTGAAGAGCTGAGCGTTCATCGGAGGCGAAGCGTGGGTCGCCGAGCCAGCGCTCGGGGATGAAACGTTCAGGAAGTCTGAAGTTGTCGGGGGAGTTGTACATGGCCAAATGGGAGGCTGCAACATTCGTCTTTAGGATGTAAGTGTTAAACAGCTGCTTGATAATGTGTGAGGGAGATGACAACGTACATTTGGGGGAATGTAATGTCCACAGATAGTCGAACCTTCAGCAGGAGTGAGATGCGGCAAACCAATCGGTACAGGAGGATAGTGTCTGAACGCTTCCTTGATGCATGCATTGAGGTAGGGTAAGCCAGCGGTGACTTCCATACTGATGCCGTCTGATGAATCAAATGCTCTCCGAATCTCATTTACGAGTTTCGTCATCGACTTGGGATGCGCCAGAAGCAAGTAGGTCAGTCCACTGAGCAACGTCGCTGTCGTTTCCGTCCCAGCTAACATGAACAATTCGCCGTTCATATCCATAACAGGGCGGGTCAGGCCCGCTTTGCCCTTGTCTTCTTGTTGGAGAACCAGGTCCCACAGATCGACACCCTCAGACACTCGTCCTTTTTCAAGTCGCTTAGTGACCCTTTCGACAGTGTAGTTGTGGTGCTCCTTCCGAAATGTCGCAATCTGTTTACCTAACACTGTAAATAACATGAGCTTGGCGAGCGGGTAGTAGATGAAGAAAATGCTCATTAGGGTGCCGCGCTTGATGCTTTTGAAGATGACTTGGATCCAGGAATTATATTCTGCGTTATCGATTAGGTGTAGAGATTCACCGAATGTTAGGTCAGCCATTACGTCGAAAGTGGTGAAGTTGTCTGGAGATATTTGTGCGAAGTAAGTATTCGTCTCACGTGCGTTCGTACATCAATCTAACGTACACATTCGGACGAGGTCGACGACGTTCGCATGGACACTTTCTCTCAAATTGCGGATAAGTTGATCAGCGTACTTGGTAAATAACGGTGACTGCTGTACGAGCGCCCGGTCAGAGAACGCGGGAGAGAAGATTCTGCGGATTCGTGCATGTTCGGCGTTGTCTCGCTCTGCCACAAGTGAGTTGGCTCCGGTAGGAGAACTTCCCTGGCGGTTCCAATTCTTGGGCGGCGCCGAGCCTGGGCCTTCCTTTGACCCATAGCCGTAGATGTCGCGCCAAGCTTTTGGGTTGGTGAAGCTGAGTTCATCAGGTGAGAGGCGCACTACCTCTCCGTACTGCTCGTGAAGCTGGGCAACGTGTCGTGGTAATTCACCTTTAGCTATGGCAGTGAGGTACGCGGTAGACGCGTGAAGGCAGAGAACTTTGGCCCAGGGAAGCGGCTAAGCGGATGAAAGTAGACTCGGTAGATGCCTCTGACTACCCATCGCACAACGACCTGCAAATGTTAGAACGACCGGGTCTTCGAGTGCGATCTCGTGCAAACGAACAAGTGTAATGGCTAGAGATATAATTTTGGCTACAGAGAGATTTCCAATGACGGCAGAGAGCCTAGGAAGCGCGCTTGATTTTGTGAGGGTACCCATCATGAGAAGTGGCGGTTGAAGGAATGGGACCGCTGAAAATGACAGATCGACAAGTGCCTTCTATTTGCGATCCCCTGGTATCTTTTTCGGTGTATTGAGGCAGCCTGCCGTGCATCAACCAATACTTCAGGGGTGTACGTACTGTAGGGAATTTACCCGGGTACCTAGACATGTTCATCATGGAGAACCAGTTGGTTTCCTAGCTGGTCTATAGACCCGCCACAGGGGCCATGCCGACCGCTGCTTAAAGTTTACTCCACGACGACCCCGACCTCCCTCCGGACCGTGCCACGCGTAAGTATCGGGCCTTCAGAGTTGAACACAAGCTCGTACGAAGCGCGGCTAATGCTCATGCACTCGGCGGATCGAGAGCCAGGAAAGAAAGTAGGCATATAGACGTGAATTCGGCTGTAATTCGCAGGGAAGAAATTTCGCCAATACGCATGACTATATCTACGGAGACCTCTTTGTCGCGTTACCACCTCCAATGGTACTCACGTCGGGCGCACCAACAAGAGCCAGATTCTCAATACCAGCAACTCCATACAGCGCTGCGGCATTCGTGCTAACCCATGTGGCTTCATCGACAGCAGTAAGTGCATCACTCCCATCGACCCTCACCTTCGCCCATGGAGCACCCGGTGCGAGTCCGTCCTTGCTACCATCGCCCAAGAACTCTGACCAAACTCTTGGAACGAGTGTCGCGTTGTTGCGATGATTGGCGACATATGCGGTGAAGCGCGAGTGGCCCTGCATCAGACTTAAAGTGCCAAAGTCCTTGCCATAACGAGCCTTCTGTTCAGCCTTCCCGGCGCCGTAATAGTAACAATAGTCCAAGAATGCTTCGAAGAAAGGTTGAGTGAGATTCTTCTGCTCCGCACCGAAGTGGTCCACGATCTGATCAATCGTCTCGAGGACGCCGAAGACACCAGACAAATGCGAGACCGTGACGTTGCCGGTATTGTTTGGGTCTGTGGGCGGCGGTGCCCATGCACCAGTGAGACTGTTGTAAAAGGCTTCGCCAGTAGCGAATCCGTTCTTGAGCTTGGGGTATGTCATGATTGACTCAACAAGCTTTTTGCGAGACTCTTCCCAGCGAGGGCCGCGACGCTCCCATTCGATAAGGTATGCTTGAGCAATACCAGCCCAATCCGTTCCAAAATTGAGGAATAGTGCTTCTGGATCAGGGTTGTAGACAACACCTGGTTCTCTCACCTTGCGTCTCGCATCTACACGAAGGAAGGCTTTATCAGCATCTATGACCTCGCGTACCAAGTCGCCAGTCCGCTCGTCACCGCCAGAGATGTAGTAGAACGTCTTGCGGTAGACCGGAGTTGAGATTCTAGCTTGTTTGGCACTATCACTCCAGTGTTGGACACCTGTAGAGGTAGAGGTGCGAAGTCAGTATTTGTCTTATACGCACTTTGTACATTCAAAACTTACCGTGTCGGGTACCAAGCCCAGTAAAGTTACCCAGATGATACGAGTCAACCTCGCCTCCGTGGCGCACTTGGTCGTGAGCAATTTTGTAAGCGTCCGCACGACCAGTGCGAAGGAAAAAGTCCCAGAAGAAGAGATCAGGCGACAGTTCCGAGTTGTCCCAGGCATACCCACCGATGTCGTATCTCCACTGATGACGATCGTTATCATAGGTATGCATGATGTCTCCATGGTCCCAGAATCCGTACCAGCGACGCTGCTCGATCTGATCCTCGTAGAACTTGATGAGGAAGTCCATGTTGTTCTCGATAATTTGTGCTTTGGCGGAGTCTAAAGCACCAGGCACGTTCCAGTACGACCCAATCGCTTTGGTGTCGCGCATGTACTCTGGCTCAGCAATGAGAACAGGTGGGTTGTTGGTGAAGTTGGTGAGCGTTGCAAGGTGATCAGCGGATGGAGTCTTGTCAAACGCGTAGATGTAAAGCTCGTTGGTGCGGCCGAGGCCGTAGGGAGTGTCGTAACCTCCTTCCCAATCTTCGTATGTGATATCCAGAGCGTCTAGTTGTTGCTTGTAGGTGTCTTGTCCAAGTCCGTCGTGGTATGGGCGGATATCCATGGGCCCTGCTTGAGGGCTGTATAGCCACATGGTGATTGATCCTGTATTAGTTGCAGCATTAGAGATATCCAAACTGGTAGGATACTTCTTCCAGAAATCACGAAGGCCCACGGCAAGACCGCCAACCGTAGCGCCGCCGAGATATGCCAAGCCACCTGAGCGTGTGCCTCCAGGGATCTTGACCCAGCTTTGGCCAGCCTTTGTGCGCTTCTTGAGATTGAAGCCGTCCGGAGACAGTTGTGTCAGGCGATAGTCGCTCCACGTTGGAATCCACTGTAGACGAGTGGTCACCCTTTGATCCCATGTAGAATTCGGTGGCAGAACGGTGCCATTAAACTGACCCGATCGGATGTCGACACCTGGGTCTCGACGCAGACCAGTAATGCCCTTGACGGCTTCGTGCAGCATTCCGCCATCAACACCCGCGATTCGAATATGACGATCGTAGAACTCCTCTTCAGCTAGGGGAACATCGAAGCGGATGCCGATCCCCGACATGAAGTCTTTATGCATATCTCCATCATAGATGATGGTATGAATAACCCGAATTGCTTCGGAGTCAGCGTAGAGGTAGAAGCGAACGGTAAAGGGTATCCAGTCGTCGTGAGTGCCATCTCCGTCGATAGTGTGGATGCCATTGACCGTGACTAACGACCTAACGGTATTCTCCTCCGATACAGTAACGTTCGAGATCTTGCTGGTGAAGCTGAAATAGTCAATGCCGATTGGCTTGCCATCTTCGTCGTCATCAGGAGTACCATTCTGAGAGCGTAGGACGAGGTGACCGTTGCTTCCGACCGTCTTCCCGCCGGCTTCAATGGTGGACACTAAGATGTTGCCCGATTTGGGAAAGGCTGCTGAGACTTTGCCGGTACTGACCACGATAGTATTGCCAGAGTCAGTAACCTGGATGCCATTGCCTTGGCGTTTGTATAGCGAGGTCGAGGAGTTCCCTGCACCAGAAGCCGTGACTGTGTATTCACTGGCTGGGGCGTCGCTAGCTCCTAGAGCATGTCCGGTCCACTTCAAAGAGCCGTCCGGCCAGTAGGCTGTCACCCACGATTGAAGTTCCGCATCTCCAGAGACGGTGAAGGTTGTTGTGTTCGCAAGGTGCTGTCCGCGAGGCCACGGTAGGCCAAATGTCACGCCAGCGAGGTATTTTGGTGTATCTTCGAGCCACTTCACTTTGACAGAGTCGCTTTGGGCAGTGGCATAGCCGACAAGGCCAGCAAGGCCAATGAAGACCCTCAACATCGTGAGACAGGGCAAAGAGTGGAAGAAGTCGCAACTAGCCGGGAGGCTTGGTTTTCTTCCTGACACTTCGAAAGGCGAGCATTTTGTACTTGTGCAGTACGTTAGGCCCAGGTACCTGGCTACGTCTTGACCGCAACGGGCCGTGGCCAATCCAATATCCGGCTCGCCATATCCCTTTCGGTAGTATACCCGTCGGCTAGCCTGCACGCAAGCAGGTGTCTATAGAACGTCATGTAGGTCGTCCTGAACGAGCTTGGCTCGTGCTTGGCAAGTCTCGCAAGTGATGGGTATGAGTGGAGGTACTACGGAGGTGGGGTAGATCTGCAGGTTTCCGGGAAGGCGAAGAGCTCTCCGCAATTTAACCTCGGGGTAGAGACAGCCGAACTGATGCCTTTCTGGGTGATAGATGCGTACGGTACTGCTAGGTCAGCAAAAATAGAAGCATTGCCCGCAAACTGCCAGGCACCGCGAGCGGACTTGCTACATGTCCTCTGCTTGGGCATAAAAGATCAAAAACATACAACAGCGGGGATTCGCTAGTGGTCACCCACCTAACTACTAATCCGCCGGTATCTTGCTTGTATATGGCTGAGCGGACGGGAAGCCTAATTTTCAAGATCCTATGGTCGTATGTGGAAGAGAGAGATCTAAGCCAGTATATAATGCCACAATGGACTCCCAGCGGAAGAGCCAGCCGAGCTAGGCAGACTGGGCGGCTTCGGAGCTGCTGAATCGCAGGGCGACGATGCGATGTGTCTGGATAAAACGGAGGGCGACGGGCTCAAAGGATGACATAGGGTGTGAGGGTGTTGTTGCAACCTTCGCGCGAAAGGATGCATGTGCCACACGCGCGCGTCACGTTCATGCCAAGCACGCTAGCCAGAATCGCGCCACGCGCCGCTCCTCGATCCTCATCTTGGAAACGCGACTCTCTTGGGCATCGGAACAACACACGGCGAAATGAGTTCCTGAACGCGCGCTACCGGTTCACTAGCGTGTTCGACGGCAGGTACTACGACACGTTCTGACCAACATCGTCAACCCGCAATCGTCCCTGCAGGTCCTGACATTACATCACGCAGCCTGTTCACATCTGGAGGCAAAAATCCAGCTTGCATTGTCACGGAATGCAAGAAAACATTTTAGAATACTACATTGCCTTAACAAAGATATGGGGCATAGACCTCATGTGCGCAAACACATGATGGGGTAGCAAAACGCTCGTGTACGCGATGCGCTTCTCGCCACATGAAAGCCGGGCATTATCTAGTCCTATTCAAATTTGGGTGAAAGAAGACCAGACTTCTTTACTTGTTACCGCTACCGCTGCCTTGGCCGAAGACGCCACCACGACGACCGCCTTCTTGTTCGTATTCTCCGTATGTTTCTGGCATCTTAGCAAGTTTGATGGGAGGAGTGCTTGTACTGGTGGTGGTGGTTAAAGTAGTTTGAGAATGTGGGGCGTGAGAGTATGAGTGTAGTTGGGATGGTGCAACGCGTGCAGTTTATTTGTAGTAATTAGGGCTACGGTTGTGAAGGCACCATGTGAGGCGGGTGTCAGGTGTTATGAAATGAGTTGGCTGTGACAATGCCAGTGACTACCACTGCATAAGACATGTCCCACTTTGAGCAAGGTGTTCGAGAAGATGAAAGTCTATTAAAGTTCAATCCTAAGTCTAATACCACCGTCTATTACTGCAAGCCTTACTCCTTCACACCTAGTAAGTAACCTCTCCGAATTCCTCGTCAGCGAGGATCAGGTACGTCTTCTCCTCGCTCAATTCTATGTCACACTCCTCGTAGTCTTCGTACAGAGTGGCGTTGAAGAAGTTGCACATGTCCTGAACGATAGGGCGTGCCTTGCCGAGCTCCTCAAACGAGCAAGTGCCCTTACCGCCGAGGGCGGCAGGGAAGGCACAGGGCTCGATCGCCTGTTACAGTGTCAGAAAAGTGCTGCAGCTGGGACTAAGACGGGCATGATACTCACGGCGGAGTAGACGCTGTAGTTGATGCAATGGCAAGTAAAATCATCGGGCGCACAGCCGTCAGCATGGTTGGCCTTCTCCTGGCACTGGTGAAGGCACTTGGGCATCCATTTGCTGAGCTTCTTGTTGTCCCTAGCATCATCGCATTAGTATAGAGACCAACGAGGTTCCGGAGGGGCTTAGCATACAAGCACTTGTACTTCTCCATGTTACCCGCTTTCTCAGCTTGAGTAATGTTGTAGGTGTACTGGGCGCTGGCCGCAGCGGCAACGGAAAGAAGAGTGGCGATTTGGGAGAAACGCATGATGAATATCGGTATATGATGATTGTGTGGTTGTTGATGAGCTGATGTATTGAAAGTGATGCTTGATGTTGTGCTTCGATTAGAGTGAGGATGTCATCCCTCTTATACACCAACTTTGGCACGACCTTCCCCCTTCTCAGATGGAATCAAAGCGTTGTGTGCTGGTAGAAAGGACCTGCAGCAGTGTACCATACAGTCCCAACATTGGATGTGTAATATTGATCCATGCAGGAACGTCCTCCCGCATTGAGCTAAGACATGTTAGCGCGACTGTCAAATGGATGCGCCGGCAGAGTTTCCGAGCCCTCACCTCCTCTGGTGGCCCTCAACGTTGGTCCGGGCAGCACCATGGTCGGAGCGGAACATGCATTACGCCTGGCGGTGACAGCAACATTAGCTGAAGGGAGGAAGCGGTCAACTCTCCCAACACAAACGAGAGAAACAACAAAATATTTGGCAATCAGACATCAATGTCAGTGGAGGGTTACTGAAGGAGTGTGCCGTAAACGATACATCAGCATTTCCATAATCGGAAATGCGCTTGTGTCACGATGAAGACGAAATGAGAGACGAAAGACTGGAAAAGATGCGGTCTAGCGAACAAATCGTGAGCAATTTCAGTAGCATGAGCAAACCATTTGGCAGTACCGTGGAACAAGCCGATGCATTGACATTCTAATGAGAAAGGGGATTAAAAAGGAAAAACAAATGTACTGGGGCCTAGCTAGGGCTGACAAGAGACAGCATAAACTTGTCATGAAGATGGACTCTCTCATCTGATGCGGTGTGAGAGGATTGCGCAGCTGACCGACTTGCGCATTTGGTTGAGGTGGTGGACGTGATGTAAGATACCTGTTGTTGGATGGGTCCCTTGTCCTCAGGCAAACCTTTCCGAAAAGATTTAGTATGTGGAGCTCCGGGACCCCGCCTTGCCTCGACATCTGGACCAACAATGAGGTTTACTTGCTTATTGTATTGGGACCCGTCTCCTCACCGCTGCCTGGTGTTCGACAAGAGATCATAACCTCGACTTTTACAATTGCTCGTTAACGAGCGCGGCGAAGTGCGGGTGTGCTGCGCCTATAGCGTCGCATTGCGCCTCCGACAACCTGTGCGTATTCCCCAACATCTGCCTGGCTGTTCTTACAGCAAGATACCTGACGATTGAATCCGAAGGCTGCAGGGCTCGCAGAAGACGTAGGTAGCTGTTCATCTCCGCGACGAGGCTGTCATGATCAATAAGACGCTTGATGAACGCCTGCAGATCTTCAGTAGCGTCAATACCGAAAGCGCGCATCGCCGCATAGCTATACAGCCAATACCACTTGTCTTCGCCATCGACTTCTGGGTCATCTGGGATGAAAGATGTCGTTGTCTTGCTTCCGAGACAGCGAACAAGCCAATCGAGGACACACATAGCGTAACCCGGTAAGATGGGGCCCATGGCAAGAGCGACATGTGAAACGTCTGGGTATTCCCGATAGCCGGTTTGAAAAGCCTGCGAAACCGCAGCAAGAGCCAGAACTTGAATTTCGATGGCATATAGACGGTGGTCGCTCTCGGCTTGCTTGGTCATTTGACGGCTGCGATCGACGGAAACGACACCTTTGGCAGCAGAACACTGGTGGGCGTAGTCCGACGACGTGCCCGAATGAGACACGACAAGCAAAAGCGGAGGACCTTCCAGGATATGAGCGCGTATTTGGTATGAAAGGTTGCCAAATGCCTCCCTCTGGCTTTTGTCAAGAGAAGCCGTAGTATCTATGTCCATGCTGCGAAAGCTCTCTTCGAGCTTCACGTCTGCAACTGTGGCTTGGTCGTCTCGATGGCGTGGCGGCAGCATTCGGTTGTTTCGAAGCTTTCCACGTCTGTTAAGCCAAGTCGGGACTCTGCATTACTGCGATGGAAGAATATGACCCTTCACTGTAGGCTGCGCCTGCCTGCTATGATTGGCAACAGCGCCCGCAACGCCGTGGTGACGCAACTACGCGCTCACAGCGCTACACCTCGTTCTCGGCGGCGCCTAGAGCAACCCGTCGACGGCTATTCTTCGAGAAGGGCACTTTGAAAGCATGGCCGTAGTGAATGTGGGTGACAAGGACAATACTAGGTAGAGCGTGTGGTACTAGCGTAACAATGGACCCACACAACACCTTTGTCACCTAGTTTAACTTGCCCATCTCTAAACACGACCTTTCGGTATGACAATCACAGATCTTGTGCTATCCTCAACCATCGACACCATGGCCAGAAAACGCAATGGCGGTTCGCACCAAAATACTGACGGCACCCACAACATTCACCCCAAGACTGCGACCAGTGCCCATATTCAAAACAAGGCGAGAGAAGGACTTCAAGCCCAAAACCAAGGAATGCAGAAAGAACGTGGCCGCAATTGTGCACGTCTACACGGTGGCAGACGTGGACATGGCGACCGGCGGGGCATGTCGCCAGGGCGAGACATTCAGCGCGAACAACAATCCAAGCACCGAGACAACAGGCGCACGCGCACCCCACCCCCAGCCGGAGAGATCCGCGATAGATCAATCGACGTTCAAAAACACCGCGGAAGTGCAGCTACAGACTCTATTGGGCAGGTTTCCCGGAAGCGCAAACAAGAGGCAACTGAAGATGATGGGCTGCATGCAAAGAAGAAAGCGCATAGCGGACCTGGAGAAACGCAACCGACTATAGTCGCGTACGGACAAGAACATGTGCACGCACCAGCGGTGGAGAAGAACGTCGATGCAGACAAGAAGGTCCCTAGTCTACTTGACATCAAGAAGATGACCGAGGAAGACAGGAAGAAGCTCCGTGATACTAAGTTCAAACAGCAACCTGTTGTTCCTAGCAGAGCTGTTGTATTGGAGACAGTCTCTCACGAGCCAAAGAGCCCTGGGACGAGAAGCAGTGTCAAAGACAATTGCAAGATCACAGCACCCGATGCGGAGCCAGAGGCAAAGGCGCTTACTCCACGGATCCCAAGTCAAGACACCAAAGCTAGCTTGCTAAAGCAGTTCTATGCTAGCACCAAGGACGCGACCACGGTGCCGCCCGATGCATCCGTCACCAACGGCGCCGCCTTAACCCCCAAGTCACGGCAACTGAGCGCGGGGAAGGACATCCACAAGACGGAAGACGCGAAGACCAGTGAATGCAAGGCAGGTAGTACAAAGTCAAAGCTTAGTCCTACTTTAAGCCAAACAGTCACGCCGCCGGCTAAGCGCAGTAAGCGGAAGCTCGAGGGTTTAGAGAAGCCTGAGGTAGCTTCACACAAAAGGGCTAAAGCGAGCTACGAGGCCATAAAGAGGCGGAATACCAAGATGAAGAAGTCTCTGGATGATCACCACTTGCATGCCAATCAGGATCGCTTCCCAGAGGAAGGAGTTACCTTTTTCGACTATGACGTTTACAGCATACCCCTCCTATGCTCTCATTTGCTTGAACATCAGTACCCATTCGAGGTTATGAATGAGCCCTCAAACAGGCTGAAACGATCTTTCACTAATGAAAACGAGGTTCATGTCTTTGGTCGTAAGATGCTTGTTCTGCGGCAGGAAGCGCTTCGCCTATCCAGGAAGAAGTTTTGGACATCCGAAGACCTTGGCCGCGAAGATGGTTTGAAAGTCGAGCCCACTAGAGATGTTGTCGACTGTGATCTCTATCTCTACAACGGGAAGGTCCACGTCGCTACCGAGCGAGGACTTCTTCTAGCAGCAGTGTACCTCAAGCTCATCGGAGTCCCGGACACGCAGCCAGTACGTTTCCATGGGAACAAACCCGCTTGGATGAGCCGAGTTACGCCTAATCCGGAGCATAGACGTGTCTTGGAGTCATGGTATCCTAGTGCAGCCTTAAAAGAAGGGGGCTGCATCTCAATCACGCACAGCTCTACCGTAGTAGTATACGAGCACGGCGTTTTCGACATCGACCACAACACTGGTGCGGAGTCCCGAATGGCCTACGGTGCGCGAGAGGATGATGGCGTTGTTGGCTGGTTCGACTATTCGAAAACATGTCGTATAGACTGGCTCGAAGATCCAGAGAAGACAACTGCGGCCACACACGACCCTACCATAATTGACTGGTCGAAATTCGACTATGGTCCTCTCGCAGCTCGATCTGCAGCTCAACAAGCGGCACAGCGTGAATTGACGGCTGCAACGCAGGGAATAGCAACAGTTTATGCATCCACAGCACCACTCCCGCCGATTACATCAGCATTGGCATCCCCGGCAATCGGCGAGGCAACCGGAGCATCTCCCGCAGAAAAAGCAGCGATTCCTGGCAGCAATGGCGAGCATCACTTGACTGAACTTGGGTTTGCAGCGGAAAGGTCGAAACAGTCTGTGACACATGCTGAGTCTCCAGGTTCCCGCGTATCGCAAAAAGAGGGAGATTCTCCATCGTCGGCGACCAAGGATGGACGTGTTTCGCGACATGACAGTCCCAATTCCCGATCTAAACAGACAGCGAATGAGGGTAGCAGCGATAGTATTGGCGACGATGAATCTCAAGGAACCATCGATGCCACATTACCTAAACAAGTTACAGACGTCGGATCTGTCGTGACACAAGAGACGGCAATGCATCAGTCCTTGAGTCCTCACCAGGTCTCACCAGGTTGTGACGGACCTGGAGGATACCAAGTATCTTCACATGAGCCTGCAGTACCGGCTAACACAGCAGTGCGACCGTGCAAACCTATGTCTACAGTATCTCAACGCTACGATGTTGAGGTAGATTGGGACGATACCGACATCCACGAGGATGATGAAACTCAAAACCAACCACTAAATGACAACAAAGAGGACGAAGAGCTTTGAGTTGGGACAAAAATATCCCAGACTTTACTGGAATCGCACAGTCTACAGCAGCTCTCTCTACTCGTCTGCGCAGCATGGAGCCATCGCCCGAGAAGTTGGCATTAGTTACGAATACCAAGCGTACAGTGCGATCTTGCCAAGCAGAATCCCAACACATGGGCATCATGTCACCCCACTATACCACAGAAGGCATTATTAGCATGCCTGACGCTCAGATCTCTTCCTTTGCGATACGTACGCGATGATTCTGAAGAAGACCTTATCTCCCAAATATGAGATGATTGCAAAAGAACACGCCAAATCAGACATGAAAGACGAAACCAAGCGCCAAAGTTGCGCACCTTCAGTCTCTCAGCATGCCCACCATTTGCATGGTCTATCGGATGAACCTCATGGTCTAGAGGCAAATCAAACATGACCGAGAGCCCCAAAACAGGCACGTGTCGCAAGCGTATCATCACAGTCAAGTCACCATGTACCCCCGAGGTTACACGACGCATATATTGTTCACGTATAAGCGGCCTAACTACGATACCCATTTGCAGTTTTCAGGCGCAGATTCGAGAGTGTTCGGAGAACGACGAGCGAAGATGATCGGAGGAGCATCGGTCCATTTGCATCAATACGAAGTTCAAACCGAGCACCGCGCGGGTCGCACATGTGCTTGTATCACGTAGCTATGGATCCTCGATAGTTTGATGATTCCATCATCATCAGATAATAGAAAAGAATGTTGCGAGATCGCGTGACCCAGGCGGTTCGCCGCCAAATGTACTGACGTGAAAAGTATCTATCCTACAGCGTGTTGGTAGATTTTAAAGTTCTGCCACCATCTAGCTTCCTCACGTGAGTTCCTGTCCCTGTTCCAGAAGCTGTAGGATTCGTCGACAGTGGCTTCCTCTTCGGAACAACGTCGGTCTTTGTAACCTCTGTCACCTTCTCTCCAAGCTTGTTTGATGGCGCTGATCCGCTACTAATAGATAGCCGCAACTTCTTCTTCTTGTGTGCACGGAACCTGGAAAGTCAGTATGTATGAGGGCGACACGACAAACGAACTCTTACCAGAAAAAAAGCAAGGAAATTATAAGTAATCCGCCAACCGATCCGCCTACTGCTGTGCCAACGGTATAGCCTGTCCCGATATTAGCATATAGATAAGGTCTTCTAGATGCTTTTGCAGTGTGTAGATACCTGTAGAGAAGCCTGTAGGGCTGCCGCCCGAACTAGGTGGTAGGGCACTGGTCGGATTTGGCGGAGATGGAGATTCTGTCGGAACTGCTGTCGGAGATGGAATTGCCGAAGAAAATTCCGGGGGCGGGGAAGATGACAATGATGATGATGATGTTGTTGTTGTTGTGGATGGTCGCGTTATGGTAATGAATACCGATTGTTGGCCATTGAATTGAGAGCTTAGTCCCGCAAAGACACTTGAGTCCAATGCAGATGATGAAGAGACGACGAGCGTAGTGTCAAGCTGTAGAGTAAATCTCAGTCTCGCCGACGGAAAGTTGGGTTTCTTACAAATTGCGCGCTTGCCATCGTAACGAGATTCAGAACGAGCAAGTACAAAAGAAACGCTTCCATCTTCGATAGCCAGAGGGAAAAGATGACCATCTGAAGCTCAACCTAGAGAAACCGCCTGATATATGTATGTAGTTCTTTTCATGTGTCAATCTCAGCCGCAATGAGGCGTCGGTCTAGAAACTCCACAAAGTTGGGGGCCAAGCTTATCGCGGGAGGGGGAGGTTCAGCTGAGCGATAAGGCAGAGTTCAGCCCCATCAGAGCTGGCATCCTTTCTTGGTCATTGCAACAAACTTTCCAGTCTTTCCTTTCCTGTTTCTTTATACTGACGGCTTTCGACAATGGACCCATCGGGTTGTCTCGCCCTTTCCACACGAACGGACTTTACAGCATACATCAATCTGCTCCGCAACGCCACGGGCGGAGACTTCAGCCTTGTGAAAGACTGCAAAACCAATGTATGCGGAGCATTATGGGGCTCAGGAAATCCAGATATCAGTGGCATTGGTATGGCGATTGGTTACATCCTTGAAAGCATCATATGCGCATGTCTTGTAGCGACATCGATGTGGTTTGAAGGAAGCGTCAAAGGCCATCCAGGCCTTGGGAAGTTATTGGTCGCGAACGCTACAAGAACCTTTTTCGACAGCGCCGTCTTTTTTACCTTCGCGATACAGACTGCCAGCATCGTAACACTCTCTGGGGTTGACTTTGGGGTCAACGCCGTTGGGATGGGCGGGTTCACAGTTGAGATTGCTTGGCTTGTCTCGTCGCTCACGCTTCTACCTCTCCTTCCGATGGTGTTGCGTTCACGAATGTTTTTGGAAAGCAGCGCAACAGATGTGGCTAGAAGACGGTCGTCTAGTGGTACTGATGTTCAAGAAGATGGATACGAAGAGCCAAGAAGCGGCGCTGATGGACACCCTGGGCCCCTCTCCGATGCTCGTAGAGGACAACGTTTTGTTTTGTTCGTTATATGCTGGGCTATGGGCTTTTGCCCTTTCTTCTCTCGCATGGGAGGAACTTTTGGTGAGTAGCGATACTATACTGATGAAAATTGACTAATCAATGCAGGTGAAAGCCGGATCGGAAATGCGCCAAACACCGCCATAACAACGGAAGAATGGAGCGTGATCGCGGGCGTCTGTTTTGAAGGCGTTAGCACTCTCAGCTCACATGAGCGCAATCTCACCACAGCGTTTGGCATTATCAGCTATTTGCTGTTGTCCATTGTCGTCATCTCGAAGATCCTTTCCTCCGCTTTAGAGGACATGGACCACAAACAAACCTGGCTGACAAAGTGCTGTTCTGCGTTTAGTGGAGGTTTTGTCGGGTGGTATGCAGAACTAGGAATCAACGTTGTCGTTGCCATCGCACTAGTTGTACAATTCTGGGCGCTCTTTCGGCTACGACAGCTACAAAGTGTCATGATCCGAGCAGCTGGTGGGAGTTTTCCAGATGGGCAGTGGACTTTTGGTCAAATTGTAGCCACCGTCGTTTTCGTTCCAGTCGCTGCCGAAGTATTGTTTGTGTGGAAGAGACGTTCACTGTATCTTGGATAGAAGCATGCAAATAAAACATTGAAGAAGACGTGGTATTCGGCTGGCGATTACGCACATGATGTAAATCGTATTACTAACCCTCGATAGGTCGGACTAGGACATAGAGGAAGTAACCGTGGTACCAGGAAGAGATTATCAATTGCCCTCCCCCGGTCCCTTCTTTTGGTAGTCGGACTGATCTGCCAATCGGTTTGTCTCTTCTTCAAGATAGTCATTTCCATTGATCGCATCCGTCGCGTTCCTCCGAATGAATTTCTTGTATTTTCCAATGTTGAGAGGAAATCCGTTATGAGCCGCAGCTGTGCTCCCATTCCAGCGAACTCCCGACCAATGCTTTATACTATGACCGATGACAGGCAGTTCAGGGGGGAGAAGATATGTGTCTTTATCATAAGGTATTTCGCGGCCCGCGGGTTGATCATGGTAACCGAGGTACTTTCTCTCTGAGTTCTTGAAGTCGAAGTTACTCTCTGGTTCTGGTGATGGTGATGGTGGTTCTTCTCCCGATTGATTATCAACACCCTGCGCTTCTTCTGGCGGTTGTTCGTCAGGATCATCCATGTCATCTGAGGATTTGGTGCCACTCTCAGTTGAAGGTTTGACGTCTCTGCGGTCTTGCGAGGTCCTGTGAGGATACGTTCCAATGAAGTGACAGAGAACTGGATCAAGCACAGCAACACCCCTAGAGTAGAAGCGCCCGACAGTATGCTCTAGAGTGGCGAGGTGGCACGCGTTGAGTCTATTGTTGTACATCTCCATGACTATTGCGTCAATGAGTGGCTAGAGACGTTGGGTGTATGGTCAGTTCATGTTTACAAATAGTTAGGCATTGAAGGAGATTCCCTTACCAGTTGTACGAATTTCGGCAGGCCTAGCTGCAGCATAGCATTGTAGAGATGAATCTTACCCTCAAGTGCAGGTGGAATCCCCATGACAATAGCGCCATCAGGTTTTACTAGATCGAGTGGGCGCCTCTGCACTCTTTTCAGCCACGGAATGATGAATTTCTTGATTTCCTTCGGTCGTATAAACGCCATTTGGTCATCAGGTTGTTCGGCGAGTCTTTTTCCATCGACACAATAATTATAGTTGTCGTTGAAATACTGAGTCGGTGTCTCACCCAGAGCAGCATGATGTTGTCTCGGATAACGCACTGGCAGGTGAAGCGTCTTGACTCCCGGATTGTATGCGAAGTGCTCATCAGCGAAGGTCGAGCACATCCTCAAAGTAGCGCGATCAACAGTTGTTCGGATAGTATATGCGGCGTTCTGCCTGAACTTTTTGATGAACTCCCAATAACTTCCTCCCCTCTCACAATATAGCGTTCTATACCTTTGCTCATCGATAATGATTTCAACGTTATCAGTAGAAGCGTCCGCAGTCTTTTGGTTGTAAACATCAATCTGGTCAATGTATCGATAATAATCCGCCTCTTTTCGTGCTTCATCGTCTAAATATTGATCGTGTTTCGAAACAACTCTTCCGCTAGCATGACAAAGGACCATGGTGTCGTCCGCGTATTCGTCGGAGAAATCGATGCTCGAATTGGTGGCTCAGAGGGTGTGGTGGTGATCTTCAGCAGGACTCGAGAACTCCAAGGTTCGCTGCCAAAAGACATCATTTCCATGTCGCGCACCCTTTGTTGATCAGGGGCCCTTTGACGAAGGTGAAACCTTCCGAAGCCATCGACGTGAGACATCACTTTCTTTGAGCGCGCCGTATTCGGCACAAAGCAGGTACACCAACTCAACCATGAGAAGTACAGTACACCGATTGACCGCCATGCGATACCGGATACGGCGTCATGAAACTTAGACGCAAGTTTCTTGGTTGATCTTGATGTAAATGTGCGTAGGTGTGAGGATTATTGTTTAGGAGAGATACATTGAAGCGCTAAAAGGTTGTACTCCGGTTGCGCCGGACACGGCTAGATCAGAAGACTCTAGATCAATGAGACTATGCTGCAACATAGCGCTGCGAATTCATATTGAACTAATGGTGTTGAATAGTCGCATCCACGTAGCGTCCAACCTTCTCACCGCCGACTGCCCTTTACATGCTGTCATGTTCACTCGTCAGCGTCCTCCATCTTACTTCCCTCCATTCCCACCACAAGCCCTCTCAAGCGTCAAAAACGCAAAGTGCCCACCAACGACAGGCCTCGCGAAGAACCAGGGCCCAGGGAATCCACCATCACCTTCAGTGACATACAGGTCCGTAAAAGGGCGATCCGTGACGGTCTCATTCAACCAAAGCGCCACCCGATCAAGAATCTCGGAGCGCACCTTCTTATTCGCAACTGCAGCGGCTTCAAACTCCCAATCGGACTTGGTGTACAAGTGACGAGAATCGAGGGGAAGTCCGTACTTCTGCATCACGGTAGAGTACCAGTCACTCTGGAGGTTGTAGATTTTATCCGGAATGAAATCCTCTGTGATGGGCTCGCGGCCAGAGGAGTGCTTGGAAGACGACAAAGGCCTCTGCTCTTGATGGTGTCCAGATGCGTAATCTGGCTGTTCTGATATCGAAGACGAGTTTGTGATGGTGGGGTGGAAGCAGAGTACAGCATCGGCGTAAAGCGAGTACAGAGTAGTCCAGCTGCCGTACCAATCGTACGCGAGTTTAGCATGTGTGCCATCGCGCGACATGCCGTATTCTTGCCACTTCTTGATGTACGTCTCGGAGATGTTGCGGTAGTGTTTTGCGTCACCCGGTCGATCCATGAGGTCTGCGATTTCACTGAAGGCTTTGATGCCTACAATGCCCTTCAGGGCAAGATTTGTTTGAAGTGGCAGCCAGCCAGCGAAGTCATCAGTGCAGACTAGAATACTCGTTAGCTTGTACTTCGAATTATCGCGAGTCAATACTTACGCTGGTTGTGAGGCTCAAGAGCGTCTTCAACAAGATAGCCTGTCCATTGCTTCCACAGGTCGTAGCTGCCCTCCAGCCACTTCTTCGCTTGGTCAATGCCTTTAGTGCTTCCGCCCCAAGTCTCATCGATGTAGTCGACTCCATCGTGCAGTCCGACGCTGTTCAGAGAGAATGCGTTGGTTGCATCGATACTAAGGCCTGCGTCATTGCCGATAGCTGACCAGATGGACTGAGCTTGTGCGTCGGAGTTGTAGCTCAACGAGTTGACCAGTGCCAGACCCATGATCAGCATATCGCCACACTCCTCAACAGGCATGTACTCGTCCCGTCCATCGGCGTGTCCTGTCAAATTAGGGAAGTGTGCGCCAAGGTCATGCATCGAGTACTTGTTGGGATACTGGCCGGACAGCTGATGTTCCAGAAGTGGCTCCAACAGATATGCCAACCACCTAGGCTGCGTGTACAGGAAGAACGGGAAGGCCGGGAAGATGACGTCAACTGTTTGACTGTTGCCGTTGGAGGAGATCTCTTTAAGGAAAAGTAACGGATTGTCTTTAGTTCCGGAGAAGCTAGTGGCACCCATGACCTGTCGTGCAGACAAGGCAACAATATCCACGTAGTTTGTCGAGCCAGATTGGTAGGCATCAACGCGCAGCTGTTCCGAGTAGTTGCCAGCGAGACTCTTTGCCATTGCAAAGTCGCCGTAATGGAATTGAATGAGCTTGTCATCTTGAGGGAACCAGGACTTCCACAATGGCCGCATGAACGTGAGACCGCGCGCGGATGCATATTGTGTCACTGGATCCTGGATGTGGGTTATCGTAAACAGCACGCTGTCGCTGTTGCTGCTGGATTTGGAGCCAGTAGTGGACGAGTTTGCCAGCCTGAAGGCTTTCGAAAACGCAAACACGGGCTCTTCATCCATGACAGCGCGGAAGTTCCCATCAACCTCGTTCTGCAATGTCCCGGTTCGAGCAAACCGCTGGCGCAAGAGCGCAGATGTGCCCGATTCATGGCGCGCATCGACCGGCCCAGTGAAATGCAGCTGGCCCCACTCGGGCTGATCGTTCGTCTCGGTGAAGAGCTGCTCAACCTGCCGCTTGACTTGCCACGTCTTCAACTTGTCGTTCAGACCAGGCGCTACATGCTGGAACAAGCCCCATTCTATCAGGCTCTCCCTCTTTCCGCTAACCCATTGTCCATTCACGTCCACGTATATGTTGACATCGAACGTCCCTTCTACGTGTATAGACAGGTATGCTGCTGGTATGGTCTGGCGCAAAGTCGAGGTCGGTGTGATGGGCGAGAGGAAAGACAAAATGATCTCGACGTCTTTTGCTGAGCGGAGTGCATCGGGCGCTGGTATGGAATACGTAAGGTTGGTGGTCGACGCGTCGTATTTAGCACCTCGGTATATAGGGTACGCTATCGCGTAGCTAAAAACAGCAAGAGTCAGCAATGGCTGCGCTCCGAGAGATTCGAGCAAACATACTCTTTATTCTTCTGCTCCAGAGAATCATGAGGTCGGCCGAGTAGCGGGTATACTTCGTTGGTGTCAGGGACAGACGCCATGACACTGAAGCCGACCTCGGATCCAGTCCAGAACATGGGCCATTTGCTCCATGGCTCTTCTCTTGCGTTTTGCAGCCATGTACTGAGGTATGGGTTTCGCACAATCAACGGAAGGACGGGTGGCTGGAGAGTCGACGCATCTACCACGCTTGCTAGAAGCGCCGCAGCTGCGACAGTGAAGGGACGCATGGTGTAGCTCGCGAACTACCGCCGCAAAATCAATGCCAAAGGATATGCTCGATGCTATGATAACGGAATCATGAGTTATGGGCTATTGTATAAGCAAAGAAGCATGAAGCACGCAACAGTGTTGGAGCTGTCAGCCGGGATGGAAGCTCCAGGTAGCTGCGGTTTGCGGGGTTGTGGAGGAGCGAATCACGGCGTGGTGCCTTGCATCATAGTGCCGATCGGCAATCGTCCCACGTTTCATCTTACGCGTCCTGACCTCATGACATCTCGAATGTTGATTGAGTAGCGCACAGCAGTATCAGAAGCTCTCGGACGCAAGCCATCGACTTTCAACCTCACTCTATCCTTCGATCTCGCGATGTCAACTTCCCCGCTTCAAAGCCCTTGTAACCACACTGCCCACAGCAGCTCTATCACGCCTCCCAACATCACAACAATCTTTGCGCATCCTCGTCAGCATCGATTTGCAGCGTTGCGTTCGGCGTCTGTGATCCTCGACGTTTCCAAGCAGATGTAATCACGCTCATCAATGCAGAAGCCGACCGACCTTGCTCTCTGCGTTTATATGGCGGTGGAGTGGATATGCCGTCCCGAACCGATTTGACGGGGCTTGGAGTTCGCACAGCCCAGTCGTCTAGCGGATACGCAGGATGCGGGTGGTATGACGTGGATGCCTCGAACTCGTTCTTGATGGGCAGCGTAGGAAGAGGCCGTGAAGCTGGTTCTGGAGGCCCAAGTCTGATAGATGGTGGTATGGAGAGCCGGTAGAACGAAGTTGCTGTACGGACAACGCCATGGCGCTGTTGTGCACTCTCGCCTGCATGCTCAACCGGCAGATCTGCCTTCGGGTCTGGTGCACCGCGTGGGATGTAGGCGCGTGACCGCTCTGTATCGCTCACAAGTCGTAGGGACGCTCTGTGGGTAAAGGGTTTTCGCCTCCCCACTGATGTGGATCGAGTAGGGCTTGACGAATTCTTAGTCTGTCCTCGTATGCTTGTAGCACTCGCGGCTCGTCCATTGAATTTCTCTTTGCAGTCCTGAAAGACATCTTCTGAATCCCTGCTCGTGGCGATACAGGCCCTTGTTCCCTCGATGGCTTCATTAGTACCACCACCTTCGTTTGGCTCTATCACTGGGAGGTCGTTCTCTTCGCCAGCACCACCGCGATTTTGATCCAGCAACCCCAACTCGCGCAGTTGATCCCAGTTGCGACAGTAGTATCGGAATGTCGCAAAGGGCTGATCGATGGGGTCGATCAGGGCGAATTTGTAAAACCGCTTCGGATGCTGTGGTCCCGCAGGCCCAGCGTTTACAAGGCTATCAAGGTTAGCATAGTACGTGCGTGTCACGGCGGGCGCCTACCCTATCCCAGTCTCAGTCCTTGCGTGCTCCGTTTGCTTGTACTCTTCTGCCTGTCTTTCGACTCGCTTCCGTCCGTGTGCACGATGTACTCTTATCTCAACGCGTGCAGTCTCGTCGAATGCATCTACGTCATCTTTTGTTGTAAAGCAAAGCACTCTCTTCTCGAACTTTTTCCTGTCACCGCCATCCCCGGGGCTCTCGAATAGACCAAACATAGTCTTACCCTTCCATCCCTCGTCCTTGCCTGTCGACCAGCTCACGACGTGCGCGCCGTTGATGTACAGCTTGAAAAGGAAGTAGTGTCCTTCGGGGACTGGCGGCGACACGGCATATTCGATCCAGAAGGTACTGCCAGGCAAAGCTGGGACGTAGACGCTGCGCGTCGATATCTTCTCATCGACGAATCGCGGGGTGAAGCTGGTGCTATCGTGAGGATTTGGGCGATACTCAGGTAGTTTTTCGATATCGAATTGGGAATGCAGACCAACGTCAATACTGCGACAATGCATCGTAGCGATGGTAGTGACGAGGTCGATGTCGGTGCTTGCGTGGGTAGCTCAACAATACTGGAAGCAGGTGCGGTTGCCTCCCATGGTGAAGTACACGACTGGCCAGCTAGCGCGACTGCTCCACCCCAACCCACCACGTTGGCTTCATGTAAATCTTGCTATGGATTTCTTCATTGTATTCTTTTCGCGACATGTCAAGAGCACGCACATGTTTGTGGGTTTGGATAGGCACAGTATCGAGAAGTGAAGCAGTTTTGCTCTCTGGAGCTTGTGACATCAGCGATCTTGCGAGTTGACAATATACCAATCAACAACATTGTTCCACGGTCAGCGACGATAAATTCTTATCGGCGGTGCGTTCTGGAAGTGGTGCCGCTACAAAGCAACTTGTCCCGGTCTGAGGAGGGCTTACTCGATCTTGCCGACAACACGAACCTTGTACTCCTAGTGTCGCTGTAGCATCGCTGGTGATACAAATCCAGAGTTCCATGCACGAATATTGAGCGGTTCTTTCACCGGAGTAAAGATGGTTGCGACTTCACCAGCTCTCACGTGCTGGTTCGTTCACTGTTCTTCCAGCACAGGCCCGAAGAAACACTCCTCACTATATAGACCATGGCCATACTCTTATACTCTCTTCTCCTCACCTAGCCTATCTATCACTAACTCAACCGCGTTCACAGTAAGTCGACCCCTCACTCCCTGTTACATGGTCTTGTGACGACTTCATGGCTCTTGTGGGCCTTGATCCACCAACTTACCTTTTCATCACATTGCTATCAGATTGCTAGATACTTATTAACAGCGAAGTAGGACCATCTTGGATTAGGAAGAATCTTTAGAGATGACAACGATGACCAATCTTCGGTACACGCTTCCGCCTAAGACAGACCAACTTACGCCAAAGCAGCTCGCCGAGTAAGTTTATCCTAACAAGCTCTTCCTTTCTTATTTCCAACCTGTACTAACTACAGCAGCTTCAGGAAGGGTCCAAAGGCAGCCATTGTCATTGGTCCTGACGATGACCGATACATCGGTCTTGAGAGTGCTTCCGTGAATTTGCTAGCGCACTTCTCTCCAGTGGCTCGGAAGAAGCTCATCGAAGAACGAGGCACGGTCTTGACCATTCCTGACGGCTCGAAGAATGCCATTCGTTGGATCTACAAGTACATGCAGGCTGGCGAGCGTGATCCTATAGACATGGATACGTTCGAGGCATTGAACTCCGATGCCTTGATCGTCATGTACAAACACTGCGACTTTCTTAAATATGATTCGCTGAAGAAGCGTATCTTCAATCGACTGAAGAGCAAGTTCTACCACACGCTCCCAACTGTCGACGAGATCAAGCGCTACCAGCATTCAATCCCAGCGCTCTACGACTGCGCAGTTTGCTGTATCGTCGATGAGATGGCGAAGCCATGGTCCTGTAGTTACGAGCCGTATTTCGAGTTTGCCAATACGAATGAGGCCTTCAGTAAGGCACTAGACTATGCTTTGCAGAAGGATATCGCTTCACGTATCAAGGTCAGCGAAGGATACTATCGAGACACGAAGGATCGCCGTGTGATATGGGCCGTTAACTATATCGAGGACATCCGTGCCAGCCGTCGCCCCTACACAAAATTCAACAACATGTCTTCGAACGTGTCGTCCTGGAGGTCTCAGCAGAAGGGCAAGGCCGCCCCAGGTCTATTCAACAATGTCAAGGCCGATGCGAACGGTGTATCAGGGAACTTTCCCACTCTTACAGCCAAACACGATAAGAAGCACGTCAACAAGGTCTACATGTCCTTCACTTGCCACAGGTGCGGGGGTGAAGGTCATATGGTACGTAATTGCACCGCAGAGGTTGCTGCTGGGTCCGTCACCGCTACTGGAGTTATATACAAGAAGCCGGAGCAGCGTCTGGGTCCCGTCTGCTACACCTGCAAAGGAGCAGGACATGTTTCCCGCAACTGCCCAGAAGACAAGTCGGCTGCTAAGCCTGCTGTCATCATCGGTCTTCTCAACAAGGCAACAAACAAGCGTCCACTACCCGTCTGCTTCGAATGCAACGAGATCGGTCATATCGCCCGCAACTGCCCGGAGGAGAAGCCGCAATCTGAGAGGAGCAAGGTAAAGTCTACGGAGCCGTTCATTTGCTACAAGTGTGGCGAGGAAGGGCATATGGCGCGAGAGTGCATGGAGGAGGTGGAAGGCGAGGAACACGCTGGTATAAAGCTCGTCAATGGCTTACGTCCCGCTCTCGGTCCCGCTCGCGCAGCTGCTGCCGCCAACCTTCGCTCCAGCCACTTTCAGCGCGACGGCCAAGCAAATGCAGTCGACGAGTTGAAAGATGGAGAGGTTTCAGTGACACCCGATCATGAGATTGGTTCGGGCGAGAAAACGCGGACTGTTCTCACCATCTACATAGCTGAACGGGATGAGGAGTAAACTTGAGAGGACGCGTTCAAAAAGTCTGATCACGAACTCAATAGCCGGAGCGATATAGTCGTGCAACATATCAAATCGTAATGGGAACTCAATGAGGTCGTTTCAAGACCGAGCTATCCATAGTATATTACATATGTATAAAGCTCCTGTAGCAAAACTCCAAGACATGGTCTCTTGATTGAGATTACCAATTGCCTGTGAAGATGCCTAGACTCTGCCGTATCGTTCGGACGCCAGGATCTACAGTCGTCGGTAAAGCAAATAATTAATTTGGTCTCTATTCCTTATCTCCACCAGGCTTGCTATTCTTCTCTAGATGGTCTTTGATACTAAACATGCCAGTTCCCCTCTCTAACGGCTTAGCTTGGTTTGGACTAGGCTTCCAACCAATCATGTAAATCAGCCTGAAAGTCGCAGGAAGCGTGCCATCTTCGTTGCCATGGAGTTCCTTGTATATAGCTTCAGCAGCCAGTAGTACGTCCCTCTGGATTGGCCCCTTCTCTCGTGCAAGCACGGCATTGGACTCGCCCATAGCTTGCAGGTCCTTCATCAACGAGAAGGTATCAGGATAGTCGACTACGATATCATCCACGTCCACAGTGAGGAGATTAAAGCCTGCTTTTTGTAGCAATCCACCCACATCTTTGACGTCTGCTAGTGGCGAGGTATGCGTTGAGACACCTCCTCTTCGGTCCAACTCTGCTAGTTGCAGAGACGTACGAAGCTCGTACAAGCTGTCTCCTCCCATCATGACGCCTATGAAAGGGCAATCTGGCTTCAGAATATTGTTCACTTGCGCCAACACCGATGGCAAATCATTGATCCAGTGCAGACTCAGGCTGCTCAAGACCGCGTCGAAAGAGTTTGCTTCGTATGGCAATAGCTCCGATGTCGACAAGACCTCGCGGACAATATCAATCTCTTTGTTGAAGGGCAGATCGGCATCGCGGTATAAGAGCGCTTCCGACGAGTCTGCGGCTGTGATGGTACCAATTCGCTTGGATCGAGGGCCTTTATCCGGGGCGTCTTCGGAGGGCAGAGTGAGTGCGCGGGACAGGTTGCACGCGTTTGCACCGAGATCGAGGACTTTGGGGAAATGCCGATTTATGTCCTGTGGTCGTTAGTCGCAGTTCATGTCCAGAGTGGGGAGCATCATACTAATACTCGCTCACACAGCCTTGATGCTACCTCATCTCTTAGGTAGTCTACACCTCTGCTGTTCTCTTTGTCTGCTGCAGCTCTTTCCTTCTGTAACCACTTCTGTTGGCCACTGAATATCTCCATCATTGGAGCGCCGGGCGCTTGTACTGCATAGCGCCGGGTGGTTTGGAGGGGCAAACATCGTCGCTTCAGTGGTGGGATGAAAGCGCGGATCGAAAAGAATGCCATAGTGCCAGTAGAAGACGAATTGACTGTACAATGGCGGTATGAACGACGTAAAAACGGACGGCGCGCAAGAGAGACGATGAGAAAGCAATACGTCAAGACCCTGGAGCTGCAGCACCAATCGGCGTTTGGCTCCACCGAGATCTACCTCCGCCCTCCAGAAGTCCATCACCAGCACCACTTCCTTGCCAACCAGGACGACTGGCTGGGGAAGAAGCACTCACTCAGCTTCGACCGTCATTTTTGAACTCGCGACTTCGCCATGGCGCAAGCTTTTCCGTATACGTACTACGCCTGCGACTGCTTCGACAACAACACCACGACCTCTACGAAACGCACCTCGCACGTCCTCGCTGCCTTTGACGACGAAGAAGAGACCTTGGATCCGAGGAACCCGCGCTCCAACTACGCCCTCTACCCGCTCGAACATCTCCTGTACTGCGAAGATTGCCTGCAAATACGATGTCCGCGATGCGTGATAGAGGAAACGTTGAACTGGTACTGCCCCAACTGCTTGTTCGAAGTACCGAGCTCCGTGGTTAAGAGCGATGGAAACCGATGCACGCGCAATTGCTTCAGTTGCCCCGTGTGCATCTCGCCGCTCATAGTCAACCTTCTCGACAACCCTGACGCGGACCAGGGAGTGCCAGACCGACACATACTCGCGTGTCCGTACTGTCATTGGAGTACGATAGAGACGGGCTTAGAGTTCGAGAAACACACAGGCGTGTATTCGCAGATTTCGCGGATAGCGAATGGAGGCAAGCCAATACCAACCGCGAAAGAGCGCGACAAGGAGCGCGAGAGGCGCAAAGAGCTGGAGGCTCGGCAGAGAGACTCGAGAAACCCGTTATCTCCTTCCAGCGACTCTACAGCTGTGGACGTTGAACAGTATGAGCCACCGACACGGGACGATCTATTCTCAAACCTAGGTGCTTTTTACAAGGCGCAGCTAGACTCCCAGACACCAGCAAATCCTCTCGAGATGAACTTCTCCTCGCCCTCAGCCTATTCCCGAATCATGAATCTATATTCAACGAACACAGCGAAGAAGCAGAAGCGCAACAAGCCGACGCCGATGCGAGAGGCGGCGTCGGAGTTAGAAGGCCTGGTCATTCACGACCCCGCCGCGGATAATGCAGCGATCGAACGCATCAAACGAGACGGCTGGGGCAGTACTTTGTCGCCTGCTCAGAAGCTCGCACAGCTGGATCCTCATGTGCAGTTCGACAACGAGCTCCGACCGATACCCACTCTCCTCTGCACAAAGCGATCGAAGCGATGCCGGTCATGTCGGCACATCCTGTCCAAACCAGAGTCCAAGATAACATCAACACGATACAAGATCAAGCTGTTGGCACTGAATCATATCCCTAGGCTCAGCATCCGCGCATTACCCCCCAACCCAGCTGTGCCACCAGTCCCCGGCTCCATGCCCGCCCCGCAACCCCCTTTCAACTACGACACCCTCCGTCCGGGCCTCGCAACGCACTTCCTCCTCCACGTCAGCAACCCATTGTTCGATCCCATCCAAGTCACGCTAGCCACTTCAAGCACCACGCCCGGCAAAGTACAGTCCCGCGTAACGATACTATGTCCACAATTCGAAGTTGGTGCCAACACCGATGTCTGGGACGACGCGCTCGCTTCAGGTCCCGCACCCATGCCTCGCCGCTCGACCATCAACGCCGAGACAGGACAAATCGAAGCAGGAAAGATTTGGGATAAAGGAAGGAACTGGACAAGTGTAGCTATTGAAGTCATCCCAGGCTTCCTTAGCGAGCTTGGGGGCGAGGATGAGCTAGACGAAGACGAGGACCTGCTTGAGATACCGATCTTTGTGCGTATCGAGTTCGAGGCAGACGTCAACGCAGAAGAGAGGGGCTTGGGGGATTCGAGAGGAAGCAAAGGGGAGAGAGAGAAACGGGAGGAGGCGTTCTGGACGGTTGTTGGTGCGGGCCGCATAGCGAGTGCGTAGGTTAAGAAGGTGATGATGCGCGTTTGTGATACCCCATTTGTTTATTTGAGGACAGGAGATTAGATACATTGCTACTCGATCAATCCACTGTAGTAGCCGCTACGAATGGATCTGTTCCTCAAAATCCTGCTACCCAAAGTGCGTGTCGTTAGGGAAAACTTCCCCATCCTTCTTCTTTTTCCTCGTCACCATCCCGTCTAGCGTTCCCTGACTCGCCTCCCTCTTGTGTCCCGCTTTCTTTTCACTCCGCACTGCCATCTTCTTCGCTTGTTTCGGACTCGGCGGCTCGTCTACATGCGTATCCTCTTCATGTCCATCAGCGTCTTCATGATCCTCCTCTTTGACCATCGCACCCGGCGGCCCTTTACTCCCTTCCGTCGGACCCTCCGCGTCATCCTCGAAGAGCTTGCGCCAGGTACCATCGAGGACCTGCGGCGAATTCCCGTAAAGGTTGACATGATACGCGTTCTTCATGCCCTGAATACAGATATCCCTTCTCTTTGCGAAATCAAACATGGGCTTCGGATAGACTTTCATCTTACTTTCGCCCGTCTCCTCTGACCCATCCCCCTTGATCAAACACCCCCACTTCTTCTGATCGGCAATCGGCGCTTTCCACGGTTCGTAGATATACTTTTTGTCGAACTTTGCCAGTTCGGGCACGTACTTCCTTACAAACTCCCCCTCCTTATCCCATTTCTGCGGAAAGGCAATGGGCGAGTAACATCGGTAAAACTGCGCGAAAAACGCCGTGCAGGACAGCCATTGCCAGTTCCCGATATTACACGCAGCTTCATGGTCAATGAGCCATTCTTCAAAGACCTCGGCACCACGCTCCCAGTCGATGTAGCACCCACCCCTCGTGAGAAAGCAAGCAACGGCATGGCGACCAAGGTGGTGGATCCAGCCTTCCTGGGCAAGTTGGCGCATAAGCGCGTCGATCCAGGGGAATCCCGTTCGACCATGTTTCCAGCGCTGGAAATGTGTTTCCGCTTCTGCATTATCGACTAGATACTCGCCGGTGATGAGGTTGGTCTTGGTGTCGATCTTAGATGGTAGGTGCCAGGGTATGAAGCGACAGTGTGGGTTGTTGTATGTTTGGCCGAAGGAGTAGCCTAGCCCTGCTTGCGCGCCAAAGTACATGTCTCGGAAGAGTAGTTGGCCTGTCAGACTTGTAGGTGGTTGCGAGGCTTTCCCCTTGTACTTGTCGACCACGTCTTGGGCGCGCCAGTAGAAGAGTCGGCAGCTCAAGGAGCCGAAGTGCATGTGTGGTGAGAGGAGGGTTGTGGACTGGGGCTCGAAATCGGTGGGAGCGGTCTTTGGCTTCTCGAATGTTGCTGTGTAGTCTGTATTCGCTATGATTTTGTCGAGGGCTTGTAATGCTTCCGTTTCGCCGCCACGGTGCGAGGTTGTTGCAGGCTTCAGGCCTAGCTCTTCCATGGTTGGTACTGCGAAATCGCCGTTTGGTCCTGCTAGAGCAGAGTACGAAGCTTCATCGCCGTCTCTTTGGATCGCGTTGATGTCGGGCGCGCTTTCTGGTTTTTCTTGATCAAACTTCAGATCCGTCTCTCCTGGGTCGGGCAGGGACTTGGGAGCGGGGATAGGTCTTGGAATCGATCCAATCTTCTTTCCTGCAGCCTGCACCTGGTTGATGGTCATGGTCGGCTTTCCATGGTTATGCTTGACCAGCTCATCAGGATCGTACAAAGTTCTCCCGGTCTTTATGATGACTTCAACCCCAGCTTTCTTTGCAATTTCCGCCACCTTTTCATCCCGCTCTCTTGCATACGCGTCGGTGTCTTTCTCGAACACCAGATGTGTGATCTTCCATGCCTTGAAGAGCTTGGGTAACAACGTTTGCGGTGCTTCACGAATAAGGAAAAGCTTTAACTTTGGGTTGAGCTTGGTTATCGACTTGGAGAGATCGTTCTGGCAATCGAGGAGATACTGCCAGCGATTGGGGCCTACTCGAGCGCGATAGACGTAGTGAGGATCCCAAGTCCATATAGGGTACAGACACTCTGGCTTAAGATCCAATGCGGCTTTGAGGGCTGGAGAATCATGGAGTCTTAAATCGGTCCGGAACCAGTAGATCACTCGTGGTTTCGACATCTCTCACACACGTTGTGGTCGTTGTAATTAGTAGGGTGAAGCTTTGAGAAGAGAAAACGAGGAACTGCTCAGACGACTACATGTGATGGACCCACCGAACTACAGCAAAGATAATATCTAGGTACTCTGCAACTACTGGGGAAAACCGCATGGCTGGTATGAATGCTGTCATCGATCGGAGCTAGGGCACTCGCTAATCTTCGTTGGTCCATCCCAGATCCCAGAAACCAATCGGTCTCACTGCACTCTCCGACGGTGGGACCTAGGACTACGATTGAACCCTGAGCTTATGTGAAGATGCTGACGGTTTTGCAGCTGCAAGCTCGACGTTGTTTGACAGCTACTCGAAGCCCAGGTGGTTTTTCCCCTGACACAGAACACAGCGGATGCGCATACGATATTAGTTCATGTCAACTTTTGCCAAGGCTTGTCCAAGGTGGACGACAATTGGGTAGCTTTTTACTGCGTGGAAATGTCGGTCAGTAAACTTGCCCATCACTCTGTGCATGCCCAACCTCAAACACGCCTCTAGCAGCGTGAAGCCTTAAAAACAGCCAAGGTGCTCCGAGAGACGCAAACGCAGGGCACTGTTCAGACACCGTCCAGGGTGCTCTTAAGGCACATGAGTTGTCTTGTTGGGCAGTATCACGGCTTTGCTAGCCGAAATGAGGTGCGCTGGCTGCGGGGACAATTGGTGGCGCACATGGGCGAACAGCAATTGTCGTTTAGCAAGTAGCACCGAAAGACGTTGTTGAGAGGGTGCAGCTGCACACTGCATGCACGAAGACAGTAGCAGCTATAGTCAAAAGCAAGCAGAGGGAAAGCAGGGCGGCGGGTGCGCGTGCGCGTGCGATGATGAAAGAACGGCTCACTAGCGGGTTCATGCGTCATGGCACTCGGGAGCTTCGAGGTTTGGCCCAAGCTCCCTTAAGCTCGTGGACCCATGGTTTGTTGTGTGCAAACAATCTCTCAACAGATATTGCAGGCGCCTTGCCCGAATAAGTGAAGAAGGGAGTCTGACAGCGCAGAGGGTCAAGTTGGCGTGAAACCGCGGGCTTGCTGTCCCTGTGTGAAGTACTTAGAATTGCCGTGCTGCAATTTACCGCTGTTCGCGTCGGTACCACTTGCACTGCAGATCAGCGCCTCCCTCGATACATTCGCTGGCTGCGGGGAAACTACCACAACCCGTATCGAAGCTCCGCGCTCTTCTCTACTCTAGACCCAACGCCCCAGGCGTCACCCGCCGCCCACTTGCCCTCCACCTTTCTCTATTCTTCACCGTCTACCAAGATGGCACAACCACTGGAAGATGCGTACATCACGGTGAGCTACATGCAAGTGGTACAACGCACGCGAGCTAATCAATCATGTAGCTTCTTATGAGCGATTCCTACTTGCCGGGCGCAGTCGTTCTTGCAAACTCTCTGCGCGATGCTGGGACCACCAAGAAGCTTGCCGTGCTCGTCACGATGGAGACGCTTTCAGCTGATACCATTTCAGAGCTCAAGGCACTCTACGACTACCTGATTCCCGTTGAGCGCATACGGAACGCCAATCCTGCGAACCTCTACGTCATGGGGCGACCCGATTTGGCCTTTGCGTTCACAAAGATTGCTCTGTGGAGACAGACTCAGTTCCGCAAGCTCGTGTATCTCGACGCAGACGTGGTAGCTCTGAGGGCGTTGGACGAGCTGTTCGACATCGAGGCGTCGTTTGCTGCCGCTCCAGATATTGGCTGGCCAGATGCTTTCAACAGCGGTGTCATGGTCATCAAGCCAGACATGGGCGAGTACTGGGCACTGCAGACCATGGCAGCGACTGGCGACAGCTTCGATGGCGCAGACCAAGGCTTACTGAACCAGTACTTCGAACAGCGTCCGTGGCAGCGATTGAAGTTTACCTACAACTGTACGCCAAACGCCGAGTACCAATGGGAGCCCGCATACCGCTACTACAAGCGCGACATCGCCGCTGTCCACTTTATCGGCAAGAATAAGCCCTGGTCAGCCCAGCATGCGAATGGAAATGGCGTCTACGGAGAACTGTTAGCGCGATGGTGGGCGGTGCATCAAAGGCATCTGCACAAGGCAAAGGCGGGCCAACGAGCTGGTGAGGCAAAGAGCACTCTTGGTGACTCCATGCTTTCTTCCTCCTCTACTCCTGCCCCTATCGAAGCCTCCGCCGTTACGACCGAGCCTCCCATGACCGAATTTGAAGATGAGATTCAGAATATTGACCAAGGCGTGATAGAACCAACCCCCACGGTCGAACAACGCAAGTTCTCTGCGCCCGAGATGCAGTGGGACGCCACCAAGTACGCTCTTTTCACCTCGATATCCCTGGGTAATGGCTAACAAGTCCAGGTTTGAGCCACCAGCGCAATCGAGACCCGAAGCTGCCAACTTCCCTACGCAAACGTATACCTTCAGTGACAGCCGATCGCTCTTCAAGGCACCACGAGCCTATCCCGAGGCGCCGCGGGACATGTGGTACCAGGTTCCAGAGACTAGGGAAACACCAAAGCCCATCTTCCCATGGGAGCAAGAGGCGGATAGACCCAAGCCGACGCGTGTGTTTTCTGAGGACTTGTCACCAGTGCCGACCCCTCCGGTAATGTCGCCGACACATGCTTTCTCAACCACACACTACGACGAGAGCGACAAAGTAGCTCCAGTCGCAGCGGAAAAGGTTAGGAATCTCGGTAACGATCTTGTCTCGAGTTCTACTGACCAAGGTTGGCAGTCTTACCAGAACAATAGCGGCAACGCCTGGGATAATGTTCCGGGTATCGACAGCTACGTTCGTGCCATATCGGATCTGAGTGGAATACGGGGTAAGAGCCAGTCGCTACAACAGACTACAGGCACGGACGATATTAGCTCGCCTTTATTGGATCGCCGGCAACGCCGTGAGAGCTTAGTCCTCACCGACTTCCCCTCCGCAGTGGAGCGACCGAGTCTCCCTGTAACACCTGCGCCGGTTCGTCGTCCAATGTTCTGGGGCGAAGAGAGGAACCAGGCAGGCGAGCTACCTTCTGCCACAGGAGTGCCGGATCAGACCGAATGGGTATGTTTGCGATGCACCTTTTCCTCTTTCAATTCTGAGCTGACTTTGAACGTTTAAGAATCCTGAGGAGAAACTTGACCAGCTACGGCGGTCATCCCTGATCGAGTTTGAGCACTTGAAGAAAGACGAGCACCCAAACCCACCGATGCGTGCACTTCCCGAGCATTCAATTGCCGGGGAGGAGAAGACAGGCAGCTCATTTGGACTTGACGGATCGAGTGATCAGGGCGTTCCCGGATCTTTCCCCGCCGTTGCCGAGAAAGACTTTGCTAGCAGCGACCCTGCACCGGACGTGCGACCGAGTTCGAGCGACCGTTCTTTTGCACATGAAGAAGGGAGCTCTGTGCCCCAGCACTACTCTCAGCAGGACTTTTCCTCTGGATCTTCCAGCACCTTCGGGCAGAACTTCTCAAGCTCCACATCGCAGGTAACATCCACGGAACAGACTACCAGTCAATCTTCGCAGTCTTCTAGCCAACAAGTTCAGTCTGGAGGCATGACTTTCACTGTCCCCGTCTTCGAGGACGGTACCTCGGCTGACGCCCAACCCGCCGGGGATGATCTCAGTCCGACACAGAGCAGGACTTAGAACAAGATGTTGAACGAATGATGGCTATCAATGTTTGCGGTACCAATTTGTCGGTTATTGACCATGGACGATCTCTTGCTGCTAATGATGGAGGATACATGTTGCGATCTCAGTTTTACCCTTTCGTCTAGATACCTGTACGTTTCGTGTCTTTCGTTGCGAGTCTTCTAGCATTTGCATCGTCACTGCATAGCGATCTGTTGTAGCTCATGATCTATTCTTGTTTGCTGGATTGGCCTCAAATTGTAAGATGTACAAGGTGATGGAATCGCTTCTCTCAAGGGAAATTTGAACACCTTGGAGCCTACATTGACGCTAGGTCTTCTAGTTTGCTTATTTTTATCCTCATGTAGGCTGCAGGCCTGTTCAGATTCTTCCTTGTGTGGAATGGAATGCCAACGATGACTGAAGACCGAGACATGCGCCAGAATATGCAGGGAATATTTCGTGCATGCTTCCCTAGGCAAGCTCGGGCCCACTGATCCACTCGTCGGAAGCTTGACAGGCTTGACTTGACCGACGGTGTGGTTGGCGTTCGCGCGTTTGCCCTGTGCCCTCTCAATCATGCCCCGCTTGCCCCTCCCCACCCAATTTGCCCTTGAGCAACGAGCACCTGCCCGATTCATCTCAGCCTGTAGACCGCGAATAAGCGCCACAGCCACTCATAGAAGCCTCTTCTGTCATCCACGAAGCTTCCACTTCTCGCCCTCACTGAGACTCGTCGCTACGCCTATCCGCCGCGACCAATACACGCCCGAAAGAATACCCAACGCCGCCTGGCCATATCTGTACCACCCATTCAACAAGATGGCACACCTCGACCCGTACTTCAAGCAGGTAGATGCCTTGCAGGGAAACTTTATTGAGAGGCTGAGGGAGGCGGTCGCTATTCCCAGTATCAGCTCCGAGGACCAGAGGAGACCTGATGTAGTCAAGGTATGACAGACAATCCTAAAGAAGCATGCAGTCGTGTCTGTGTTTTGGGTCAAGATTATACATGTATGTTTGAATGTCTGATTGACTCAAAATGCAGATGGGCCACTGGTTGGCCGACCAGATCAAGGCACTCGGTGGTACTGTTGAGCTCCGTGAGCTCGGAAAGCAGCCTGGTCGCGAGCACCTTGACCTCCCACCGTGCCTTCTCGGACGCTATGGAAGCGACCCGAAGAAGCTCAACGTCCTCGTTTACGGTCACTACGACGTGCAGCCCGCGAACAAATCTGACGGCTGGGCAACCGACCCCTTCACCCTAAGCATCGATGACAAGGACCGCATGTACGGACGCGGTAGCACAGATGACAAGGGCCCGGTTCTTGGCTGGTTGAACGCCATCGAGGCCCACCAGAAGGCAGGCGTAGAGCTACCAGTGAACCTGGTCATGTGCTTCGAGGGCATGGAAGAGAATGGATCAGAAGGTCTGGACGACACCATCCGCGCCGAGGCCAAGAAGTTCTTCAAGGATGTCGACGTTGTCTGTATCTCGGACAACTACTGGTTAGGAACCGAGAAGCCATGCTTGACATACGGTGTTCGTGGATGCAACTACTACCAAGTCGAGGTTTCTGGCCCTGGTCAAGATCTGCACTCCGGTGTCTACGGTGGAATGACACACGAGCCCATGACCGACTTGGTTCGCATCATGAACTCATTCGTCGACCCCGACGGCAAGATTCTCATCAAGGGCGTTGACGATCTCGTCGCTCCCCTTACTGACGAGGAAGCCGCACTTTACCCACCCATCGCCTTCACCATGGATGGTCTAAGGGAGTCACTAGGTGGTGCAGTAACGATTCACGACAGCAAGGAGGAAGCGCTGAAGCACAAGATGCGATACCCCTCGTTATCGCTCCACGGTATTGAGGGTGCTTTCTACTCCGAGGGAGCAAAGACCGTTATCCCAGCGAAGGTTATTGGAAAGTTCTCCATCCGCACAGTACCCAACATGGAGATCGACCCAGTCACCAAGCTAGTTGAGAAGCACGTCAACGATGAGTTCGCTAAGCTGAAGTCGAAGAACACGATGAAGTTCAGCGTGGTACACTGCGGAAAGTGGTGGGTAGAGGACCCCAACCACCCCAACTACACGGCTGCTGCCAAGGCTGTCGAGCGTGTCTTTGGTGTGAAGCCAGACATGACCCGGGAGGGTGGTAGCATTCCTGTTACATTGACCTTCCAGGAAGAGCTTGGCAAGAACGTCCTGTTGCTGCCAATGGGCAGCTCAACTGACGCTGCTCACTCGATCAACGAGAAGCTGGACAAGAGGAACTACATCGAGGGCACCAAGCTGCTAGGAGCCTACTTGCACTACGTTGCAGGAGAGATGAAGCGCGAGTAGAGTTCCGCGCTATGAGGAATATCATCGGTCTGGTTCTCGTAGATAATTAGATGGTTTGCTACCTACAAGAAATAAATACCCATTCAGCAGCATGCTTCTCAGATGACGCCGGTTCAACGAGATGACATGCTCATGTTTTCAACTATAAAAAAAAACTCATGATTATCGCAGACCACAGGCCTCAGAACCTTGAAACATTGCTATGAGTACTGTACCCTGATGATATGCTGGCGGTAGTTTGGGGTTGGAAGATGGGATCCCGCCCAGCTTTGACCACCCCCGGCGCGGAACAACTAAAAAAGTTCGGCATCGCTCCACCAGGAACGGCCAGCACCGTGCCAACGCGTGCATCACAGCAGGCACGCCAACCCACACACCCAATTCCACAATGTCAACATGTAAATCCCTCCTCCGAGCCTGTCCCTCGCAACGGACCACGCCGTCGCTCCTCCCCCTCACGCAATGCCGCTTCGAATCCACAACCCGGCGACACAGAAAACTGCTCGCACTCCCCGAAGCCCCATCCTACACACCCGACCGCGCAGCGCCCACACTGGTCTTCAATCCCCCTTCCTCGGCGCCAAACGTCTACCACACCCCGCTCAAGTTCCTGCCCAAGGAAGATAAGAGGAGACAGTTATACGCTGCCGCCCAACAATACGCAACCAAACTAGCGCACACGCGGCAATCCTCACCCATTGCCGCACCAGGCACACCGCTCAGCGCAGAAGGATTCCTTCCTCCGCGCCCTTCTACATCCCTGCCTGCGCCGCTCCGGAAGCCGTACGAGAAGACGTATCATCTCACCGAGGCGGATATTGCCGAAATTAGGAGACTGAGGAGCGCGGATCCGGATACGTGGACTAGAGTCAAGCTGGCGGAGAAGTTTGGCTGTAGTCAGTTCTTTGTGGGCATGGTGGCTAAGAACGAGGCGAAGGCGGAGAGGGTGGAGAAGGAACATGAGGCTGCGAGGAGGAAGTGGGGCACAAGGAGACGAGAGGCTAGAGAAGATCGGGGGAGGAGGAAGGTGCTTTGGGGGAGGGACGCTTAGATGGAGTTGTTTCTGGGGCTATTTGGGTGGCTCTTGTATGATCTCGGCTTAGATGGATTGGAGCCTGGGTTATTGGGATACGGAAACAATGTGGATATGGTATACGATATGTGTAAAGAGCAAAGGAATGTTTGTAGTCTGTTATATCATACTACCGATTTGGAAACACATACTGATCAGATTCGTCTTTAAACCGTATTCCAATGGGTATCATCCCAAGCCGTTGCAAACGCCAAACTCCTTCATAAGACACCATGCATCACCTTGCACCTTCCCTTTCCATCTCAATTCCATTCCCTACCCTGAAAACAAATCCTTCGCTGTCCCTCACGCCTATACCCACCCTCCAGCACTCAAACCTTCCCCGGCTAACCACCTCCCACCGCTGCACTCTCTCCTTCTCAGCATCTTCCACACTAATCCCCGGAGCAAACTTGAGTACATCCACTCGGCGGACTGCCAAACGCGTAACTGGCGTACCCTGAGGCCACGACGTAGGCAACGCCGGCCGGTACGATGACAGCGTGGTAGATTGTGATGTCAATATTGTGGCACAGGAGAGTAGCTTGCTCAGCTTTGCAAGGCTGGTGGTAAGCTGTGTGGATGCTGTGGCAAGGGTATTTGACGAGCTAGGTACGGCAGCACCGGTATTCCGTATCGACCAGGAAAATGCGTCGATGTCTTCGAGAATAACGGAGTGGACACGACGGTGCATACTCTTGTGTTGAGGATTTTCGTTAAGGAGGTAATCCGGTAGTGAGTTGAGGGTTGCTAGGAAAGAGGACCAGGACTGAGTGCGGAAGATGTGGAGGTGTGTTAGTGCGGTTCTGATCACCGGTTTCATGTCGGCCTTGATGGTGTCGTCGAGTTCCTTCTCCACGGTGACAAGGCTGGTTTTGAGAAGGGTGAGCATGACTTCTACTAGCCGAGGGATGCTGAAATGGTGCAGCGGATCGAAGAGAATGACGGCTGCTTCTTGCCCGCCTAGAGAAGTGGAGGAGAAGCTAGGAGGGAGAATAGCGTGGGCGATGATGAGGTAGATGAGTGAGGTTTTGCCCGCTCCTGAGGCATGATGGGTTGGCGGTGGAGAGATGATTTCGAGGATTGGTGAGCTTGAGTTTAGAATGAGGCGGTCGATCTCTGGTATGTTGAAACAAGAGGGTTGGGGAGTGTTTGTGCTGTTGGTTCTGGTTGGAATCTGTTTTAGTTTTTGAGTCGCGAGAGGAAGAATAAAGAGGGAAGATTGTATTAGTTGTAAGGAATTAACGTACATTCCGTCTTCCTGCAACTTATACTCGCGCAGAGACTTGAACAGCTGCGTCCACGTTAGTATTTCCCACTTCGCGCATCGAGCGGGTGTCGATATGACATACCGAGCTCAGATCCTCCACCTCAACTTCCATCAACAACTTCTCCCCCAACCTTTTCGCCCCATCACCATTCATTTCCATTTCCCCATTCAGATCACCCCTTGATCTTTTCCAATCCTTTTAAACACGACCCTACTCTTTTGATATCTCTTCCTTCGCGCAATGGCGCCACCAATCTCCACAATCTCCGTCACCGACTTGGAAGCTTCGATCAACACTTTGCCGTCCGGCAAACGACGGAATCCACCAGTCAATCTCAGCGACTGTGCGCTAAAGGAACTCGTGCAGTATAAATGCAATGTAGAGGCACCGCGGAAGAAAGGTGATGTGCCGCAGATAATATGTGAACCGCTGGTTCATTTGTTAAGAAAGTGAGTGTTGGTGGAGTGAGGTGGAAGGCATGAGGTCTTGGCATTATAACCAGGAACCGGGAGTTGGTGTCATCAGGTTCAACACATGACTGACGAGATCATAGGTGCTCAGGAGGGTTGACTGTGGGGACTACGGCGTGGGAGGAGTGGAAGGCGAAGCAGGAAGGTGCGATTGTGGAGCGATGAGATCAAGTCACCACCCACAGCCCTACACAACATCACACGTAAGGTGGGTGTTTACACAGGAGAGATGATTGATATACATTTTTTTTCAACTATGAGATCTTGCTAAGGATTCCAGAAATAAATCCAATCTAGATATGAAATCGATGGGATGAATAGTGAGTTCGCATTGACCAGACTTTGTGCAACCGGCAGCTGCGCTGGTGTAGGAGAGCGAGTAGACTATAGTACAACTTGCAACGAAAAAGATAGACAATCAACGCCGCCTAAATGCCTGAAACGTGTCTCAAAGCCCCGTGGCCGAAATGCAGATACCCAAACGCCTCGCTATCAAAATGCTAGTAAAACGACTTTTCTGAAGGTGTCGCCGCCATTGACCGGCTGTGACGAACTATGAGACGCCCGTCGCGGACTTCCTCCAGTACTTCTGGTCGTAGTTGACATGTACGCCTTCTTCCAGGTTCACGTTACGATCGGCGGTGGGCTGCCGTGTTGGAGCGTCTTGATGCATGTAGTCATCGTCGTCTTCGTCCATTTGAGCTTGCCGCCGCTCTTCCTCCTTCTCTCGTTGATTCTCTTCGGCTAGCAGGTCTGTCATGGCGGCTTGCCACAATTGGTCGCTCTCTTTCATGCGCCTACTGCGCTTCCGCTTGCCAACATTCTGCTTCTGCACGCCTGCCTTTTGCGCCGCCATGAGTTTCCGCAGACTTTGCTCGGCAAGGATACCCTCCTCTGTCGCCTTCTCCCTGATCTTGCGCGGGTCATTTTCGCGTTTTGTGAAGACGGGCGTCGCTGTGTATGTGTGTTTTGACGGGAATCCAGGGAAGTGTTTTGGTATATATGGACGCGTTTCTTTGTCCGCCTTGCCAGAGAGTCCGGGGCCTAGTAACGACTCGGTGTCGGGCGGCGGAGCTTCTGGAGGCGCGGGGGGTGCAAAGTAGGGCTGCAAGATAGACGGCGGGATCTCGCCTGTGTCGAAATGTTGTTCGAGGGGCCCAGAGCCGCGTAGGCCGGCGGATGTGAGGGCGTAGATCCAGTCGTGTGCGACCGTTTCGGTGCGTCGCGAGCTGATCATAGACGTGCGTACTTGTGTTAGAAAGTTGGTCATGTCTGTGACGGGTCAGTCTGGAAAACTGCAGTGGGCACTCGCGGCCAGTCTCTGTCGCAAGGTGAAGCCATACAGGAATCAACCAGCGCCCGGAACTCCTCCAACGCGTCCGGACGCGCGCTCTCGAAGCCGATGCCTTTGCATTGTATGGCTATTGCGCGCCGCAGCTGCTGGTCGAAAAAGTCTTTGCTCTCGCCAAAGACATCGTGCTCGGCGCTGATGGGGTCGGCAATGTACTGGATCGGCTGCGTGTGGTGCAGCGCCCGTACGACTTGTCGCTTCTTGGGGTGCGGCTCTCCGTACGTCGGCGCATGTTCCGCATCATGTGCCCTCTTCATGCCTGCGATTGCGCCCTCGCTGCTGGCGCTGGGGGATAATATGATGCCTGGCATATGCTGCTCGTTGTCGCGGATCCGGTGGGAGGGTACGCCGTGGGAGGAGGTTGCGCACGCGATGGTGGTTCCGGGGATGTCTTTATCGGTGGGTAAGGGCGCAGACAGGAGTGAGAGGGCGCATCGGTTGCGAAAGGGTGCCCTCGCGATGGGAGCGGACGTGCAGGCGCGTATTGTTTCTTATTCGATGGTATTGTTCCTTTCACCTGACTGCTGCCGTTGTTCTTCAGTTGGGTCGGGAGCTTCCAAGGCGCAGGACGCTAGGACGCCTGCCTTACGTCAGCAGCACTGCGTTCTCCCGTCGAACCACCACACGTTCAGAGAGCCACAGACGACATCCACCAGCTCCCGCAAACCGCACCCGCGCCCCAAAACTCTCCGCTCTCCTGAAACCAACTTCGCAATGGCCGTCAAACCGATTACCGGCGTAGGTGCTGCCATTGAGTGCCTTGGGCCGTAGTGCGCTCGACGCTAATGACTGGACTGCAGATGCTCCGACGACAGGTCGTGCTCGACCTCTCTGTCGCTATGGGTGCGTAGAAATCGAGCAGTGCATGTTTGCTATTTTGGGGGCTCAAAGAGCTCTGTAGCAATGCGCGCGTCAGCTTTGGAGCTTAGCTAACAGCAGTCACAGGTCTTGGCCTCACTGCCGGCTATGGCTGGTGGTACGGTACGTGAATCAGTCACAGAGGATGCGACTGCGCTTCTTATCCTCGGAAATCCTTCTTACGCCCGTACTTACTATCCAAGGCTACCACGTCCCCGCCGTCCGTCACCGTGACGCCTTCTACCAGAAGCTCGAAGACGAGCGCGCATCATCTCTCGGTCAGAAATAAGCGACTGCCCTTCGCGAATCGACATATCCTTTGTATCGACAGGTCACGAAAGCATAGAACGAGCATTAGCTGGGGATCAGAATGTATCATAGGTGGGGGGATCTCTCGACAGCAAGCCAAATCAGACCCCGTCAAACGACCCCACGTATGCGTCTTCACGTGCGATTTGCTTTGTGACTAGGGCGACCCATACATTACCCAGTGTCGTTGCATTCAAACAGTGCCACTCATTTGTGAAATCATGGCTTCACGCGCTCACATTTGTCGACATGGGTCCTTCAACATGTGATTCTCACGCATGCCGTTATCTAAGATTTGGACGTTCTGCACGTCAGAAAATGGCCGTAAAGTTTGGGCTTTTCCAGAATGCGATGTGATCCGCATTTACCCATGCCTCAACACGAGTCTGATAAACTTGCAGAAGGTCATCGGGCGAGCCTGAGCTTCGTCATATGGCTAAGGTTTACAACCCATCGAAGGCTTTGTTCATCGGATCCGCGGCGGCATCATTTCGCTCATTCCACGTGAAGCTTTTACATCGTGGAAGGTGAGGCGGTCTTCAAGAATCATCTTGAGTAAACTCACATTCTCTCGGGGCTATAGGGGAAAGGGGCCATCGAACGTTCTCATGTACTTCTGGGGCCTGGATGAGACGCACAGAGTGATGATCGGGCTATTGATGTTAGAGGGAGTGGGTGACGATGGACATCCTCCCGATATCGAACTGGGTGCGCTTTGTTCTCATAGCAACGGTTGCGCAGGGGCGGTAGCAAAAAATAAACATAGACGGGTGCTCACGATCGATGGACGTGAGCTGAGGGTTGGTGCACAGACTCATCGTGAGAGTTGCTCCTATCTTGGAGTGTGGTGGCCAGCATACTATAGCCCGAACATACCACCTTGTTCATTTCCTTAACCTAATTGGGACAGTCACAAATACTGTATAGAATGTTCCGAAGCAGTAAATGATAGAATCTAGCCGCGTTTAAGTTCAAGGCATTTCCGATGCATCGATGATGGTGGTTACAAGTCGTCTCACTAAGCTTGCGCGAAACTGTTGATAGGTTGTTGTGACGTATCAGGCCAATGACGGAACGCTGTGGATCACGAGGCGCGACGCGACACGTTGTATGCTAGATTGTTTCTTCATCACGAACGCAAGAAAGGCCGAAGTTCAACTGCAAGACAAAGCAGCGGTGGGGGGAGCAGAAACGTGGCAAACGCTGGATGCTATTGGCTGGCTTCCGGCTTCATTGTTCCCTGGCGATCATGCCCAATCCATGGGACTGACATGGGACTGCAGGGGGGCTTTCTGCCAAGGATCGACGCGAACCAGAGACGGAAGGGGCAGTGGCGGAGCAAGCGAGACTTGTAAGGGAGTAGGTGGCCTCTTGAATGGGGAGGTGATGGACAGGCAGCTCTAGATGCGGAGACGTCGAGGAAAAAGCAGCGTCAGGGATGGAGGGCGTATGGAGGAGGGCAAGGTGACTGCTTTGACAGCGGCGTTGTTGGTTCGGAACGGGGTGGAGGCCCATAGTCCTGTGCCATAGCGTCCGGCGCTTTAGTGCGAGATGTGGATGACTAGTCCCTCACCAATCTTTTAGGGCAACGGGTGGCCGATCACCAGCGACCTGGCTTGAAGCGGAGGATGAGTACGAGGGCGTCGAATTCCATAGCTTCCGTGGCAATGGTACATGGACGATTCTATACTCATCCTGATATTCATCTACATGGCGAATGAGGAGTTGTGCAATTGCCGTCTTCCATGTACGGGGCTGCCATGTGTCCTTGGATAGGGAAAACGGACGAGATGATTGGAATCGAAGGCGTTATTGCCCTGATCACCACCTGGCGCAGATGACAGCTAAAGCGGCTAGCGAGCGATGGTAGTGGAAAAAGCAGCCGTACCCTCGCACATCGCGCAGATGGCATGGCGCCATCCAAGCCACAGGGCTTCCTGATGTTTGGGATGAAACCGAACAGTCGTGGATATGCACACCAAGCGCTGCATAGTAGAGCTGCCACAGTGCTCAAACACAAGACAGAGCAAGACGATGAAAGACTGCAAGATGAGAGCAACGCTTAGACCGGCCGAGCGGGGAGGAGGGAAGACGAGCAGAGCACATGGTTCGTCCTGCCACCAGAAGTGCGGAAGATTTGGCGGGTCCCAGCCAAGCGCTAGTGCCGTTCATTCGACGAACCTGTGAGACCTAGTCGAGAGATTGGGGGGCGCAACAGGCACCCGCTTGATCCAGCGCTGGCCATGGCAGCAAGCTGAATCGACATGAATCAGACATGCAGCAAGTCGTCAGCGTAGCAAGTCGCCGTGCGCATGCCTCGACAGCTGTTCCTTTCCACTGGGGGCATGACCACCGGCGGAGCGTTAGAGGGCCTACCAGTTGGAGGCTAGCGGACAGATCCCTGCAGAGGTAGGTGCGACGGGCGCGATTGCTGCACCTGGGCTGCGACGCACGACGCACGCCCTCTGCTGTCGCCTTTCGCAATCTTCCTCACTCACCCACCCTCCCAAACACGTCGGCCTTTGCATCTTAGTATTTCCTGTTGCGACGACATCTTCACTGCGATAGCTGTATCCTGTTCCTATGGACACGTCGTCCTGAGCCCTGCAGCTGCATCATTTAGGCGCCGTCGTTTGGGTCCACGGGTGCTGCGCTAACCTTGCGCCCTGTCCGCAAGTGTCGATCAGTCTCGAGCCGCAGCTGGCGTCGTCCTCTCGAGCCTCCGCCTTTCACTCACCTAAGCCTCACTCCAGGTGAGCAGCTGTGGCCCTGCCTTTTCTCGCGTCCTGCCTACAGAGCCGCAGGCCCAGCTCTCTTCCACGACACTCGACACGTCTCCCTCTCTGGCCGCTTCCATCCTCTCCCACGTCACCTGTATCCTCGCCGTTGCCGTCACCGCCCCCATCCCAGGTCGCACCAGGTCGTCTACTCGGCACCAAACACGACGCCTCGACGCCGGAGTCGTCCCACCGCCCGCCGCGCACCTGAAACCCTCGGCCTGCATGAGTGCTGCTGTTCACTGCACATCCGCGGCACTGCACCGCTGCCCGTATCTTTCGCATCTCCGCCAGCCTGCGACATAGCGCGCCCGTGACCGTTCGCGCTCCACCACCATGAACAACCCCAACATGCAACAGAACGGCATGCAACAGAACCGAGCCACCGCGGGACTCCACCACTTTATTCAGCACTATCGCGTGCAGCAGCAACAAGGCAAGATCCCAAATGGCTGGCAGCAGGGTACGCAGCCGGAAGAGCGCGGTCAGCTGGCCCTCCAGTTCTTCACCCAGTACCGCCTGCTCAAGCCCGAAATCGCCGAGGTCGAGTCTATGCGCGCCGCCCTCCAGTTCGAGACGCAGACCTTCATGTCTTCTTCGACAAAGGACCAATACGTCTCCAACATCAAGCAAAAACTCATCGTCATGACAACTGCGCGGCAGCAACAATTACAACAACGCATGCAAGGCGGCGTTCCCAACAACATGAACAACCCGATGAACGGCATGAATGCTGCCCAGATGAACCAGATGAACATGATGAACCAGATGGGTCAGCAAGGCGCCAGGCCCGGAGGCCCCCAGTTCAACCCGGCCTTTCCGAATGCCCACCTCCAGCGGCCCATGCAGGTTTCTCCTGTGCCCATGTCACAAGGGCAGTCTTCTATGGGTGTTAATGGGGCTAACCCCGCCAACATGCCCCAACAGGGTCAAAATAACCAGCAACCAAACATGCAGCCCAACCAGAACACACAGAATCGTCAGGACCAAATGATCATCAACCAGTTCGCCAAAAAACTCATGGATACTTGTAAAGAGGAGGTTAGGCTCAAGTTCGAGGCCGATATTCGAGCATGGCCTGAGGATAAGAAACAGCAGCTGCTCGCTCAGGGTATTAACCCTCTCTTCCTCCGCTTCCGACAACACGCCGACATGCTCTACAGAAGAGGTGCTCTCAACCAGCAGGGAGCTGCCCAAAATGCCGGCGCCATGCAGGGAGCTGCCCAGCCGAACCGGATGCAGGCCCAGCAGATGGGCATGAATCCACGTCAGCCAAATCAAGAGTTTGACTTCACTGAGATAGCAAACCGGCAGATGGAAGCTATGCGCAGTCAGGATCAGGGCAATACAGTGGTGCCTGCAAGCAATAACCAAAATAACGGCGGTCAGATGGGTGGTTTCCAGGGCCAGAACGCACAACAAAATCAACCCCAAAATGTCATGGCACAGCGCCAGGCTGCTGAGGCATTTCACCGCCAACAGCAGGCGCAGCAAGCGCAACAAGCACAAGCACAAGCACAAGCTCAGGCCCAGGCTCAAGTTCAGGCTCAGGCGCGGTTGGAGCAACAACGGCAGCAACAGGCGGCGCAAGCACGCAATCAGCAGAACCAGATGCTCCAAGGTCAAATTGGCGGCCTGAACCTACCCCAGGGTTCTCAGGCCAGCCCTGCCATGCCTATGCTCAACCGACCGATGGCTCCACCGGGACAGGCAGGACCTCCTGGTACGCCGCAACAGCAACGGCCTCCTCAAGCTCACGTTCCCATCATGACGCCTCAACCCGGCCAGACTGACCCCAATCTGTCCGAGCTTATGCGCCAAGCGCAACAAAGAGCTGCCGCCGTCCAGCAGGCCAACCAGCAACCGCTGACAGATCAGGTTCGCATGAACATGATGCCGGCCGACCTAGACCCCAACGTTAAGCAACAACTGCTCAAGGTGCCGGAGCCTCAATTCCGTGTAATACTACAGAGCTATATGATGAATCTTCGTCGCAATGGCGGAATTCAAAATGGGGCCTTCCCCCCAGGTCAACCCAATGCTGGGCAGCAAAACTTGCCTTTCAATCAACAACAGCAACAGCAGCTGCCGCCCAATATGGGCGGTCCTATGATGAACCCCAATATGCAGCAAGGCATAAATCGTGGCTTGAACCTTACGCAGCCACAACCTGGGGCTGGGCCACAGCCTCCTATGGGAGCACAGCGTGCGCCAATTCAGTCTCAGCAGCAACGCTTACAGGCGGCCTCCAACTTGCTACGAGCCAATCCTGGTATCATACATGCCACCGACCCCAAACCATTCCCTCCGAACGTTTTGAACAACTCAATCCGGAACAGTCTTCCGCAGGATGTCAGGACATGGCAGCAACTGAAGCTGTGGGCTAGTCAAAACCCCGCTCTCGTTCCTGGTGTCGATAGCCAGAAGCTGCTTATGCTACAGGTTCTTCACTTCCAAGATATGGTACGGAACTCTAACAATGTACCGGGTCCCAATGGCACACCACAGCCTGGCAATGGCCTTGGCCCACCGCCGCAAGTAAATCCTAACCAAGGTCTTCTGAGGAATCCTCAACAGCAACCGAACATGCAAAACATGCAGAATATGCTCCAGGTCACCCCTCAAGAATTGGCACAATTCCGGGCAAGAATGGCAGGCCAGCCACAAGCCAACCTACCAGACGAGCAACTACGAGGTCTGATGATGTCCATGAAGATGAAGAATCTGCAGCACCAGCGGCAGCAACAGGCGCAGGCAGCAATTTCACATCAACAAGCCCAACGTAGTCAGGCGCAACCGCCTGCGAACATCCCAGTTCAGCAGCAGCAAAACAACCGTCCACCGATTGTGCAACCTCCAGCACAAGCAACCCCTCAGCCTAAACCAGCAGCCAGACCTCCTCAAGCACAATCGCAGCCCATGCAACCACAACTATCCAACAACAACAATAATAATAACAACAATGTGAACAAGGGCACAAAGCGACCCAACGAGGACACTGCCGAGTCAGGTGCAGATGCCGCGCCACAGGCCACCGCCATGGCTTCGACAAAGTCTCAACCCGGGCTCAATCTTACCCACGAGCAAATGTCGAAACTTACCCCAGCCCAGCACGCTCAGTACAAGGCTCAATTATTGAAGGCCCAGGATGCCTCCAACAACAAGATGCAGCAACAACGGGGTGGGGTAGTCAACCACGAAGAACTCCGACAAAGAATGGCGGACCCGGCGAGAACCCGGCAATTCAAGCAGCTGATGGACGAAGTAGAAAAGACCATTCCCGCCAGACCGCCGGTACAGCTGCCGCAGCAGATGCGTATACCTCTACAGCGATCGCTTAAAGAACAACTCCACCGACTAAAGCAGGTGGATCAGGCTCTACGCATTTTCCACGCCTCGTACGATTCCTCTGAGCCTGAGCAAGTTCTCCGCCAGATCATGACATCTCGTGTGCTGTTATACCAGCAGTTTGACCTGGCTGATGGCACGCTTCGCCCTCAAGTTACTCTTACTATTGAAGAGTTCAAGAACCATATGGGCGCAACACTCAAGTTCGTTAGCAAGATTATGGAAAAGGTCAAGCAGCAAACAGCTGGCCAGCAGCCGCAGCTCCAGGGTGGTTCGAATGCCCCGCCCGCTCAACTTAATGCCGCAAATCTGAAAATCGTAGAACAACAAAACCGCAGCCAGAAGCCGCCTTCTGCCCCTACCACCGACCGACCACCGTTCGCCATCGGAGCTGACTCAGGCCACGGAGCAGCACACTACTTTGAGGGAGCAAGACCAGTCACGAACCTTGTGTTGCCTGAGAAGAAGCGCGCAAAGCTTGAAGGTAGTCAATCATCTACTCCCGGTGCTAGAGCGTCTCCTCGAATCGGTTCAGGTACAGGTAACTCGCCTGAGCTGAGAAGACAACCACCTCCTGAGAAGCAAATACCACAACGACCGACGTTCCGATGCAACGATGCGAGTTGTGAATACTCTGTAAGGGGATTTGAAACTCAAGGTGAACTAGAGGCACACAGTCAGATACATGCAAAGGTCGAGAATCCGATGCAGTTTGCCCTCGACTCCATGGCCGATTACCTGGATATTGACCAGAAGACTGGCGAAGCGAAGGTCGACCAAAACGCTGCCAAACGCGCCTCGAAGCCTGCGCCAGCTGCCCCACGAGCAACTCAACAGGCTGTCAAATCGGAGCAGACCCCTGGCGCTTCGAACAATGCTGCCACTCCGGTTGGACAACAGCCGACAACTACGGCGATGGCGCGGGTGCCAACACAAACAGGCGTCAAGGACTCACCGTCGTCGAATCTGCTCAAAACACCCCAGGCGATGACCAAGGTGGCCACGCCTGGCTCGGGTGCCCGCGGCAAACCCACACCAGCCAGCATTCCTAAATCGGCACCAAAGGAGCAACAAGCAACAGCTCCAGGGCCCGTGGTTCAACAAGAAGAGCACAAGCCGCAGCAGCCAATGCTGCCCATGTCTCTTCTTGACTACTCCTATGAAGACACCTTTGCCGCCCTCGATGCGAACGGGCCTTTCACCGTCTTTGATCTCAAGGACGAAGACAACACGTGGGCACTCCGCTCCCGACCTGCCTCACCATCCGCCACACCTGAGTCATCTAACAAAGACACGCCTTCCACGCGGCAGTCTGACATTTCCGAGAACGACAACCTCGTCATCAACATCGATCTCAAGGATGCCGACATGCCTGATGCATGGGCCATCAACATGTCTGGCGATGTCCTGCCAATGGATCTGCAACTCTCTGAAGACCTGCAGAATCTCGGCGTTATTCTGCCTCCCATGGACAGCGAAGACATGATGTTATTCCCCGACTATGGTCCAGGGACTATGATGGATCTCGACATGCTCGAGAAGACCATGGACAGCATGGGTGGAACACTTGATCCATCCATGCTCTGAACCTCATTCTTACATCCTTTTGGGAATCTTGTTCTTTCCTGACGCACATACCTGCGTCCTTTTTTTTTTTATCTTTTGCCTTCGGGCGCTGTTATGTACATGCCATGTACCATGATTTCTCTCGCTTTCTGTTGTACTGCGTCAGTTTGCACGGTGTTCGGGTTGATTACGGCCTAATCTACATGTATGAGTAAAGCTTATGGATTGGTATGGGCTCACGGTGCTATTCATGTTGCAATGGGAAAAGTGGGACTCTGTACAGCATTGGGGTGAATTTTGTAACTTGGTCTTGTGTTTGGCTTACTGTTTTCTGGTGTGGATATTATACCCCGTATCTTCCTGTCGCTTCCAGCATCTGCGGTGCAAGGGAAGCAGTGTCTTCAATCTCTATCATTGTTTGTTGTCGTAAAGATTATTGTGCATTGATGTTTTGCAGTGAGACGATATGATCGCAAATTAAAGTCGTGTGAAACGACACCAAGGTTACTTCACCATCGTGCCATCTTCAATGACATTTTGATTACCTCGCAACAACCTCAGGCTGCGGGTACAGTAGAGCGAAATCTGTGACGTAGCGCAATGTCACATACGCTATGAATACCCACAATCCCACGACTGTTCTGAAGCACGTTGCGTTGTCCAAGGCCCGTCTGGAAGCATGTGTACCACGGTATAGCAAAAAGCTGAATATCGTGGGTGCGGGGTCAATCACAGTCTTCTCCGCGCGAGTTCGATACACGACTCTGCCAAGCATTCGCTGGCTCACATGACGGCCAGACCATCATACTCACGTAGCTATCTGGCTACGAGGAACGAGGGCACGATGGAAAGGTCGGCGAAGACCCCTTTGTGCCGCGCAAACCATGGTACGCATGTAAAGATAACGTTTGGTTCGACATGACATGATGCAAGGCGCGTGTCATGGGCAGGACAGACCTTAACAATTGTGTGCAGCTGCAGCCCGTATCCATGGTAGTGACAAGAATTAGTGTTTCGGCGAAACAAAGGGAATTCTCAACGACGTGTTCCTTCATTTGCCTCTCCCAACATCAAGATCTGCAATTCTATACCGTACCAAGCCCGAGTATGATGCGAAAGTTGCGAAGGAAGAAAAAAGAATGGTAGGGAAAGAAAAAATTGACGTGGTAGTGATGACGTTTGCGTCTCGCCTCCGGAATACCCGCTTCCCTTGCCCTGCCTTGGGGATGCTGATGACTGGCGGGTATGCAGGGCAAGAGGCTGAGCAGGCGTGGCGAAGGCGAGAATGTTGCTATTCTCGGCATGCTGCATGTGGATGGTACCGGGGATGCCACGCGATGATTTTTTGTCGAGAAGCATGGAGACGTGTCAGCGTGTTTGTTGGATTGCCTGGGTGCGCAGTTGGACAAAGGACCCAAGGCAGAACTTGGGATTCATCGCGGCGGCAAGAGAGGGCGCACTTCAGGTGTAATGGCGTTTTACTGTGGTGCTGCGGGTAAGCTGCTGTTTGCGGGTTTGGTGATTGTTAGGCTCGGAATGATTCCGAGTGGTGAAGGTTTTGGTGAAGAGATTTGGGGGGCGGTGAGGGCCCATCGGTGAGATGACGGGTGAAAGGGTATGCACAAGATGATGTACAGGGTCTTGTACTGTGGGTCTGGGGTAACGAGGTATGCGATTTGCTCGGTTGGGCTGCCTAGCTAGGGATGAATCGTGAATAGGCGAGCCATGCTCGAGAAGCGTGTTGGGCAGGAATTGGGTCGTTTGTGACGGGCACACATGTGGAAATGAGAGATTGCGATGGTCATGGTGACGGCTGGCGGACTCGCTACAATGCATGACATTTTATTGACACGACTACAAATGTATACATGGGGGTTGTCTTTTTTGCATTCTGTTGCCAGTGCACATTCATGTCATCTTCGATCTCACACCTTCCTTCTGGAAGCCGACGCCAAGAAGCATGCAAATGCGCGTCACCGCTAAGAAGTAAACAAACGGGACGTTCCCCAGATCGATGGCGTTCCATCGCCAAAAGGCCCAGTAGATCTCGCTTCCGACCGGCAACACAGAGAATAAATGGCCTAGGTCGGCGAGAAGCAAACCGACTATGAAGGTCTTCCAGACTTTTACGTCCGCTGTGGCGCGCAGGATCGAGGCTTCCAAAAAAGCAAGTCCAAGGTACAAATTCGCTAACTGTGACATGACTATGGATGTTGAGATTGGGACCGGGAGGCCCGGTGAGCTGGCTGCATGGGTCAAGTCCAGGTAGGTGGATTGGAAGAAAAAGGCGTAGATGGCACCTAGAAGGATGGAAGCGGGCTCCAGCCAGCAGAAGACGAAGCGGTAGACGGTGGGTATGGGGGCGGGTGGAGCGGTTGATGCCATGATGTTTGAGCGATGGTTTGGCCCGGTTTCGCGTGATCTAGGTTGTGGACTCAACGCGACTCAAGATGGTGTACCGTGAAGCGACTTGGATGGCGTACCGTCGGAGCGGTGTAGCATAAGCAGATGCAGGAGGCCGTGGTGACAGTGGATCGGAGAAGCCGGATGCTGCAGCAAGCGGTCGAACGGTACTCTTTACGACGACGAGCAGCAGCAGCAGCAGCAGCAGAGGGACGGTGTGGGTAGTGCTGGCATGATAAGATAAGTGGTAATTTGCAGGGGTGGGTCTGGAGTTGCTTTGGTGAACAGACCACGTTCGGGAGGCACTCGAACCGGCTTGAGATCGGCTGAGTCTCCTGGCCTAGTGTGTGGCACGTCGTCTGGCGTTGTTAACAAGCTCTGTTTTCCCTCTCCTGCTGCTACTCATGCTATAAACCTCGTGTCCGACACTTTTGCGTATCCTTGCTTTCCGCCGTCCACCCTTCACCCTCCCTACTCCTCGCAGCCCGCTTTGCTGTGCACGCTCTCTTAGCCACCGACTCGCCCTGTACCGCGTCTTGTTATCCTGCGACGTTACGATTCGCTTTCTGTTTCGGTTTTGCCCTTCACCGCAACTCGTAGGGCTTGGTAGTCAGCATCCCTGGGAGCATGCATCGCAGGCAGTCCATCCTGTCGCACCGACCGAAGACCTCTTCCGACGTGGACGACGACACCTACACCTCTGCCGCACCGCCGCCGCACACGATGAAGCGAACCATCTCGCAGACATTCCCTACCCATTACCAACACGACGTCAAGGACACCAACATGTTGGACGCCGTCAACGAAGCCACCATGCACGCCGACGGCCTGTCGCAGCATTCACAGGCCAGCTCCTTCTCTCGCGCGTTTGGTGCAGTCGCTGGTAGTTTCACCCGCCAAAAGACGCGCCGGCGCATGTCCTCCGTGTCGTCCGCTACACCTGCACAGCGTCGCCGCGGGTCCATTCATTCCTTATTCGAGTCTTTGCCCTCTTCGAGCGCTAGCCAGAAGTCTACCATGGATCAACAACGAATGCCCCTGCAACACCAAGACTCTGGCATTCCCACTTTTCAACTGCAACCACAAAGCACAAGCTCAAAGGCTTTTGCTCCCTTCAAGCGACTGAGTAGCATGCGACGCCGCCCCACAGCTCCGGGGCCATCGACAGACATCACCAAAGCGCTTTTCACGCCCCCCGTCTCCTACCCCAGCCAGTCCGTACCAGGCGCCGCCGCCCGACAAGCAGCAGCCGCAGCAAACCAGGATCGCCAGAACCAGCTACGACGCGAGCAGGAACACACCCACCGCTTTCTCAATGGCCTCATTACCACCTCTATGCGTGATGACGACATCAAGGACAACGAGAGCGGTGTGGACATGACATGTGCTTCTCCCATTGTCCGCGCCGACAGTGTTACGGAGAAGAAGATGAGTGAGTTGGCAAACATCTGTCATTGGGGTCACGCTAACCGTGTCACAGTCGATCCCTTCCAGCGCCTTCCTGCTGAGCTCGCCACCACCGTTCTGTCAAACCTCGATGCCGCTTCTCTCGTTCGGGCCGAGCGCGTCTCGCGCAGCTGGAACGAACACGCGTCGTCACCGCACGTCTGGCGAAATGTCTTCCTTCGCAAACACGAACCCGAAGTACACGTCTCACCTGCGCCTATCCAAATGGGCGGCCTGGGTACTGGCAAGATGGCAGGCGGCAACCCAGCGCCTGCTCAAGACTGGAAGCAGATGTTCAGGGCGCGAAGCACAATCGACGGGCGATGGAAGACTGGTACACCCGCTGCCATTTACCTCAATGGTCACACAGATAGCGTCTACTGCTGCCAATTTGACGAGAACAAAGCCATAACCGGCTCCCGAGATAGGACAATCCGCGTGTGGGACTTGAAAACATACAAGTGCATCAGGGTCTACGGCGGACCTAACCACCGACCAACGGCCAACACTCCCCCGCCCATGGAGGAGCGACCGGAACGAGTCATCAGCCATGCTTCGCTCAACGGCACCAAGGTTGGCAACGAGATATACACCGTCCCCGCCGACTACCACGACGCTTCCATTCTCTGCCTACAGTACGATAGCGAGATCATGGTGACAGGATCCTCGGACTACACCTGCATCGTTTGGGATATTACTGGCGATGAGTACGTTCCCATGTACCGACTCCGCGGCCATGAGGCTGGTGTCTTAGACGTCTGCCTCGACGACAAGTACATCATCTCTTGCTCCAAGGACGCCATGATTAAGGTCTGGGACCGTAAGACCGGCAACTGCGTCCGCACACTCAAGGGTCACAGAGGCCCCGTCAACGCAGTCCAGCTACGCGGCAACTTCCTTGTTTCCGCTAGTGGTGACGGTGTAGCTAAGCTCTGGAACCTTGAGACTGGTGTTTCAATCAAAGACTTCCCGTCCGAAGACCGTGGTCTCGCCGCTGTCGAATTTTCCGACGATGCAAAGTACGTTCTCGCCGGTGGTAATGACCACGTCGTGTACAAGTTTGATGCTTCGACCGGCGAGCTGGTTCACAGCAGAGTTAAGCACGACGGTCTCGTACGATCCCTGTTCCTCGACGCTTTCAATGGTCGCATCGTGTCTGGCTCGTACGACCAGAGTATACAAGTGTCGGACTACGAGACTGGGCAAACATATGCTGTTTACAAGAACTGGACGACGAGCTGGATCCTCTCAGCCAAGAGTGACTACAGACGCGTCGTTGCTACAAGCCAGGATGGTAGGACTTTGATCTTAGATTTCGGCCACAATGTACCGGGATCTGAATTGCTCGCTGGATCGAAGTAATCGAACATGGTAGCTGGATCGCCAACACACGGTCCAGACAGTGTCTTAATCCTTTGGTCTTCATCGACCTTGCTGCAGTACCCTCGCAGCCGGCCCTTCCCGCGCCCCGCCATTGTCAAATAAAGTGGCATATATACCCCCTCCGCGAAGAGATCGGGACAAGGAATGGATGCAGACATGAGCATACAACCAAGCCGGTCAAAAGTTTTGTTGTAGAAGAAGGTGTGATAATTTTTTCCAAGTCAAGCATAGCATTCATCGGGCAGGCGTTCTCGTTATCTCTTCATGCGTAGCCTCTGAGTTATTCCCATCCTTCTCTATCTTCTGTTGCTTCTCCGTCTGCTTCGTGTTAGACTGCATTACTAGCATATATTTTGCGGGATGTGGTCACTTACCCACGTTTCCCTTTGCTGTACTTCGGCTATTAGATCTCTCCTTTGTTGGTTGTGTGTTTCTGGGCGTAGTTATAGGTGTTGTTGTGTATGGATGTTGGGATGGAGATGAGTGAGTGAAAGCAACTAAAGACGCTCTTTAATATCAAGATTATATACTTCACGCTTTGTTCTCCTGTGTTGACCGTGTCTTATGCATGTGCGTTTTGGTTGCAGTGGTCAGACACATGATCCACTGTTGACTTTGCGAATTATGCACAACACAATGTGATGTGTTTGGTAAAGGACCATGGTAGACCTGTGCTTCTTTTCGGTAATTCTCATCCTTTACTATGTCCACATCTCGATGTATTTCCAACACTAGTCCTCTTCAGCAGACGAACGTAAGAAGCATCACTCTACAAACCTCTTCTCCTCGGTCACAAAAACATCACAAAGATCTCCGACAGACAAGAAAGAGACGTCATCATTCAACGCAAAGGGTATACACAACGCGCACCACCATCCCCCCGTCCGCATCACCAAGTCCCCCTCCTCATCCCCAACCCCTCCACCCTCTCAAACCAAGTCCCACTCTTCCCCTTAGTCGCCTGATTCATCCACGTACTACTCCTCCCTTTGGTCGCCCTGTTCGCCACAGAAAGCAAAACCGGCACATTCTTCCTCTTGCTCCGCGACGAGTTCCCCTATGACCCCTCGTTGTTCTTCTCATCGAGACAGATGCACAGTGCGGCGATGAGCGCCATGTCGACCCCAGGCGCGATTTGGACGCCGTAGGTTTGCTGCCCGAAGAATATGTCTTTGCCGCTGAGGAGCTTGCGGTCGATGCGGGCGACGACCAGGCCTGCGGGTTGGGGTTAGTATGGGGGGTGGGGGTGGGAGGTGTTGTGATAGGTAAAGTGTAGCAAAGGGAGGGAAGTGGGAGACACGTACCTCCTTGCGCCTCGTCCAGGATATCAGCTTGAGTATCGAAAAAGTCACCTTTCATGGTGAGGCTTTCTTGCTTGCCGTTTTGCGATGTGAATGTTGCTGTTGCTTTGCTTCCAAATACTGTATCGAAAGAGTTAGTCAGTTACATTCTGGCATGATCATCCAAGTCGACTTATTTCCCTGATCCCCTCTCTTGTAAATCCCCCAAGATCATCACAAACAAGACAGAAACTCACACTTGAAACTGCTCTTCACCTCCATAATCTTCTCGCCATTGGCACTCTCAACCACATATGTAGAATGGATGTGAAAATGCTCTTTGACAATGCTGCACAGATGGTTACCCTGCATATCAAACATCTTCTTGCGGCCAGTCAGGCTCATGACTTTGCCTTCGACTTTGAGCACGGGCGTGCCGTTTGCGAGCTTGATGCTGAAGCTGTCGCCGCTGAGGGACATGACCTTTTCTTTCAGCACGAGCGTCTCTGGGCCTGCGGCGAAGAATTGCGGGAATACGCCAATGGGCTGAGGGGCTGGTGCGAGGGCCATGGTTGGTAGTGTTGGTTGGTTGGAAGGCTGGTGATGTTGATGTTGGGGTTGCTGCTGCTGCTGTTGTCTATCGTCAAAGGTTAGGGATAGCTACGCAGATGGTAGGTAGTGTAGGATAGAGTGATGTTCCGGCGTTGAGAGTCAGATAGTAAGAGCAATAGGTATGAGTCTGGTGTAGGCACTGGCATTTAATCCTGTCCATCTGGGAAGCCTTACGTGACGCTAGGCGGTATCACCGTCGATCTTGGGGCGGTGCTTACGGTTAGGCAAGCACGGGTGGGGCTGAGCGCGGCTGGCCAACTGAGAACGATGTCATGAGAATGCCAAGTACCCTATCAAAAGTCCACGGAGGTGATGAACATGACACGGACCGTGTTAAGGGAACGGCCATGCAGGCTGCGCCGGCTATGACAGGAAATACAGCAGCTCTATGTGTGCTAGTATTGCATCGTCTGCTAGAAATAGAATCATGGTAAGCACCATGCATACTTACTCAATGCATCACTGGATCAATGAGGTGCACGCAGGTTAGACTGTGATTTTGCAAGACCAAACTTTTGAGCATTGGGAGAGACCACTATGAACTCCGCCGACCCTACAGTCGAGACCTCTAGTCCGAATTGCCCTCGCGCACCAACATACATGACAAACATGGCGACCATATGCACGAGGCCGGCTTCAAGGAAGCACAGCGTAGAATATATACACGGACCACAGAGCCGATATAAACAAATGGTCGAGACCCAGAGATTTCTCCATGGAGTAACAACCAGGGGAATGAAACGAGGCACCGTTCCTGATCCGGCAGTATCGTGAAGAATGGAACTGAAAACGACTATAATAAAACAACAACAGTAAAGGAAGCCGACAAGACATTAGTTCTGGGCCGCCAGATTGCGGCCGGATTAAGGACAGTATGTGGTGAGAGTAGTGGAACATGTCGAGCGGATCCTGGGGTATACAAGACAAGACCGACAAGAGATGCGAGGTGAGCAATACGCACGTTCATGCGTGTCGTTAAGTAAAACAGATGCTGGAGCGAGAGTAAGAAGGCAATAAAAGACTAGTAGATCATTCAAACGTTCTCTGTAAACCGAGATGACCTGGATCCGTCCGCCGAAGGCAGACTTCTACCAAGGGTGCCTCTGGGTGGGGCATCAGGATTTGGAGATTGTGGCGGACTGAGATAGTTGCGGTCCGAGAAGGGGTTGCCATCATCAGGATGCCGTATGACTGGTGTCCTGGCTGGGCTAGGTCGAATGTTCATGGGTCCTGACTCTCGGTTCACTGGGCCGTCACCAATCTCTTTGCCAAACTCTTTTGACATGCCGGAACCGCCATATGTGCCGTGTTCATCTTGGTAGAAAGAAGACCCAGACATTGTGCCGCCACGAGAGAACTGATCTGATGTCATGCCCTCGCTGAATGCGGATGGAAGCTTGCGCCCTGAGACCCTTTGAAAGCTGCGTTCACCACCACTGAGGTTGGTTTCCGCAGTCTTGCCTGACAAACCGGAGAAACGGTTCAAGAAGGCGACGGGAACCAAAGTACTAGCTGTGGTGGGTGCTTGCCTCATCGACTGGTTGTTATCGGTGTGATCGTCGCCAGTGAGTTGTAAAGCACCGCCCTGCTTCCGCTTGTGACGTCTAAGCAGCAGCAGTATTATGGCGAGAATGAGCGCAGCGCCAGCCAGACTGCCAACTACACTTCCGACGACTTGTGGGGTTTCAAGTGGAGAAGGAGCGGTGTCAGCATCAGCGTCTGAGATGCCTGCTGTGGTGGCAGCAGGGGCAGCCGCCGTTCCAGACGCATCCCCACCGGCACCACCATAGTACGCTGTTGTTGACGCAGCATCCGAGGAGATGACGGTACTACGAGTGAAAGCAGATTCTGCTGAAGTTTGGGAAGATGACGCTGTGTCGGACGAGGATGTGAATTGCGATGACGATGAAGATGTCGAGCGAGTTGGAACTGCTGCGATGGTCGCAATCAGGTCAGCCGAAGTGGATGCCGAGATGCTGTCAAGGGAAACGAATGAAGAAGACGAGAACAAGGAAGCAGTGCCTGAAATTGTTAGACTTGATCATGTTGACAGTATCGTCTGGCTTACTAGATGCTGTTGAGTTCAAAATGAAACTAATTTCTGATAGTGGTGCGGGGGCTGCAGATGGAGTCGCAGTGCTTCCGGGGCCGCCAGTTGGAATTGGAGATGCGCTCAAGTCGGAGGTGGCCGCGACTTGTGCAACCGGGGCGCCTGTAGAGTATGGGTATGCAGGGACGGTTGGAACCACGAGGTCACTTGGGAAAGGTGGCACTGCTGGAACGGATGGAAGTACAGGAGCCGCAATTGTAGGTACTGCTGGTACTGCTGGAACACCAGGTAAGGGAGCTGAGGGAAGAGGCTGCTGCGCTGCGGGAGCTACTGAAGGCGCTGGTGCGGGTGAAGCCGCTGCGACTGCTGCGGCAGTCGGTAGTGTAGGTGCATCTGGGGACTGAGGTGTGACGGGCGCCATAGTCTCCTGAGCGATAAAACTTCCGTTGGTATCGACGGTTGCAACTACTTCGACGGCAACTGTCACAACCTTCGTGTTGCCTAGCGCAGCGCGGCGGTGAAAGAAGCGATGGCCTCTGCTCATGCTGTCTCTGCCTCGCAGTTCAGGGATAAAGTCTTCCTGGCTTGATTCCGCCTCTTTCTCTACAGATTGCGGCACAGGTTCGCTCTGGGGCGGGACGTTTTGCGCTCGGTGACGGTAGCGCGAATCGAATCTGGATATCCTGGAGGGTGTTGCAACGGGGTCCATAAAGGTCTAGAGACGGGTCCGGGCAATATGGACTAGGGCGATGCTTCCAGAGTATCGGTGGCGAGGTGCGCGGTTTGACGGGACATGTGTTGTAGAGACGGTGTTGGGAATGAGCGGACGTATGGGCTTCAGCCGATGCAGGGAGTCCAGTCAATGGAGTGGGTTTGGGTGGGAGCGAGTGAATGTCGGCAAAAGAATGGACGCCAGGTGACTGACTGAGGGATGGTCTAGAGGCGGCAACGATCAGCACTCACATGTCAGGAGGATGAATGCACAGGAAGACGTACGTGAAGGCGATCAATAGGCCAGCATTTGCTTCGCGATGGGCGCGCGGTTGAGGGGGCGGACGGGGTGGTTATGGGGAATTGGCGGCAGACGCAATTTCTAGCGTCGTGTATCGTGCAACGGGGTGGGCCAGACGTGGTGTGGGTGTCGCGCGACGGCGGCTCCAACAGCTGCGGTGGTAGCGGGCGTCGCTTTCGTCCTGAGGGTCCCTTGGCCGTGGTAGCGCTGGGTCCGTGGAATTGTCGACGTCGCGGCGGAAGCGTCGTGGGAGAGAGCCTGAGGGACACAGGGAGCAGCGCACGACGACGCTCTAGCCCAGCCAGATGCAGCGAGGAGACGAGAAACCGTTTGGGGTCGGTCGGCCGTTGGCACAGACCTTGTGGGCCTGATTGGCCCGCAACCGAGATGATATGTCCAGGAATAGCAGGACCCACCGGCACACGATATGAAAACACGCCCTCAGCAGCACTGCGATCGTCACGGCAATGACGACTGGTGACGACGGCAATCTCTTGCTTAATCTCGTCGTCGCCCACCCGTCGCGCGTCGTCGTGCTTCATTCTTCGGCAGTATCGACTTCGGAGAATTGGCGTACCATGGTCCAAAGGGGCTGCTAACTAGCCGTCCCGCTTGCACCTGCAGTGGCGCCACACCAGCAGCGACCGTCTTTCAGGTACCGCATTCTGGAACGGTGTATGCAGGGCCATGGCCCACGCTGCAAAGTCTGTCGAGGTGTTATTCTTAGTTGCCGCCCTTGGATTGTCGCACCTGCCATTGCTATTGTCGCACAAGCATCGACGACTCGTGCTCCTCGTCTTGGGGGACTCGCTTCTGCAATCTGCCGTCGTGCCCTTTCCACCACCGCCGGCCCGTGTCTGCTGTCTGGCGTATTGCCAAGCCCGAGTAGTCTTCATTGTTCGCTAGGGTAGCCTTCATAGTTCACCACCAACATCACGAGCTTCCTCTCTGGAACGCGCCATTGTCTAGTATGTTTGTCTGGAGCCCCTGACCTATCGCGTCAACAAACAACAGCGCATGAACCACGGTGAACAAAGAACGAGGTCATCCACGCCGTATGATATTACCGTCCTGATCCAGACCTGCCCTTCAGCATGTCTCATTCCTCCATGACTTGGGACGTGTGCGACTCTGCAGTGCATGACTATTCGTCATATAGGTTCGCAGACCTTAGCAAACCTAAACGACAAGGCCGCAGTGATCAGCTCTATATGCACGAGTCATGCACCTTAAGACGGAACTTCAAATATCCTCTGACACGAGCGTGACTTCGAAACACACAAACATATAGAACGTCTATATAACCAAAGGGGTGATCGGCGGCGCGCCAAATTCAACGGTTCAATCCCTTGCTGCTTCCTAACTCTTTGTCTCTGCTAGGAAAGCGTGCGTCTCATTGGGTTCCACATGCCCAACTACGACTGCCTGCCGCGTGTGGACTACTACATCCCGTTGCGCACGTCTTTCTTCGTTGGAATTCAAGAATCTAACTATGCGCAATCTCGAAAAAGTCTGTCTTGACTTTCTAGCGCATGTCTATTCGTTATACCTACTTGTTATGCGTACAGGTGAATACGTGAGTGGCGAGCGAATACGGCGTCCCTCGTATCGGGCCTGCGTATGAGTTGTCGCGTTTTACCCCACATTGCCCCTCTACACTGCACGCCTTCCAACCCTCGCAAACACTGCCCGGTTTTCGAGACACTGATTATATAACTGTGCCTCTTCCCATGCGTGTCCCCCAATCTCGTAACAGGTGCATCCACACCCAACAATGACGTCGCCGACAAGTCAAGCAGCTTCGGACCCCCAAAAGCACCCAAGACGCCCACCACCTCTTCCTCCTCGAGACTCTTCAACTAGTGATGCGCCTCCACCCTATTCCGTCATGGGCATGTCCTCGCAAGACCCGCGCTCTTCTTCGACCCAGTCGCTCGTTCCAGATCCCTCGCAGGGAGACACTGGGCGACGGCGCCTAATGCTCGTGTTCATTCACGGCTTCATGGGCAACGAAACAAGTTTCAGAAGCTTCCCAGCCCACGTGCACAATCTTGTAACTATCACGCTCGCCGAAACCCATGTCGTCCACACAAAGATCTATCCCAGATACAAGTCCAGGGATTCGCTTGAGATTGCGAGAGACAATTTCTCGAGATGGTTCGGTTCTCTCGCCCACAAATGTGCCCAGGACTGACAGCTGTCAGGCTAGCTCCACACGAGGATCAATGGACCGACGTTGTCTTGCTCGGTCATTCCATGGGTGGCTTGCTCGCTGCAGACATCGCGCTAGCATTTCGCCATCGCATCATTGGCATCGTGAATTTCGATGTTCCGTTCCTGGGCATGCATCCTGGAATTATCAAGGCTGGACTAGGCAGCATCTTTAGTTCACCACCAACGCCGCAAGACGCAATTGTGCAAGACGCCGACGCGGGAAAGAGGCCCAGTAGAATGAGTACAATCTTCAACCCCAAGCCTACGGATCCCAATTATAACCCGGCTTTCCCAAATGATGTGAATCTGCCAAATCGGAAGGGTTGGGAAAACAGCCTACATTGGCTTACTAAACACTACAAAGACGGCTTAAAAGAAGCCACTAAAGGTCTCGTCAAGTCTCATTTCGAGTTCGGTAGCGCAATGGCCGACTACAAAGAATTGAAGAACAGATACGCAAGAGTACGCGCACTCGAAGAAGATGACGAAAGCAAGAGGAGATCTGGTTATGGCCAAGGGCGCACAGTACCTCGCGTACGCTTTGTCAACTATTACACTGCAAGTACCGGAAGGCCCAAGAAGCCAAAATCTCCCAAGTCACCTTCTCCAAAATCTCCATCTCCATCTCGGTCCTCGAGTCAGCAACTACAGCATCAGGACAGCAACATGAGTGCCTCAAGTGAGGCATCTCGACAGAATCCTGCTCAAACAGAGGAACGAGAGAGGTCGAGAAGTTCATCGATCACATCGTCGGAGCCAGAGATGACACACGTGCATCCTGAACCCATGGCAGATTCTCCGCCGCTATCCATTAAAGTCCACGAGCATCGAGAGGACGGTGTCGTGCCTGTCAGCCCTCAAGACCTCCTCTCAGCTACCAGTCCTATTGCACCTCAAACTTTCGAGGAATCAGCGCGCGAAGATAGCGGTCCTCCAAACTTACCAGAGATCCCGCCTATCCCGCAGGAGCCACCATTTGTTGATCTGATGCAATTCTCCGATAAGGCCCAGCGCAAAGCTGCAGAGAAGGAGCACGACCAGGCTCTTAAGGTGTATCAGAAAGCTGTCAAGACACGCAACAAGACGATCAATGAACGGACTAAGATGGAAGAAAAATGGGAAAAGGAAAAAGCGAAAGAGAAGAAGGATCGAGAGAAGGAAGAGAAGAAGAAGCAAGAAGAGCGTGAGAAAGCAAGGAAGGAGCAAGAGAAGGAAGAGCTAAAGAAGGCTGAAGAGGCAAACAACATGTCAGCAGAGGACAAGCAAAGGCAGAAAGAAAGAGAACAGCGACAAGCAGAGGCAGAGCAGAGGGAGGCAGAGGCGCGGCAAAGGCAACGAGAGGCAGACTTGCGCGATGGAAAGATACCCACAGAAGATAAAGCCGAACCAAAACGTGCTACGATTGAGCTGGAAGAAGACATTGGTGCTATAGAGCTTGGAGACGACGAACCAGCTCAACACAACTCCCAGCATCCGTACGCTAACTACCAATTCTCTCGTAGCGGAATCATGCGTCAAGACACACCAGACGGCCGCGCCGATTCATCCTACACCCTTTCCACCATGGACAGCCAGAACAGTCATCGACCAAAGACCGAATCAGAAGAAAGTGCGCCTGCCAAACCTAAGAAGCTTAAAAAATTCTGCATGTTACCGCCGAAAGATGCAGATGGAAACAAAGATCCTACATGGATACGCGTCTTCATGGAGAACATGGACGAAGTGACAGCACATACCTCACTTTTCTTCATCAACGAGACATATGAGAAGCTAGTAGGAGATGTCGGCGCAAGGATCGAAGACTGGGTCAGAGAGGCGGATAGTATGCGGCTGGTGCGCGAGATGAGTGAGATGGAAGACATGAAGTTATGATTCATTGTTTAAGATACCCGTATATAGGAGATCAAAGTAGACCGTTCCTGCATCCTACCGCCTAGCACTAAGTACTACTCGTCCACCCCATCTGCGGCGCAATCGACATGACCCGTCCACCCACAACCAGTCCCCAAACACCCAAGCCCAAAATCCCGCTTCCGCCGTTCGCCATGCCCGCCCACACGCCTCCTGCTGCTGCCCATCCCAGACTCAATGTGCCCAGTAACAGAACGACAAGCTCACTGCCCCGTATCGCTTCATTGAACTTCTCAACAAACGGAATTTTCGTCTGGTTCTTGTCGTTCCAAAAGTTGTTCATGTGTACCCGAGCGAGGTACGCAGCCGCCGCATTCGCCGCACCAGCCCCAACCAGTACTTTTGTAGACGCCAGACTAGGTACGATGAGGAGGGCCGTAGACGTGATGAAACTAAGAAGTAGCTACAACCATCTCGTTAGTTACACACATTCTCGCGTTGGCCTTGCGAAGGGGAATGGCATACCGTCACAGTCCCACTAGTCTGCGTCGACCTCGTTTTGTGCAGTCTTTGCGCCGCGGTGTTTGACCATTCTGCGGCTTTTTCGCTCTGCTTTTCGTATTGCTGCAGGCGGGTTATGTTTTGGTAGGAAAGGTAGAGGCCGTAGGCGCTGAGGGCCGAGGTGAGGCCGAGTTGGAAGACGCTGACGGTGTAGATTGAGGGGGAAAACATGGTTGATTGAGAGGAGAGCGCCTGAAAAAGCTCGGCGATGGGGTTGGAGGGATTATTGGAGATGTGTTTGCTGGGGTGGATGCTCAGGTTTGGAAGTCTGGTGGAGGGATGGGACGCTACGTCATCGCGTTCTAGAACTTCCAAGGTTGGGCGTCTGGGCTGTTGGCTCCTGCGTTGGAACGCGACACCAACGCAACGAAACGAGCACCTTCGTGATGCTCTTGCTATATAGAAGAGACCTACCGCATCTGCTTTATGTCGTTATTGATGCCCAAATTCGGCCCATGCGCCAGATTCGAGAAAAGGCAGACTAATCAGCTTTCGTCACAAATACCATGTATGCTGAAGACTACGACGAGTCCTTCGTGTGGAAGTGCAGGCTTTATGCCCTCGCATTTGGTCACTTGATCTATTGTTTATTGTTGTTTCAACGCTCCGTTGTCCATAATTCCATCGGCACTGTTCTGCTCGGCTTCAAAAAATATCCCGACATTCTAGCGCTACATTCAAAAGCCGACCGGCTACGGATAAGGGACATGTTTCCGAACTGCCTTTTCTCACAACATCGCAAACATAGCTTGTGTCGTTCCTCCTGTGCTGTCCAAGCCATCGCCAAGCTATGCTTGCTACCAAACTCGCAGCGCGAAGGTGCCCCCTACACCGAGGTAGCAATTTGCATGCGAGGAGTCTGGCTTCGCTTGCACCGCGGGTGTCGATCAGTCCTCTAGATGCAGACATACCACTCGACTACGACCGACAGGTCTTGCAGCTCAAATCTGTGAGACATGGATCCCGGCGGCCGTTGACCTTGACGGAGAAGGTGCTGTACAGTCACCTCTGTACGTCAGCTGAGCACCACTGGTCTCTGGACGATATCCGGCGTGGGGAGACGCTGCTGCATCTCCGACCAGATAGAGTCGCCTGTCATGATGCGACGGCGACAATGGCATTGCTGCAGTTCATCAGCGCAGGCCTCCCAAAAGTCCAGATCCCCACAACAGTACATAGCGATCATCTCATCGTATCGCGCGACGGCGCTGAAGAGGACCTTGTCCGTGGAAGAAAAGAGCATCGCGAGGTCTACGCGTTTCTTAGTAGCGCAGCGAAGAAGTACGGAATCGGCTGGTGGAAACCTGGTGCCGGCATCATCCACACCACCATCTTCGAGAATTATGCGTTTCCTGGAGGCTTGATCATCGGGACAGACTCGCATACGCCCAACGCTGGCGGCATGGGAATGCTTGGTATCGGGGTTGGGGGTTCTGATGCAGTCGATGCGATGGCTGGTATGCCTTGGGAGCTCATGTGCCCACAGATCGTAGGCGTCCGACTCACCGGTAGCCTGCATGGATGGGCCTCGACAAAAGATATTATCTGCAAACTCGCGGGTATACTGTCTGTCTCAGGCGGAAAGGGCAAGGTGATTGAGTTCTTTGGCCCAGGTACGCAGACGTTGGGTGCCACGGCCATGGCCACAGTCTGCAACATGTCAGCTGAAATTGGATCGACCTCCTGCATCTTTCCCTACTCCGAAGCCATGAATCGATATCTCTCGGCGACGAAGCGTGCAGATGTCGCGCGATTCGCAAACGGCTACAAGGACATCCTGCTGACCGCAGATGAGGGATCCGAGAAGCACTATGACACGGTCATCGAAATTGATCTTGACTCTTTAGAGCCACATGTCAATGGTCCCTTTACTCCGGATCTTTCGCATCCTCTTTCAGAACTCAAGGATGCTGTAGCAAAGAACGACTGGCCTGTCGAAATTAGTCATGCTATGGTGGGCAGCTGCACCAACAGCTCATACGAAGATCTATATAAGACGTCGCAGCTTGTCGAGCAGGCCAAGGCTGCTGGTCTGCCGAAAGTGAAGACACCGTTTCTGGTCTCTCCAGGCAGCGAAGACATACGCGCTACTGCTGAGTCGGAGGGTATTCTGCAAACTTTGCGCGACGCAGGTGCTGTTGTGCTTAGCACGACTTGTGGCCCCTGCGTAGGGCAATGGCAGCGTACAGACGTCGATGTCAAAGGCCGCGAGAGAAACACGGTAGTTTCCAGTTTCAATCGCAACTTTGTTGGTCGGCACGACGGAAACCCAGAGACCTGTTCATTCGTGACTTCTCCCGAGATGGTGACGGCTTTTGCCTACTCTGGAAGGTTAGATTTCAATCCCATCGTCGGCTCTCTTCCAATCGAAGGGTCACCACACGAGTTCCAATTTACAGCACCAAGAAATGTCGAGTTGCCCATGCAGTTTGTCGTGGGCGAAGATTTCTACCAGGCTCCAGTCCATGACGCCGACGATGTGGCAGTCGATATTGACCCGCAATCCGAGCGTCTGCAACTACTCGAGCCCTTCAAACCCTGGTCTCCCGGCTCGACGAAAGACATGCCAATTCTTGTCAAAGTCCAAGGAAAGTGCACGACCGACCATATTAGTCCCGCAGGTCCGTGGTACAAATTTCGTGGTCATCTTGAGAACATCAGCAACAACATGCTTCTTGCAGCTTCGAACGCCTTCCTAGGTTCCGACTCCAAGTTGCTCGGCCACACGACCCACCCGCTAACCAGCGAAATCGGACTTGTACATGAGGTCGCCCGAGACTTGCGCGATCAAGGTGTAAAATGGTGTATTATCGGTGATTTCAACTACGGAGAAGGGTCATCGCGTGAGCATGCAGCTCTGGAACCGCGTTTCCTCGGTGGTGTCGCGATCATCGCGCGCTCGTTTGCCAGAATACACGAAACCAATCTGAAGAAGCAAGGCATGCTGCCTCTGACGTTTGCGAAACCCCAGGACTACGACCGTATTCAGTTGGGTGATCGCATTACGCTACAAGGTGTTGAGGACGGCGAGCTACGGCCGGGAAGGCAGGCTAGCATGCGTGTGGTACGCGCGAATAATGCAGGAGAGTGGATCGCGCCGCTCAACCATAGTTACAGCAACGGTCAATTGAAGTGGCTGAGAGCGGGGAGTGCGCTGAACCATATCAAACAAACGGTGTTGGGCAGGTAATTGATCGGGTTGGAGATGTGGTTTGGGGTAGGCCCTCGGGGAAGTAATTGCAACCTTGCAACATCAACAAACCCAAAAGTCTCCACTCGATGTCGACATCAGCGATACTAGCCATTGAGGTATCTAACTACCTCGGCGCTTTTGGCTGGACCGCTCGGTCTAGGGAGGTTATATAATGTAAAGACGCCACGGAACCCCGCGGTGCATCATCACGATTCTGATTGGCGGAAGTCCCACGCTGATCTACCAACGCAGGCCGACGCGTTCCTGGAGCCCTAGAGCCGTCTCCCGTAAGCCGTGGGCAGCTAGTTTGAGGCACCTGTTGACTATACGTGATTTCGACGACTCGTATCGAGCATCAATTGACCTTCGCAATGGCTCAAAGAGTGCTTCTTCGAACAGGCCGGGGCTTGTCGCTCGCGCCTCGCTCCCTGCAGATCACCCGCTCCTTCAGCACCGTTCTCGATACCCCTGTCGACCCTGGAACTCAACAATTACGCTCACCAGCGCGGACAGGCTCCGTCTTCGAGAATGCGCTCAATGCAAGTGCCCCAAGGACCAACTGGACAAAGGAGGAGATTACTGAAGTCTATAATACTTCGCTGATAGACCTCACACATGCAGCGGTATGTCGCGTAGCTTTATCACTTGGAGGAAATATGTCTCATCAATCCCGTTGTAGGCTTCGGTGCACCGGCGCTTCCATGACCCCGCCGCCATCCAAATGTGCACACTCTTCAACATCAAGACTGGAGGCTGCAGCGAAGATTGCTCCTACTGCGCGCAGTCATCGCGCTACGATACAGGATTGAAGGCTACGAAACTGTCTTCGGTAGATTCAGTCTTGGAAGCTGCGCGGGTCGCAAAAGAGAATGGAAGCTCAAGATTTTGCATGGGAGCTGCCTGGAGAGACATGCGAGGACGCAAGACGAATCTAAAGAATATCAAAGAGATGATTAAAGGGGTGCGCGGTATGGGTATGGAGGCGTGTGTTACCTTGGGCATGGTCGGTAAGTCTCTCCAGAAGGACCCTCATGTGGAACATACACTGACTTTGTATACCTATACGTAGATGCTGCGCAAGCAAAAGAGCTCAAAGACGCTGGATTGACTGCATACAACCACAACGTTGACACCAGCCGGGAGCACTACCCTAGTGTCATCACCACACGCACATACGACGAGCGACTCGCCACCATCAAGAACGTCCAAGAAGCCGGCATTCATGTGTGCACTGGTGGCATCCTTGGTTTGGGCGAGAAGGCTCGTGACCACGTCGGTCTCATCCACACCGTAGCGACACTGCCAGCCCATCCCGAGAGCTTCCCCGTTAACGCCCTAGTACCGATCAAAGGAACTCCACTCGGAGAAACACAAGCCATCTCTTTCGACGCCATCCTACGAACCATCGCTACCGCGCGACTAGTCATGCCGACCACCATCATCCGACTCGCGGCTGGCCGGCACACAATGCGCGAGGAGAAGCAGATTATGTGTTTCCAAGCGGGCGCCAATGCTGTCTTCACTGGCGAGAAGATGTTGACTACTGCCTGCAACGGATGGGAAGAGGATAAGGCTATGTTTGGCAGGTGGGGACTGAGGCCTATGAAGATGGAGGAGACAATTGGAGAGCAGCGCAAGCTTCCTGGGCAAGACGAGGCTGAGGCGGTTGTTGCGGCTGCTGAGGCGGAGGCGACAGTTCAAGCGCTTGCTTGAGGGCAGAGATAGTTTATATAAAAACGCTCCCACAATACGATGAAGAAGTAAAGAAGGTTACGAGTTCACTATTACAACTCTAGGTTGCATTATCCTCTCGATTCAAAGCTAGAGTTTGGCTCGCATGACTGCTTCCTGTACATGGCTTTGTGACTGTTCAGCTGCCTGACTCTCGCACCATCTTCCAAGTAATTCAACGAGTCTTTCCACCTCCGCTAATGTATTACCAGCATGCAAGCAGATCCTGACCCTAGCAGTACCCACCGGAACAGTCGGCGGTACAACTGCTCTGACCATCATACCATGAGTTTGCAGAAAGTTCGCCAAGACCTTGGGTCTTGCCAGTTGTACAGCGAATATAGGCGATCTTGGGCATGCACTTGGAATCGTGAGTGTTCGAACAGCCAAGTCGGATTGTCTCTGGAGATGACCAAGACTGGTATAGAGATAATGAGTAAGATGCTGTAGATGGGCTTGTAGCTTAACACTCTGCCCAGACTGAAGCAGCTGGTACGAAGAGCGGATGAGGGCCAGCGAGGGGTATGACAGGAATGTTGTGTATATGAGTGGGCGTGCATAGTTGATGAGGTAATGACGCAAGGTATCTGATCCGAGGATGATCGCTGTGAAGTGCTTAGCATCTATCAAAAACTTGGGAAGAATAAGATAAGACCTACCTCCGTTCGCCGCTACCGCTTTTCCAAATGTGTGGAGCCGTGCAAATACGCGTTTCTCGAGGCCTAGCTCACATACCAGACCCCTACCCTCTGGTCCTAACACACCAGTAGAATGTGCTTCATCCATAACGATGTAGCCTCTTCCAGGGCCCAAAACTTCTTCTACGACCTCCACCATCTCCTGTAAAGGGCATACGTCTCCGTCCATACTGTATATGGACTCCAAGGCTACGAAAACATTACGACTTTCGTCTTGCACATCATCGTCTTCTCCGATAAGTCTTATCAAGGTCTTCTTTAGAGCAGATATGGAGTTGTGTTCAAAAGCGATCGTCTTCCCCGCTCGTGATAACCTCATGCCGTCATGAACACTTGCATGTACAAGCTCATCATAGACTATCACGTCTCCAGGCTGCGGCACACTTGCAAAGAAGCCCGCGTTTGCATCAAAACCACTGTTGAACAGCAGTCCAGCTGTGGCTCCATGGAAGTTAGCAATCTCTTGCTCCAGTTGTTCGGCGTACGTCGAGTTGCCATCTAGGAGTCTTGACCCGCCGCTACCCAATGGCAAATCAATTCTTTGCAGCTCTTGAAGGTATGCCGATTTGAGCTGCGGTGAATTGGAAAGCGACAGGAAATCGTTGGACGAGAAGTCGGTCTGATTGGGAAGTGGTAATGTCAAATTACGGAGTGTTGCGTTTGTCCGTCGGCGATCGAGTAGTTCTTGTAATTTGTTCTGCAACGGCGCCGAATGCGTTTTGTTCCCCATATCTTTCTGGAGAAGGTGATGATAGGGACGCCTTTGGTCAACGATAACGTGACCCTCAACGATGGTGTGGAGCTGACCAAATGGCTGGCGTGGTAGGGTCAGCGGAAAGCGGGAAGGAAGCGTGGGGTCTGCCGCGGTTATCCGCGTTGTCGAAATCTGTCAAAAGTAAAAACATATTCATTAGCTAAAAGACTGCATAAGCTGACCCCTCGATGCCGTCGGAGATGCGGCTTGACTCATTACATTTGTACCTGCATCTTTAGCGTCGGTGTAGACGCGGAACCACTAGCGCACTCTCCGCACTGGACAGCATGCAGGTGCAGCCATCTACCATAGCACCTTCCTCAACTCACCACTAACTGGAAGTGAACAAGAAATGGCGAAGGTGCCAGGAGGGTTGTGGAAGAATGCGATTGCTGTTCAGGTTTATGGTGCCAACACGGGAGTTGGCAAAACAGTATTCTCGACGCTCCTGGGTGCACATTTCGGTAGGGCAAGCCTTAAGAGCAGGGCATCGCCGTTGCGCCACGGGCCCTACAAAGTACAATATGTAAAGCCTGTATCGACAGGTCCAGCTGATGAAGCCGACGATAGGTAAGTGTGGTGCTGTGTTATCCGACAGATATATGGGACACAAGGGCTGACTATACGCCAGCTATGTGCACAAGTACACTGGCCAGCGTGTTTCCACACTTTTCAAGTTCGACAAAGCTGTGAGTCCGCATGTTGCGGCAAGAGGTTCGGAGCACATTGTGAGTTCCACCCTTATAGTTGTGTCTTCACCAATAGTGATTGACTAGCAAAGCCCAGCGATGAGCTCATCAGCCAAACGGTGTTCAAATCGGTCCAGAAAGCAGCCGCCACATTAGATCAGGGCCGACTCTTTTCGATCATTGAGACAGCTGGTGGAGTTCTGAGTCCAGGACCTTCTGGTACGCCACAGGCGGATATCTTTCGACCATTACGACTTCCTGCGGTGCTTGTAGGCGACCATCGGTTAGGTGGCATCGCCTCTACCATATCAGCTGCGGAATCCCTGATCATGCGAGGATATGATATCGATGCTGTTGTGTGTTTCGATGACAAGAGTCAATACGAAAACGCAGATTACCTAAAGAAGTATTTCATGGATATGGGCATACCAGCTTACAAACTACATTGGATCCCAAACCTCAAGGGTGTTGCGCCAGGTACGAAGGAAGAGACGCAAATCATGCGGAATTACTACGACACGGAAAGCGATAGTACAATGGTAGGAACGATTGCCGAGGAGCTGATTCATCGCCACGACCAGCGACTCAGGCGCCTAGGATCCATGCCGTATGAAACAGAGGACAAGATTTGGCATCCGTTCACACAGCACAAGCATGTGAAGAACGCGAACGACATACTCGTCATCGATTCGGCATATGGCGACTTCTTCCAGGTCAAGCACAAGGGTAATGAGGAGGTGCCCCATCCTGAGAACCAGACCTTGTACCCAGCATTTGACGGTTCCGCGTCATGGTGGACTCAAGGACTTGGACACGGCAATCCGCGATTAGCATTGGAAGCAGCATACGCAGCAGGACGCTATGGTCATGTCATGTTTGCCGGCGCCACACACGAACCAGCTCTCACTCTAGCGCAGAAGATTCTTTCGGGCTCTCCACAGGGGACCCGTTTGAGGAAAGTGTTCTACACAGATAATGGCAGCACAGCGACAGAAGTCGGTATCAAGATGGCACTTCGTGCATCCAGCAAGCGTTATGATTGGGATAGCGCAAAAGAGTCCATAGGTGTCCTTGGCCTCAAAGGCAGCTACCACGGAGACACAATCGGTGCCATGGATGCCTCTGAACCGTGCGTCTTCAACGAGAAAGTTGACTGGTATCGTGGTCGCGGTTTCTGGTTTGATTATCCGACTTTCATGCTCAAGAATGGCCAATGGGTAGTCGAGCCACCCGAGGGCATGGAAGGAGAATTAGGTCCAACTCAGACCTTTGAGAATCAAGACAGCATATTCGATTTCGCTACCAGAGGTAGATCAGCACAATACGAGGCTTATATAAAGAAAACGCTGGATGAGCTGGTGAAGAAGCAAGGCAAGAAGTTCGGTGCCTTGGTGCTAGAGCCCGTCATTCTCGGAGCCGGAGGTATGCTGTTTGTCGACCCGCTTTTCCAGCAAAGCTTAGTACGCGTCGTCCGTCATTATGACTTTGCAAACGGCTCCATGGCTACGGAATTTCCGAAGGACGAGGATGCTTGGTCTGGTCTTCCCGTCATGTTTGATGAGGTGTTCACTGGTTTGTACCGTCTGGGTCGCTTTTCTGCAGCCTCATTCCTTGACGTTCATCCCGACATCAGCGTGAATGCGAAGTTGCTTACGGGAGGTTTACTTCCGCTTTCGATTACCAGCGCGAGCCAATCTGTCTTCGAAGCTTTCTTGGGCGACGAGAAATTGGAAGCTCTCCTGCATGGACATAGCTATACCGCTCATGCAGTCGGATGCCACGTTGCAAATACAAGTCTGGATATCATGGAGAAATTGAACTTTGGCCATGAGCGGAGCTTGGCCGAGAACAAGACTACGACGGTAAGCCGTGGCAGCGGCAATCGTGTGTGGAGTATGTGGTCCGATCCCTTCGTGAAGAGCGTCTCAAATCATGAGAGGGTTGAGTATGTGAACGCCCTGGGCTCAGTGCTGGCCGTATCGCTCGCTGATGAAGGCGGTTCTGGTATGTCGATCCTTCCTCCTACATGCTTCTTCTCTAATGTGACCTAGGCTACACTTCCTCTGCAGCAGTTGGCATTCGCGATGCTTTACTCCACGATGTCTCTGAATCGCAGGTACAGATTCATTCGCGCATACTGGGCAATGTTATCTACCTTATGGCGAGCATGACTGCGACCCGCTCTCAACTCGCTCCCATCGAAGCAGCATTTATGGAAAAGTTGGAAAGCGTCAAAAAGGCTTGAAGTATGGTGGCCTTGATGTAATTTCGTGTCACTACTCTCAAAGGTGCACAGAAGTCGCGTATCAAATTAAAACAATTAACGAACCTTTTGCGAAGATGAAGACTCAGAATGTATCCTGAACGGTGGTAAATACCAGCCTTCTGTCACCTCATATGTGTTGGACAATCTCGCCAATCACAACGACCGCAAACTTGCTCAGTGATACCAATAGCGTGTGTCAACCCTTCCTTTAACCGGGCAACAACAACGTCGATGCGCCTCCGGTGTCAGCCACGAGTCGCATCCCTTATTCCCGCTCCCGAAGACGCAATCATAGACAATGAATTTGCTCTAGCACACGGCGATGTGAGCAATTATCTGCGAATAAGCACCCTGAAGTACACTCTTCTGCCTTCTTATAGGCCCCACTGCAGTGTTCCAACTCCTATGTAACATCGAAACATGCGCGTCGTAAGCATAGCAGATGACGAAAGCAATTGGGTTGATATGGTTTCCTCGAACTAATAAACACTGCAACCCTCGACCCACCGTCCGACTGACGACTTTGAGACTGAACCAAGCTACTACCTTGCGGACGAACAACGCGACAGTTGGACCATGATGTCGATGGATTCCATGCACAGTGAGAGTGTGCCATGGCTCACGCAACCCGTTATGCTGCATTCCTCTCGAAAATACACCTGCAGTCTCAAAAGCGCCACGCTTTGTGAATGGCAGCAAGGGTACTGGAGATTTTGGTATGAAGCCGATCATCGATACGCGCTCCCGACAATCGCATTCTTCATGGCAACTATCGTTCTCTTTGCCATACCTTTCCTCATCTCGAAGCTCATACGAAAACCTCCCCCAAAGATCAAGGCTGTGCGACAACTGCTTGCCGTCTTTCGCTACTTCGCCTACCGTTCCTGTCGCATCAGGTCTTTGAACTGGAATTCCGCACCACTCGGTATCCTCATACTTGGGGCGATAGGCACAGTGTTCTTCGCTTGCATGACACTCGGTCCGCGACCCTACTATTGGCCGAACCAGAAGAGTCCTCCTATCTCATTCGGAGGTTCACCCCCGATCGCCACAAGAACAGGATGGATGTCGCTCGCCTGTCTACCCTTCATCATGGCGACTTCGACGAAGAGTAATATGATTACAATGTTGACAGGAGTATCGCATGAGAAGCTGCAATTGTTTCATCGATGGATCAGCTATGCATGCTTTGTGCTCGCTCTGATACATACATTCCCCTTCATCGTGTTCAACGTATGGAAAGGATCTATGGAGAGTGAGTGGCATACGGACGTGTGTTATTGGACCGGGGTCGTCGCCCTCATTTCGCAGGTTCGTGACCAGGCCTCTTTCCCTCCCATGTGGAATTAAGACTATGACCAGAGAAAAGCTAATGAGCGTCCAGGCCTGGCTAACATTTGCCTCCATTTCCTACCTTCGAAACATCAGCTATGAGTTCTTCAAAGCAACTCATTTCATCGCGGCCTTGGTTTTCGTATTGTTCTTCTTTCTCCATTGCGACTTTCGGCTGTCGTCTTGGGATTACTTCATCGCAACAGGCGTCATCTATACTTTGTGTTGGCTCCATAGCCATATGCGCATATTTTTCCAGTATGGCATCAAAACGGCTGCGGTCAGCATAGTATCCAACGACTTTGTCAAGATTTCGATCCCGATGAACGGCAGCTGGAAAGTGGGTCAACACTACTTCATCAGAGTCTTTGGCCTAGGTGTACACGGAATGACTACACACCCTTTTACGGCATGCTCTCTTCCAGGAACGACTCACTCTCGCATGAACGAACTCGTCTTCTTTATTCGACCACAGGGAGGTTTTACAGCGCGCTTGGCAACGCACGCTCGGCAACATCCTGATATGAGTCTCAAAGTGCTGCTCGATGGCCCTTATAGTGGCATAAACATGCGCAGGGTTGCTGCGAGCCAAAGTATTGTGGCTATTGCTGGTGGATCTGGTGCTGGCTGGCTTTTACCGCTAATCGAAGCGTTCCTGCGGCAGAGTGAGCATCAGGCTGCAGTTCGCGCAGCAGACACGCATCGCGACGGCGACGGAGATGTCAACACACAAGCGACGATGCGAGTGATACTGGCGACCAGAGATTTATTGACTAGAGATTGGTTCGAGCAGGCCGTCATCGAGCTATTAGCGAATAAGCTGAGCGGATGTTGTTGTGACGGATTGAACGTGGACATCTACTACACCGGTAACGAGAAGCATGATAGTACGCTCACAAGCCCCGAAAAAGTAGAAGAGAAGTCTGAAGTGTCGAATGGGAGCGTTGGCTCAGGGACAAATGTACGCCGCTCGGAGGAAGCCGCATCAAACACCCTCTGGTCTGCGCTCACCCCTAAGCATGTATCGCAACGACCGGACCTACTAGCCGTCGTCGCCGACGCAGCAGAGTACGGTCGCGAAAGTACGTCTGTGCTAGTATGCGGCCCGTTGAGTATGCAAAGCGATGTGTCGAACGCTGTTGCTCGTGCGCAGATTGGTGGCATGAAGGATGGAAAGCGGGATGTATATCTGCATATGGAACACTTTTCGTGGGCCTAAGCGTCAGGACAAGAGAAGACAGAGGATTTAGAGCGAGTCGATGTGCATCGAGAACCGTCTGCGAGTGGAAGTCGCATAGGGTAGTATTATCGTGAATTGATCACAATGATGTAATGCACTGCGCTAAATCACCCTGATTGGCTTTGCCCAAGAATTCCCAGAGGACACTGCGAGCCTCCCGCCCCCCGTAACTCTCTACAGACAAACAGATGGCCCACCACTGCCAGTTTCAGGAACCTCACGGTCATGCGATCCATGCATACAACCGATTTTCAGCAACGATGTTGCGGCCAACCGGGTAACCCATATATTCCCACCGTTCCTCAGTACGCGTCATACACCAAGAATCACAAAGAAGCAATCAGGTGTTACTATCGCTTCTTATTCCAATATTAGTACCGTTCGAGAGATGGTACAACATGTCGAGCATGCACACGCCGTGCGATCAGCTTAGGACTGGCTGAGCTGTCTTCTGAGATTGCGTCAATGGGCCACGACAGGTCCACGGGAAGTCAACCAAACACGGCAGAGATGTCGTTCCGGTCACTCAAACAGCTTGCCGACGTCAAAACGAGTATCAGTCCCGTTTCGCACTAGTACCTCCATGCATGTTGTCGAGGATGGTACCATTTAATATTTCATCCTTGTAGGTGAGTTCATAAAGCGGCCGCACCTCGGACTATAGCGTGCAAGTGGCTTTAGACCAGATCCTACGTGATAGGACTTGCATGCACGGCAATCGGAAGTAAGCCTCCGACGACATTGATGACTCGAAGCAACAGGAGCAAACTCAACGAGCATATTGAGGGGCAACAGTCACTGCACGCGACGCAGTGTAAGATGCCTATTCTGAGACGACGAAGTTGCAAGAGCGTCTAGGACTTACCATGTCTTCGCGGCTGGCGTCTGTAGAACGTCGCATCGACCGAAAGACGAAAAATCGACGCAGCTTTAATTCGCATGGGATCTGACCGAGGCTGTCTTATAATAGCGGGTCATTGCACATCCCGTGGCTTAGCAGCGCGGCTTCTGCCGTCCTAAAAGGTTCACCCGAGCGGCGAACCCCTGTTTGGAACAGGCCAGCTACACCCCCACGGCTCTCGGCTTGAAGAGAACAACAATGCAAGCTTGCCGGTTTACTACCGGGGTAGCTAGATACTCCAAGTGATCTTCGAGTTGGGAGCTGAGCATCCATCGGGCGTGAGTTTGTCTCCCACCTGTTGACATGCGAAGAGTATAAGTTTCAGCCTGAAGCTGTGGGCACCAAACATTCTATGTTGACGTATCAGGACGCATCGACCCGCTAGCCAAAAGTTACATTGGTCGGATCACTGTGGAAGTGCTCATGGCACTGGGATGTCAGAGTCTTGGGGAATTTCGGGTGAACTTCAAACTCATGAGTTGTCTGATAGGTGATTCAATCTCTCAGCCTTACCTCACCCTAGTCAGTCTCGGGACAGGCTCAGCGTGGCACCCTCGGTGCTGTGGTATCTACAGGGTGTTTACTGGAGACCTGCCAAGCTCGGAAAATTCATGTGGTTGGTTCGTAGGTTACATATGACGAGGAGCAAGCCATGGGGTCCCTAGGATGTGATACGCTGTCGATATGTCGGCCAAATGAGAAGAGAGGACCAGAAGCGCAATGTTGCTTGGTGCAGCCTATATTTCGCCTATCTGCATCGTCCAATGTAGAGTATTCGTTGGCCGTCGAACGGCTATTTGTCTCTTGCACCAACAGTACTCTGGAACGACAGTCAAAATGTATCACAACTACTCCAAAAGCATGATGGTCTCCCTGGCAGTAGCTTTCATGGTACTGCCATTCGTTTTCGTTTGTTTGCGTTTATGGGCCAAACGGATCGCCAAGCGGGTGGGTTGGGACGATTTTCTTACGGTTGCTGCTTTGGTAAGAGCTTTGATCGGTTCAGTATGTACTTCATCATCTGATTGAATTTTGATAGGCTGTGTCTATAGCTTGTTGTTCCTTACAGTTAGCTAGTAAGTGTTTCGATTGGAAGGCAGCTTGGAAACTTACGCCAGTTGATAGCCGCAATACATGGCTACTTGGGGTCTCATCAACCACTGGACGAGAAAGGCCAGCCCATTATGGATGATCCCGGATTAATATTTTTTGAACAAGTAAGTAGGTCTAGCCGCCGGTAGCAGTACGATTGCTAATGTCTCTAGACGAAGTTTGCTCTGAACATGATCTCCATTATTGGACTAGGTCTCGTCAAATCGTCGATTTTGGTATTATACAAGAACATCTTTGACGTACGAAAGTTTCGCATCGTGGTATACTGCGTGCTTGCATACGTCATAGGTTGGACCGTCAGCTTTACGTTCTCGCATCTGTTCACCTGTTACCCCATAACGGTATTCATTGAACCGTACTATGGAAATAGTTGTGTTGAAACCGTGCCAATGTTCTTGGCCCTACTTGTAAGCTACTGTCTCACTCAGCATAACGACTTCGATTCCAGGCTGACCATTTTACCAGTACACGGGTGTCTTTGCAGACATTGTCATCCTTATTCTTCCTATCCCGATGGTTTTGAGCGTCAGAATGGAGGCCAAGAAGAAGCTAGCTGTAATCGTAATGCTTTCACTTGGAGCTGCGTAAGTCTTTCTTCGTCTCGTACGTCGTTGTGTTCAAGACAACTGAGTCGCACAGAGTATGTGCTGTCAGCATTACACGGGTTGTGGCGACTTACTCGATCGCCGGCGAATATCTGAAGCATCCCGACGACGTCATTTATTACACAGCACCGGTGTTCTTTTGGACCAACATTGAACTATCTTTGGGCGTTGTTTGCGCCTGTTTGCCCACGCTCCGGCCCATTTGGTTTTACTTCTATCCTCGGGAAGCAACACAAACTGGCTCGAGCTACGGATACGGATCATCAGGTCACGGTTTTGGCTCATCCGCGCTGAACGGTACCGGGAGAAGCACTACGTTTAGCGGCAAGTTAGTACGCAACCCATACCAGGAGATTGACGAGATCGGTACGTAATACATGGCGCCCCGTGAAGTGCTCCACTAATGCTATGCAGAGCTGACGGCACGGTCTGAAGCTCCTTCTACGCCTCCCGAAGACGCCTCAACGCTAGGCAAGCGCGGTATCACGAAGGAAATCACGATTCATCAGACGTTGGGATAAATATTTTGCCACGCAGGGCATCTACCTAGTTGCAAATAAGAAGCGCCGGTATTAGCATTTTGAACCGCAAATCCTACAATACTCCGCTCGGTTTATGTCTCAGAACAGGTTGCTCAAGGTAGTCTCCAGGCTATTGGCGTAACATGTGCATTGTTTTTGATTGGATTGGCATCCTTTTCGCAAAATACTGCCGAGTGCCAAGTTCATCGGCAAAATATATCTTGCATACCACCGGCAGCACTTCACAGAGACCCTGTTCCTGCGGCGCTGTCACCTTCCGAATCTTTCGATGGTGGTTCGATGCTACCTGGAATCCAACCCACGTGCACAAGGATGGAACCGCCTAAGGAACATGGCCCACGTCATGCTATCAACATGGCTCGCTGAACTCTTGCGAAAGTCATGCATGGAAACATTGTGCTGGTGCACTTTAGGGTAACGCACGGGTCCTGGGGCCGCTGAGCACCGACTCGCATGGGGCCGTCGGAGGACATATAACCGAATGCGGCTGCGCCCGCGGTAACCGGGTCGATTGCGAACGAGTACGGCAGATAACCGCTTCGGTGACTATACCTAACCCAGCGCGGATTTAGCATGCAGGGACGCTGGCTGCATCCCGTTTGTCGACTAGAGTTTTCTACCGGGACGACAAACCACTCGCCTTACACACTTGACAAACTGTGGTCCGAGCATTCTCTGCCACCATGCAGGTGGCCGAGAAAGTTTGATATCAATTAAAAAGCACGTTGGGCCGTTACCTATTCGCTTGGTACCGTTAACATGAGAGTCTTGTCATTACTGATTTCTATTGCAGTGGCGGTTTCTGCACTTGCTGTACGACAGACGGACGTTGCCAAGGATCTGGAGACTTTGGTGTCGTCGCCGTCTTCGGTCAACGTAGAGGTTCGAGCACGTTGGAGTGATTACAATGCACCCATTCCATCGGTAGTCGTCCGCGTGCAGAATGACAAAGATGTGGCAAAAATAGTAGGTTCAGCCTCGACCAAATTGCCGGTACAACGGATCTTCAGTGCTAATTCAACCAAAAGGTCAAATACTGTACGAAAGCTGGGATACCGTTCCTTGCGCAGAATGGCGGCATCGGGTGGGGAAAGACTTTCAGCTTAGGGAAATGGGGTGTTCTGATCGACCTTGCCAATCTCAACAAAGTCGTTGTCGCTGCAGACAAGAAGACCGCCACTATCGGGGGCGGTGCAAGTATCGGAGACACGATTGCAGCAGCGAATGCTGCAGGTGCACTGATAATTACTGGAAATTGCAACTGCGTTGGCGCTCTGGGGGCCATGCTCGGTGGCGGTTATGGCAATCTCATGGGCGAGGTCGGATTCGGAGTCGACAACATCATCTCCATGCAAGTAATCATTGCATCAGGCGAAATACTTACCGCGTCAGCCACGTCTCATCCGGAACTGTTCTGGGCACTTCGGGGGGCAGGACCCAATTTCGGAATCGTCGTTTCAGCAACCGTCAAGGCAACGCCAGCCACTGAAGAGGATCGCACAGCATATATCAACAACCTCTTCTTTTCACCCGACAAGCTCGAGCAGGTTGCGCAAGCGGTTGAAGATCTTCCTCTTACGCCCAAACAACGAGTATACCTTGTACTGACCTCTAGTGGGGAACCACTCAACGAGCCTTCCATCCTCGTCACTGGTTTACTTCGTAAAGGCACGAACGAAACAGGCCGCGAAGCCTTCGCCCCTTTCTACGACATTGGCCCCATTTCTGAGTCCAGCGCTATCGCTACGTACGACCACTGGAATGATGCCAACATTGGCTTTTGCACTCGCGGTGGTCGCAAGCCCTCGTACAGCTCCACTATTACGGGCATGAACGCACAGAAGTGGCCCGAGATCTGGGAGCTTTACAAAGGCTTCCAGGCCAAAGGTCCAAACTCGGCCGTCCTAATCGAGCGATATAACTTGACCAAGGCCATGTCGGCACCCGTTGGCTCGGCAGCAATGAATGAGGCACTCAGGAGGGATGCGTTCTCGCAGGCTATTGTCATACCGTGGTATGATGATGCTGGCCTCGATACCGAGGCCTTGGAATTCGGAAACAAGGTCAGGGCGCTCTGGACAAGGAGCGATGATCCCAAAAATGATCCCACGTAAGTTTCCAGTGCCACGATCGAAACGAACTAGTGCTCACAAGATGCGCAGCTATGCCAACTTCGCCTTTGGCGATGAGACCAACACCGCTATCTACGGATCCAGTCTTCCCAAGCTGAAATCACTCAAGAAGAAATACGACCCGAAGGGAGTGTTCAGTCAGTGGTTCCCGATAAAACCATAAGTGATGGTAACCTTCACTAGCTTTCCAACAAAAGCTATGCAAACAAAACCTGCTATGAATCCCTAGAGTTCCCAACCAAACATGCGTGCCATTAACCATTCATCCGTTTATCATCCCCCGAACTCAACCTCTCTAACCCACCACAAGTCCCACACCCCATTGTATCCCTCCACCAGCCCAGCTGTCGAATTCGAGTTCCAGTCCTCATACCCATCGTCCATCGAGTACATCGCATTCACCCTACGCGTAGAACAACCCCGCAAACCTGCGTCGGTCTCTGCTCTATTCATTGCATCTTTCACTCTACTCCAGTAATCAAAGACTTGGATCGCGTTGCCGACCCATGAATGCTGTGGAACCATCTGAAGAGGCCAGACGGAAGAATTAGTGCGCATCAGGACGTATTGGCTTATGGACGGGCGTGGAGGTTTTGGTGATGGGGGATATGGGAGGGGAGTGTCGGTTACGGGGATGATGCGTGAGGGCATGTCGGTTGTGTGTTGGGATGGCTTGGGGTACTTCATGTTCTTATCGAGATTGAGATAATGTTTGCCCTAGGTGATGGATTGGATTCTCGCGCGATGTTGAAGGTCACAAGGTGTCTTCACGAGATACATGCACGTGGCCCCACAAACCTCACATATCGGCGTGATAATCTGCCAGCTCAACCCAGTACAGCCTCTCGTACTGTATCCCATCCTTCACCTCCACCCCAGCTGAAATACCGAAATGGAAAGGCGGCTCATTGTCGCTAGCCGGCCCTCGGTTTACCAGCTTCTGGGTTCCTGGAGTGATGGTAGCTATTGCAGCTGAGACGTCGCCGGCAGCACGCATGGAGTCTCGAAGTTGAATCATCCGAAGTCGGAGTATGTTGGCCGATGGAGGCTCGTATGCCCACACCCCGAGTGGCTCACCCTGCCAGGGAGAGGAGGTGGGAGAGGAAGGCATGGGACGAGTTAGCGTCATTAGGACAAATGCTTTGAGTCTAAGGTCGGTAGACCCTGTGTACACCTCGGCCGCCATCGGGTGCGTGATTTGGACAGAGTAGAGTGGAGGTTGATAAGCAGATCGTATTGATAAACTGATACCAATTAGATGCCATTTCCGAGTTTGCTGAGCTGGTGTGACTAAGTCATGAGGCGTGTGCTAATACGCATGTCGTTGCCTGTAAGTTGCATTGTCGGCAGCAATTCTTTCCCCACGAGTATCTTTCTCCTACTGTTATGGCAGCGAATTCGGCAGATAATCCATACAGTCTCGTTCTCGTGAGCCTCGCCTATCCCCTGAACACGCCCGTTCCACGGATATGGGTGGGCAATGCGGTTTACACGTACTCTGGCGGTGATGCGGTCTTGGGTCTCCCTGGTTTAGATGCTGCGATGAACAATTTGTACGATAGGATGGAGCCGGAGAACCGTCGGCGATTTCAAATGAAAGATGCAGAGGGCGCTGCCTTCCAGTTGGCGGTTGGCGGGCCCGCTGTGGGATATGCTATATGCGGTCGGTTCAAAGAGGGCGAGGCGGGCAGGCACGTAAATCGATTGTCCTGGACGGAGTGAGTTGAGGTCGTCCAAAGATCTGACGGTGGCATATCCGCAGCGCAAGCGGCTTCTCCGAGTTTCGATTGATTCATCGTGTGGCATTCAATCAGAGTCTTGGGATAGCAGCTTCACAGCAAATGTCTGCTCTCCAAAGACATTCCCGAACACGGCTATTCGCTTCTTCGTCATCCAAACTGTCATCACGGGTACTTTCCTCCTCTTTACCGTGTTGTTCTCATTCGACAGGTCCTCATTGTCTTGTGTGCTCTGTATCTTTTCGACGTCCGCGGCACCCTTGTCCATCGGCCTTGGAGTTTTGATCTCTCGGTCGACCTCGACACTCGTGAGCATTGTATACATCCACCATGCCTTCTCCTTCCCATGGTTATCGTCCTCTTCACCACTCGGCGCTACAATCCGCCGAACCATGTCGACAATGCCTACTAATTTTGTTGTGCCCTCACCTTGCGCAGAAACGGCTATGATCACATCGTCCTCTTTCAAAGCATCCGGCATTTCGATTGTAGACGCTGCATCTTTGTATGCGCCCAAGTATGTCTTTAGCCTGTTGATACCAGACCTGATGTTCTGGTTCTTCGAGAAGACGACCGGTACGATGTTTTGTGTGGCTCGCATGCGCTTCTGGGTTTCGAGGAGCTTACGTAGTTCGGTAGGCAGCCGTGTCCATGGCTCGTAGAGTGATGGGTGGATCGTGGGAGGAGATGGTGGTTGCGATGGCTTCTTCGAGACTGAGCCATTAATCTTGTCATGCGCCTTTCGCTTCTTGCCAGCTGTCGGTGCGTCCTCGGGTGTCCCAATGATAGGAAGGGTAGGTCCTTCGCTCGAGTACGGCGGACTCGCAGCCACGGTCGCGGTGTTGGCGTCTTTCTCGGCCGATGATGCGAACATCTCACTCATGCGCTTTGGATTCCCCATTATGAACAACGAGGGACGTGCAATAGTCAAGAGTCGTGCGGTCCACGCGCGACTGCGATGACGAAAATTAGACGCGCCAAAAATCTCAAGACGCGCCGCCGGAGGTACCAAACGACGCTAGCTTATCGCCGACTGTGCCGCCCATCCATCTCTCTCGACCATCTGATCTTTCATCACACACGTACATTAATCTTTGCCACCGCGACTTTATATCGGAAAAAGATTAAAGAAACGTTCTTTCTCTTTGTGATCAGTACATCATGAACGACGATGTAACTGAAAGTCTGGGTCGCTTGAGCCTCGCTACACATGGCCACCGTCAAATCAATACAGTGTATGTAAGCCGTGCTAAGCTGTATAAATATTAGGCTTACGATTGAAAGTGATCAGGATACTCCTTACACACCACCTTTTCTTCGTCTGCCAGCCGAGATTCGAGTTATGATTTATGAGCATGCGTTCACCAACGAGACTATCCATGTGCAACCAAAATCCACTGATCTACTTGGAGGCACATATCTCCTGCGACGTAACGGGATTCCAAGATACCAGCAAATCATCTCTCTTCTGATGACCTGTAGACACATCAGAGAAGAAGCGACTCCTACCTTCAACGAGCTGATTACCTTTGACCTCACACTCTACTATAACTGCATGGCGGCCGCGTACGAACTAGGACCCGACATCTGCCAAGCAATAAGAGCTATCAAAGTAGAACCGAGGCTCGCAAAACGTCTAGCTATAGGGCTCCAACAGGGCGCACCTTCTAGCACCAACTATAGGCATTTGTTGCCTTCCCTACGGCGGGTGCATATCCAACAGACTTCTATATTCGGGCTACTCAGTATGAGCCCTGACTTGGCTGTGAGAGCACTACGACTGTATTTTGGACATAACAACCTCGAGGTCATATTTAGTAGGACGTGAGCTCTTCTGCACGACCGAATGGAACGGTGGATCATCGTCTCTACCACTCAGTGAATGCCTGCCCTGGGCCCAAGTCAGTGCGCCAACTAGCGGAACTAATTCATGACTCCAATAAACTAATCATCAGAGAGTCTGCTTTGCTGGATGTATTATTCTAGACATTCCCGCTCAACAAAAACACCTCAAAATGACTTCCAATCTGGTGGACCCGACGACACAAAGCGCCACCGCCCATGTTACCCTTCCTCATCGATATGAAGCCCTCGAACATGGAGCCGTAAAAGCGACATGAGTAGAAGCACTGAGATGTAGGTTATTCGCCGCAGTGAGCTATACACTTCTACTGACAGTACCCTAGCGTTCAGATCGACCAGCAGCCCTTCCATTCCTTGACCTATCCACGGAACTCCGACCCATAGTCTACGACTAAGCCTTCGACAGCAAAGTCATATACCCCACGAACTCTCGCCGTTCGCAATCTCTAGTACATAGCCGTCACTTCCGCGCAGCCTTCAACCTTCTATTCTCTTGCCAAACGATACGCAACGAGGCGAAGGATTCTATCTACAAAGACCGTACCTTCAACTTTCGATGTTACTACGATCTCCCAACAGCGCTTCATCATTTAGGGGCGGCAGTCTGTGAATCCATCACGGCTATTAGGATCGAAGAATTTGGTCTTTTGCGGCCAGGTCTCTATCTTAATTCCCTCGCATGGAACGAGGAACGTTACTCCTGCTTTATTAAGCGGTACTTTCCGCGGCTGGATGAGGCTCATCCGTTACCTTCTCCATGAGGGGCTCTGACGGGCCCATTCCGAGACAATGCTGCCCGTCAGAACAAGGTTGTGGAAATACGGCTTGCGAAATGTGGAATTACACTGGAATCAAGCCTGCCTGATATGGATTAGGACTCGGGCTCCGGAGCGGAGCGCAGCAGAGCTCGGCGTCATCGACGTTGAGAATAACACGGCCTCAGAGCTTCCAGTGCTCGACGATAAACCCAGCACACAGCACCGACCAGCCAGCAGACAAAATGGAGTTGAGATCTGGTGGAAGTGTGAGTCTGTGGACCCCTACCGTGTACTTATCCGGTATATCATATTAAAAATAATGGTTTGAGAAGTCCAAGGATAAACATTTCTCTAGTGGGATCAAATTCAATCTACCCCACTGCCAACTTTCCCTCCCACGCATTCACCTCCTCCGATAAATCGCAGCGTCAATCCCCACCGCATCTTTCATAACCTTCATAGTCCACTCGCTAATCGGCTCAAAAGCCTTGACCGTGTCTCCCAGCTGCTCGCCCTCCCCGAATTGATGAATAGCTAGGAATGACAGCTCTTGGTTCTTCCCGCCCTCATCGGAAGAACCAGAATGTTGCGAGACAAGTGAATAACGACATGTGCGTAGCCAACCTGGTTGCTCAGACGTTTGCTGGTTATGCTCTTCGCGGTACCAAGCATCCAGATCCTCGGCACCGGTGGGCGAGGGTTGCATGAGTGCTATCATGATGGTGCCAGCAGCTTCTACAAGGTAGAGGTCAGCAAATAGCACCTCTCATCTCGGTCTCTCCTTGAGATAAAGCGTGCAGACATACCACCACTCTTCTTCGGACCAAAAACCTGGACTTCAGAGTACGCCCTAACATCCCAATCTCCGCCTACATTCTCTGCTTCTAGAACCTTCAACATTTGCTTTGCATTCACTCGTGCCAGCTCTTCTGTTTCGCAGACGAAGAGATGCTGTTTGTCGTATTCTGCATTTGCGGCTTTGTATTGCGTTGCCGTTTTGATGCCGAGAACATTGCCTGTTATGGTCGTGGGTAGGAGAGCGAGCTTGTCATTCTGTTGTGCATCGTTGCTTCCGGTTGACGTGGGTTTCAGAAAAGCGAGGAGAACACCAGCGCCTGGGGCCTGCTCTGAGGATGCCATATTGGGAGAAGGGACGTATTCAGGTGACGAGGGTTAGGATGAGTAAAATTTGAGAGGGTTTTGAGGGAAAACGCTATGGGGTTGGATGAAGATATGTTCATACGCAGTTACTAAATAGACCATCGAGGGTAAGCGCATGCCGTGTCTCCACTTCCCGGATCAGATTACCCGTTGGCTACCTCTCGGCCTACTCATTATACGCACATGCACTACAACAAAACACAATTTCGATGGCTACACGACATCAGACTCCTTTAACATCAAGTTCGCTGCTCTATTCAAATACAATTACATATATATAAAGACATGGTCTCCTACAACTTGCTCTTCTCAATGCGCTTGAACAAAACATCGCTATCCGGATATGGGTCCACAGTGATGTCGTTGAGAGGGTTAAGCTCGCTGGCCCTGTAGAACATATCCTCGTAGACCTTGCCGTCTGCGCGGCCCAGACTGCTGTCCAAGACCCAGTCGTCAAAGCCCCAGGCATCCACAAGCCTGACAGCGTGCGGGCGGATTTCCTTGAGCAGGTTCATGACAGTGTTGGTCCTCGCCAGTGAAATCTGGTGCTTGCTGCATGCGCCGGAGGCGTAGAACTCGGAGCCCTCCTGCTCAAGTGTGTGCAGAGCGAAGAGACGGAACAGCTTCATCAGCACGTCGACAATGTTCTTGTCAACCTTGCCCGCCTTCTCGATGTTCCTGAGCGCAGACAGGTTGTTCTTTACGACCATATACTGTGCGTGGGCCTTGCTGAGGCGGTAAAAGTCAACGAGCAGGTCGTTCCAGGGCTTTTTCTGCTCATCGCGGTGCTTGCTGGCTTCGAAGGTAAGGAACGAAACGCGCCAAGCGAAGGCATTGACTAGATCGTCGTCGTCGCCAATAACGTCGAATGCGCAGCCAATGTCGCGACGTGCATGGAATTGGGAAAGAATCTGAGTTGTGTCGTTCGTCGGCTTTTCTCCCTTGAGTACGGAACGGGCGGACTTGAGCATCTAGAGTACAGGTCAGTAAGGACTGATCACAATTAAATGGGATAAATAGACTTACATATCGCGCGACTTGCTGGGTCAACATGTAGTTGTCGCCCTCCCATGTGGTAGTGGGCAGGTAGTCGGAGTACCACGGCCCGATACCGCTGAAGCTTGAGTAGCCGTGGCCACCACAGGCTCGTCGGCAGACCTCGAGACCCTCTGCTGCAATCGAACTGCTAAGAGACTTCAAAGCACACGAAGAAGCGTGCAGGTCTGCCAACATGTCACTGCCAGATTGCACCTCCTCTGGCCCAGCTCCGCGCTTGCTTGGTGCGTTGGTAGCGGTGCCCTGGGCGATCCTCTTCTGGTTCTCCTGGTACATGTCCATCATCGACTTTCCAGTGAAATGTAAAGCAAAGGTAGCGGCAAGAAGAGGAAGTAACCGAATCTGCACCATGGTGTAGTTGAGAACAGCAGTCTCAGCCTCACCAGCGGGAGCGTCCCGATCCTGGAATTGCCGTCGCACAGCACAATAACGGGTTGCGATAGTAACGCCGCGAGCCAGCACACTACCGGCTTGCATGACGATAGTCGATCGAACCCATGTGAGGGTTCCATAGACGAGGGAAGGCGCGCCACGGCGTCCGAACTTGTTCGTGCTGGGGTCAACGAATGTGTAACGAGCCAGCATGCTGATGTGAGGGATCTTGACGTGGTTAAACAGAAGGAAGCCGTTGTCCATGGTGTTGTACCCGAATTTGGGACCGATATCTCCGATGTGGATGTTGTCGAGCGGCTCATGTGTCTTCAGATCACGGATCTGGACGCAGAATGGAGTCGGCCCGTATGATTTGCCATCGATGATGAGTTGAGCCATGACGACAGCGTGGTTAGCTGTGCGACCCAGTGACCCAATCCACCATTTGCTGGCGGTCAGATGTGGGGAGTGTATGGTGAAGGTCTTGTCGTCCTTGTTCCAAGTTGCGGTTGTTTCAAGTCCTCGGACATTAGAACCATGGCCAAGCTCAGTTTGAGCATAGCATCCGATGATCTTGTAGTCGTTGGCTTTGGTAAGCCACCTTTCCTGCTGCTCCGGCGTACCCTGGCCTTCAAGTGTAACCTGTATAGTGAGTAGAAGTCGCGCAGAGACAGAACATGGCGCGTACCTTGAACATAGAGTCATGGAGTCCGTATGGTCCTGGTTCACCAACGAGCTCTGTAGCAGTCCGGAACTCGTCAAAAGACCAATTGTGTTGCTTCTTCAGGATTCTGAGTCTCTTCTCCCTCGCGAGCGCCCTCTCGAACCTGTCGATTCTTCCCATGAAGTAGTTCTGCGACTTGTCGAAGACCTTCTCTGACTTGAGAATGTCAAGAATCTTGTTCCTCCTGTCGATGACATCTTGAGTATGTAGGAGGACTTCGAGCTCCTGGACGGGCACATTGGAGTTTTCGCGTTCAGCCTTGAGCAATTCGTGGCCTTGAATGCCCGAAGGCTTCAATTGTTTGACCCAGTCCGGTGTTGGCTTCATTGTGATAATAGATTGATGATGGAGATGATGGGCAGAGAGTGTGTTTGGAATGATGATTAAGTAGGATGTCGATCTTGCGCTACCTCGGACAGCCGAGGTTCAGATTTTGACTAGGCCGTATTCGGCGATGACACCACGATCCGGACCGTGCGACGGCTTATACCTGCGCTTCTGATAGATAATCTCATGAAAGTGCCGAAGCCAATGCCCCGAGCAGATGGCGAAGGAAGTTGGCGACACGGAGTTCTGTCGTTTGCGCTGTCGCCCTCATCGTGGGGCTTTTAGTGCAGATTCAAAGAACATTTGGGGTTTCTGGGGTACCGGGGTCCTCCGGCGGCACGCCCTTCTCACAGAAGCAACACTGAGTCAGTGCCATGAAAGTATTTCAGATGTTTGGTGTTGCTGCACTGTATCAAAAGGACCTCGGCAGCTCAGATCAAGAGTCCGCGTTCTAGCTTTGCCATGAATAATATATGGGGAGTTTCAGGACCACGTTGCACACGTATCTTGTGTTCCCAGTTACCCACGCAGCTGCTCATACGCAGCCATAGTATGGTGCCGCAGTAAACAAAGGGCCGCGCTTTGGCTGCTCATAGCTCCTGTCTCGCGCTACGGCGGAACGTATATCGCGAGTTTCGTGAGTGTTGTGTAGGAGGAAGGAACACCTTGCGTGCCAATCGGTCGGGTAGTACTAATCCGTCGTAGTGCATCATCAGAGCCCGACACGGAATCTGGACCCTGGGAAATGTCGCGCCGCAACGCGGCTGAGCAAGTGTTGCCGTTTCTATCGCGTTCACGGGACCAAGTTCATGTACAGTAAAGCTAGTTGTTTCCGAACTGTACTACTACATCCAAACTCTGGATATATGCACGATCTTTTGGGATTCAGCATAGTTGTGTAGAACAGACGACACACATTCAGAGCGCTTGATGCGAGACAGGTACAACTTGAGGAAGAGGGCTTCTTATGTCGAGTGGTGGAGCTATGCCTCAGTCAGAAAGGCCGATCAGCTCCAGTGCATCGAGGCCAGGCGGCGGCTGCTGTTGAGACGCTGATAGGGGTGCTCACGGCTTTGTGCGTGGCACGCGAGCTCTTGCACAAGTAAGCGGGCATCTAGGCGCCGGCTGCCTCGCCTTAGCAGAGCACCGCCCAGAAAGATGCACGACAAGGCAGCCACTGGCAATCTGAGCGCGTATTCCAGTAAGGAGGCAGCAATCCACAGCGACAGGAGCTGGTGGGGGAAACGGGACTGCAGAAAATGCGCGGCGTCATCGCTTCTGGCCTCGACCTAGCCACACCCACTAGCCCGCACGGGCCCGGCCTGACAGGTAGAGCAGCGTCACTCTTTGCCTACAACACCATCCGGCCTGTTTACCCCCGCGAGCTAGAGCACGCAATTCTTTTCTCCTGTCCTCTTCCTAAGGACCTACACTACGCCCACCACACGAGACCGGCCACTTACACAGTCGCCCCTGCGCCTAGCCACATCTGAAATCCCCCCACACACCAACAGCGCAGTTTGGAATTCTATGCCCCTAGGGAGACTCGCGATCAACCTCAGACTTCCCCTCGTCTACTCCCACAGGTCCTTCTAGGCACCGGACAACATGGGTCAGACACTCTCAGAACCCGTCGTCGACAAGGTAATTGCCTCCCAATGCTGGCCCCCCGCCCCCGCACCTGCGCTACTCCTCGCTCTATTTGGCAACAGTCGCCTGCATTGAGCTGCACGGCCGCGCAGGTCATCCTTCACATTAACACGACGCTAATACATTGCTTGCACAGAAATCCGAAAACGGCGATGGCGAGTCACTCATCTACGGCGTGTCGTCGATGCAGGGCTGGCGGATCAGCATGGAGGACGCGCATGCCACCGTACTAGACTTTGCAGGAGAAGCAGGCAAACCCACTGGCAACGACAAGCGACTCGCCTTCTTCGGCGTATACGACGGACACGGTGGTGACAAGGTGGCCCTGTATGCTGGCGAGCAGCTGCACCAAATTGTCGCGAAACAGGAGGCTTTCAAAGAGGGCGACATCAAGAAGGCTCTACAAGATGGTTTCCTCGCCACGGACCGCGCCATCTTGAGTGGTATGGTTCCCAGGGCACCCTCTCTTTAGTCAACAAGTGGCTGACTCACGCGAACAGATCCCAAGTACGAAGAGGAGGTATCTGGCTGCACTGCGTCAGTTGCCGTCCTTTCCAAAGACAAGATCTACGTCGTACGTTGACCCCTATAACATTCCTTGGCCAACTCTCACATCAATAGGCCAACGCAGGTGACTCGCGTACTGTCCTAGGCGTCAAGGGAAGGGCTAAGCCGCTCTCTTTCGACCACAAGCCGCAGAATGAGGGTAAGAAACATATATTATAAAGGCAAGCAGCACTGACATCTATTAGCTGAGAAGGCACGTATCCAAGCCGCAGGTGGCTTCGTCGACTTTGGCCGTGTCAACGGCAACCTGGCTCTATCGCGCGCGATAGGTGACTTTGAGTTCAAGAAGAGCGCCGACCTTCCTCCCGAGCAGCAGATAGTTACTGCCTTCCCGGATGTTGAGATACATGATATCAACCAAGATGACGAGTTCTTGATCGTCGCCTGCGATGGTAAGAAACTACAACCTGCTATGCTTGTGCGCTCTTATTGACTCCATACAGGTATCTGGGATTGCCAGTCTTCTCAAGCCGTCGTCGAGTTCGTTAGGCGCGGAATTGTCGCAAAGCAGGATCTTGCCTCCATTTGCGAGAACATGATGGATAACTGTCTGGCTTCAAACAGCGACACGGGAGGTGTTGGCTGTGACAACATGACCATGACTGTCATTGGTCTCCTACAAGGAAGGACGAAGGAGCAGTGGTACGAGGACATCGCAAAGCGGGTTGCGAATGGAGAGGGTCCATGTGCGCCGCCAGAGTACGGCAAGTCAGAAGATCCAGCCAAGTCCGCCTCAGAGAGCGAGTAGTTCAGTTCTAATATAATTGTGTAGCCGAGTTCCGCGGTCCCGGCGTTCACCATCGCATTGACGATTCCCCTGATGACATCGACATGGACTTGGACAGTCGATTCCGGCCGAACAACGGCAACGGCGGCCGCATCATCCTTCTCGGCGACGGTACCGAAGTCTCAACTGGAGACAATGACGGCGAGATGTTCGATAACGAAGACGAAGACAAGGATCTGGATTCGCAAGTCAACAAGTACAACCAGGACGCCAACGCCAAGTCTCGTGAGGATCGCGAAGGCACGCCAGGCCCTCAGCACGAGAGTAAAGTTCAAGTGACCGAGTCGCCCTCATCTGTACAGACGGAGAAGTCCGATGCTCCCGAGTCCCAGACCGACAAGAAGCCTGAGGCAGGCACAACCAAGACGAGCGAGAAATAGCTTGTCCCCACTTGACTTGGCCACGATTAATGATGTTTGGCTCGAAGGGTTCAGTTTCGATGCATGATGATATGCAATGTCTCTCTTATGGATGTTTTGCAAGCGACGATGGGTACGTTGGTTTCCTGTAGAATCAAACGACGGGTCATGGAAACGAGCCTCATGGATCGCAAGCGGGCAGGTTTACGAAATGATACCTGGCGGGCTCGGCCTTTGCCTTCCACTTTACCTAGCTATCACTTTGCTCATGATACAATGGTTTTATCAAGATGGTGCTTACTATGTCCTTCGTCTGTGTCTAAATTGGAAGCGTATGCAGTGCCCTTATGACATCACTTCTATAAGCCGCGTTCCATGGTATAGCAGAATGCGTGTTGCATCAGACGGCGCCGAGTTCCTTGCCTTTATGCGTCTACTCATTGCTGGCAAACAAGCTTTCAGATGCCCCACTCTCCCGCTCTTAGGTTGATTTCCGGCGTGCACCTAATCTGGGTGTCATCTTGACAGTCATCGTCAACGGACACGAATACACTCTGATCTTAGGAAGGTGACTCAAAATCAAGTGTATCGATCGATAGCGAGGTCTGCGTTCCAGCCATGCTACATGCAATTGCCGTTCGCATTGCCGTCCGCGAGTCCGGAGATAAGCTTGGTGTTCAGGGTCCAGTCCGAGTAGCATCACCTTTCGTCATAGTTTGCGACAGCTGTGCAAGCGTCACGATTATGGCGTGGATCCGAGAGTACCGGTGATACATGGCTAAGCGCAATCTCGACGCCTCTCCTTGATTCAAAAGACAGAGAAGCTCCTTCATTCCCTTCAAAATCCATAATCGAGTTCCTTCCCCAATTGCTCCGAAGTGGTACCTGACTGGCCACTTGCATCATGGACCCTGTAAATCCCAACCAAAAGGCCCGAACCACGCAGCAGTACGCATTGTTTCAGCGAAAGAACTTTTGGAAGTCTAACGAGGGCGAAGTACCAGTGTTCAACACAGGTAGGTATGCTTCACGTTCATAGCACTATCGCGCAAAGCTGATGTACTGTACATAGAACCGGGCAAACTCGAAGAATTAGCAAAAGAGAAACTCAGCCAAGGTGGCTGGTTCTACGCGTCTTCAAATGCCGGCCAATCGCACACCCATACCGTAAACAGACAAGCGTTCTACCGACATCGAATTATTCCGCGTATGCTGGTAGATACCAACCAGCGCGACACTGCGACCGAGATTTTTGGACACAAAGTTCCTGCGCCGATTGGATTTGCGCCTGTTGGTATCAATAAGATCTACAACCCAGAGGGCGAGCTACCCGTAGCAAGAGCCGCGGGCGCTTTGGGACTCCCTTACTGTCTCTCGACAGCAGGCTCACAGAGCATAGAGGACGTAGGCCGTGCCAACGATGAGGGTGTGAGGAAAGGACAAGGCGACACAGGCACCGCTGCCGGTGGCGGCGAGAAGGGGGTGAGATTCTTCCAGCTCTACATGCCGCACGATGACGAGCTTACTCGATCGCTCCTCCAACGTGCGGTGGACAGCGGCTTCACAGCCTGCATCCTAACGCTTGACACTTGGCAGCTTGGATGGCGACACGACGATGTCGCAAATTCAAATTACGCCTTCTACCATGGGCTTGGTGCAGATCTGGGCCTTACAGACCCCGTCTTCCAGAAAAGGCTCAAGGAAAAGGGCATTGACCCCAAGACACAGCCCAACGAAGTTGGTGCGCTTTGGATCGATAACGTATGGCATGGACGCGCGCATACGTGGGAGAAGGCTGTCTGGGCGATGAAACTATGGAAGGAGCTTAGTGGTGGCAAGCCGTTCTCTCTGAAGGGTATCCAGAGTGTGGACGATGCGAAGAAGGCTGTTGATCTGGGCTTCGATGGCATCGTAGTCAGCAACCACGCTGGAAGACAAGTCGACGGCGCAGTTGCAAGTCTTGACGCTCTTGAGAAGATCGTTGATGGTACGTCCAATGTGTGCTATCTCTCGTTACTGCATAGCTAACAAACTCTTCAGCTGTTGGCGACAAAATTTACATCATGTTCGACTCTGGCGTCCGTTCCGCATCCGACGTCTTCAAAGCGCTCGCTCTGGGCGCGAAATTCGTATTCGTTGGCCGTCTGTGGATCTGGGGCCTTTCGATCATGGGCGAGACGGGAGTTGACCATGTTATGCGCGGTCTCCTAGCTGACCTTGACATCTTGATGAATGTTGGAGGGTTCAAGCACGTCGGAGAGATTACGAAAGATGCGCTGGAGAGTGGGCCGAAGAGTTATCCGCTTATGCATACAACTAGTAAGTTGTAGGTCCTTGAGGTCCTTGAATGATACGGCTAGTTACCAAGTCCTCGCGAAGCTGGATCCGATATAGACACGCACTTGAATCATTCCTCGATAATGTATGCACATCAAGTTTCCCACCGCCTAGATATGTTGTTCTTGCTTTCTACCTTGTGTTTTATGTTTATACGGCACAGCACTCAACTCTGGCTTTTGCGAAGGCACTAGAGCATAACTTCTACATCAGCCGCCTAACCCGCCTGACAAGTGTGACTTTCGTACGAACACTATCACGATTCACTATTCACTTATGAGGAGCCCTGGGGCTTACATAGCGCTAGGCCGCTATAGGCTGACCGCCATAGGGCTGAAAGTGGCCCAAGCACTCCCGAACAAGACCAACTCCAACTCCCCTCAACGCGCAAAGCTCTCCAATCGTGATCGCAACTTCGCGCGCGTCATGTTCTGCAGTTGTCGCGCATACTAACACCGTCGCATTGATTGTACTACTAAGGGTTTCCGGTATACACAAAAGTTCATCCCTAATTTGTAACTAGAAAGAGACCCTGTAATCAAGATGTCGGTCATTCTATGCACAGGTACGTTGAGCTATCTCCCCCACATGTAGCAGACAAACGACTAACGTTCAATACCAGCCGGTTACGACCATACCATTAGGTTCGCACGCGTCTTACGCGCCATTGGCAGCCATTCGTACTGACTCCGAGGACTCTAGATTCTGGGAAGCGCTCTCCGGTATATGCTCCCGGACTATCCCGCACCCAGACTCCCAAGTCAACCGCCTTTGCATCTCGCCCGACAAGCGATACCTCGCCGCCGCCGGTCACCACACGGTTAAGCTTTACGATATCAAGTCCACGAACCCCAATGCGATCCTCACCTTCGACGGTCACACCTCCAACATCACCGGTGTCGCGTTCCACTGCGAGTCCAAGTGGCTTGTCACATCGTCTGAAGATGGCACGGTCAAGATCTGGGACACGCGATCAGGCAATGTTCAGCGCAACTACACTCACGGTGTTCCAGTCAACGATGTCGTCATTCATCCAAATCAGGGAGAGCTCATCAGCTGCGACCGCGGTGGTAACGTGAGGATCTGGGACCTGGGAGAGAATAAGTGCTCTCACCAGCTCATTCCAGAGGACGATGTCAGCGTGGCTAGCGTCACAGTTGCAAGCGACGGAAGCATGGTCTGCGCAGGCAACAACGCCGTGAGTCTAGCCAGATGAAAGTATCAACCCTTTGCTAACACCGCATGTTAGGGCAACGTCTACGTTTGGCGTATGATTCAGCGCAGCGATACCACCTCGATCCTCCCCATCTGCAAGTTCGTGGCTCACACAACTTACATCACCCGCGTTCTCCTCTCCCCCGACGTCCGTCATCTAGCCACCTGCTCCGCCGATCACACAGCGCGCATCTGGTCCGTCGATCCTACCGCTCCCCACAACGTTACGCCCACCGACAACCTGCCGGCAGCTAGCGAGCGTGATCCAGCTGCCTTCCCTCTGGAGACTACGCTACATGGTCATCAGAGGTGGGTCTGGGATTGTGCCTTCTCAGCCGATAGCGCCTACCTCGTTACTAGCTGCTCCGACCACTATGCGAGGCTGTGGGAGCTCGGTAGCCAGAGCATCATCAGGCAGTACAACGGACATCACCGTGGTGCTGTCTGTGTCGCGCTCAACGATACGGCCGTTGGCAACTAGGAGGTTCACATTCTACGCATGACCGATTAGCATAAAATGATACCCGCGATCACCCTAGCGTGCGAAGGACGAGTGACAAAAGGATTCCGGCATCTGCATCAGCGTTGGCGTTTTGGCACGAGGAGATGGAAGGGTAATGAGTTAATGACACTTTGGCGTTTACGGCGAATGAGGTAGCTTCTAATATGGATGCGGGAACGGGTCACCAAGGTCATCAAAGTTTCGCATCGACGCAAAAGCGACGATACGCCTGGAAAATGTGTTATAGCAGACAGATCAACGAATCTGAAAATGGAAATTCCCACTACGAACTCTCAACGCCCGCTGACATAGGTATAACAATCTTGAGGCAGATTCAATTCGCGTCCGCTGACTCTCCTCTTGAAGTGGATACCAGTTGCACAGACCTATCTCAGCTTATGGGCACTCCTTCTTCGCGCAAGCGTCCTACCAGTATGTTAGTTTCTTCGATCGTCTCCGCACGCCCCGAAACCTTCAGCTTACATAATTCTCAATCTTACTCTGTACGCACGTATCTATACTAACGTTCTTCTCGCATAAACACGACACGTGCCTACATTACACCGTTAGCATCGAGCTCAACATTGTACCCACACGACAATTGCAGAAATTGTGAGGTGGACGGGACAAAACGTACATCTCCCACTCCTTCTCGCACTTCACACACTCTGCCGGCTTAGACTTCCTCTTACAGCCCTCCACACTTTTGCTTTCCATTCCCTGTCCCCTCTTCACGTTGACGTTGGTGTCGGCACTCTCATCTTCCGCCACGTTGTCGCTCGCAGCGTCTAGTACGAGAGCCAGCTCTTCTGCTTCTTTCTCGGCGGCTGCGTCGTAGTACGTAGACGAGTCGTGTTTATCAGGAACTGCGTTGGCAAGGGCGCGTTTGCCGATTTTCCGAGGAAAAGAGGAACCGGTGCCGCCATCTGGGAGGTTGTTGTCGGGAAGCATGTTGTCTACCATTTGGCCGGAGCCGGAGCCAAAGCCATGGTCAGGGAAGAAGGCTGTGGGGAGGGGAGGAAGGGGGCTTGAGGCGTGGACTGGAACAGCGACTACCAAAGCGCTGAGGGTCGTGAGGAGGAAGAACGTAGGTTTCATGGTTGCGTGGTTGTAGCTGTGGTATAGTATAGCTTTCTGAATAAGTGAGAGCGTACGAGTCTGAAGAACAAGAAATATGTCGGGGAGGGTGATGGCATTTATCCTTTGAAAATTGATGTAGGTCTTCACGTCAACAGCTGTCATATCTCGGCCTGTCAATATTCTTGACATCACACTCTATGGATAGGCACATCACGACTCGATTATAACGTATGGTTCTTCAAACTAGACCTCAATCACCGATCCCGCCGTCTCTCTTCAAACTTCCTGACACTATCCCTGACCCCAAACCCATCCTTCAATAGCCCACCCACATCTTCCAGACCCAGCCCCGCCGTCTCAGGATATATCTTCCAAATAGTAATCTCCGCAATCACACAGACCACGGCATACAACGCAAACGTTCCAACAGGGGTGAAGATATTCATCATGGGCAGAAAGGTAATCCCGATAAAGGTATTCGAACCCCAGTTCGTAGCCGTCGACATTGCCGATCCAAGAGACCGCACAGAGAGGGGGAAGAGTTCAGATTGCTGCCAGGGCACGTTGCCCATGCCTATCGCGTAACCCGCGACGTATGTTATCATGGAGAAGAGGATGATGAGGGGCCAGATCTTGTTGCTGTTGTCGCCGGCAATGGTAGCGGCAGTGGCGGAAGCTTCGGAGGTGGGAAGGTCGATGAATAGGAACGCGATGGCGCAGAGTGCGAGACCGATTATCATGATAGGTACAGACCAAAGGAGGATACGGCGGCGTCCGATACGGTCGATGTAGTGGAAGGCTACCAGTGTGAAGAGAAAGTTTGTTACGGCGATGGAGAGCGATGTTAGGGTTGGCGATTCGAAACCCACGAGGCGGAAAATTGTGGCGGAGAAGTACATCAGCGAATTCTGAGAGTAATGTCAGCAGTTATCCCATACTCTGATACATACAAGTGGTACGAATAGGGTATATGTTGCTTGGAGGTGAGAGAGGAGACTTACAAAGCCACACAACTGCTGGAAGCCCTGAAGCATACACGCGATGATCAAGGCTCTACGATTCCCTCCAATGACAATCAGCTGAGAGAAGCTGTCTTGGACCCTCTCCTTTTTAGCTCTCCAGCCGATCTTAGCCATGTCAGGAGTACCTCGGAGTCCAGCCGCATCCTCCTCATCTTCGATTTCTTGCTCTACCCGCCTCAGCACGGCGTTCACCAACTTCGTCCCACTTTCCTCACTTTTATACACTCTGCCCAGCACCTTCCTCGCTTGTTGCGTCTTTCCAGCCTTTACAAGGTATCGCGGTGTCTCCGGCAGGAAAAACAGCATAACGAACTGTATGGCGGCCGGCAAAGCCCCCAAACCCACCATCCATCTCCATCCATGCAGTCTTTCCGAGAACAGCCATCCAACGATATAAGCGACAACCTGCCCACCAGTAATGAACAAACTGCTCACTACCACCAGCCGTCCCCGGAAAGGGCTAGGGCTGAGTTCCGAGATGTACAGCGGTACAACGAATGACGCGCTTCCGACTGCTGCGCCGACGATGGATCGACCCACGATCATGCCGCCAACACTGCTTGTCCATGCCTGCAACAGTGCGCCGAGTATGAAGAGAATGTCTGCGACGAGAATCACGGTTTTGCGACCGTATGCATCGGCGAGGATACCCGTTAGGGGCGAGGCGAGGAGTGCGAAGAAAGAGGTGCAAGACGTAATCAAGCTCTTGTCAAGGGTGGTCAGGGGTCGGGAGGAGAGATCGGTGTTTATGGAGATGAGGGTAGAGGATATAACACCGGTGCTGTGCAGCGTCAGTATGGTGTTGTTCTCATTTCTGTAGATGCCATAAGGCATGGCGCAAAACATCGCAGGAATCGATGCGACATACTCATATCCAAATAGCAATCCTGAAACCCCGGCGCATATAGTCAGACACCAAATAAACAAGCCCGGTGACACCAAGGCACTTTCGTCCACCTCGTCCTCTCTTATACTCGCGTCGTCGGCTTCATCGTAGCGGTCGCGTGCATCGTTCGGAACGCGGCGGTCGATGGAGATCAAGGGCTCGGCTGCAGCGTCATTCATGCTGTCTAATTCTACGTCTTCATCTGGGCGCTGCATACAGCACACACATACATAGGAAGCGTGTACGGGAGAGAAAGCAGGATGGGGCGCTGGCGGAGGTTATCTGGGGTAGTGTCGGAATGGCCGCGGGAGTGCGGAATGCTGGACACACGCTAGCGGGTGGGCCAGATCTGTGCCTGGTGATCCATGTCACCTGCAAAGTACGCGGTACCAGCGGCACCAGGAGATGACAATATTCGTGTTGCTTGCCGCCTACACAGGCACCTGTTCTCGCAAAGTTCTGTCTTATGCTCAAGAATCAAGTATCCATTACCATGTATGCTGTGCTCTCTTCAGCATATAATGACGCGGCACAGACTAGGTCATTCTCTTGTGGCGGGTCATTGCAGGCACATGAACGAGATTTGTGAACTTGATAGTATTGATAGTAATCCAGCAGCATGCGCTCACATGAGCCTGCTCTGCTTGCTAGTAATTTTCCACCCCAGCCCCCTGAACGCTGCCTTAAGGATGGAAAACGCCAAAGCGATTCTCATGAGTTGCTCCTTCCTGGCGCGTTGCGATCGCGTGTAGCGTAGTGATCGTCCCAGTTCTTTCCTTCTCTTGTCCCATATTACATGCCCATGGCCTGCAAGGTTGTCGTCCGTACCATAATCCTTTATGCACCCATCATGCCCAGTCAACGCCTGTCGCTATGCCTCAAGCCACTTATCACGGTGACTAATCAACCCACCCAAGCTAAGCGCATAGCAAAATCTGGTAAAATAGGCAAGGAGAGCATGTAATGAAGCTCAGGCAGCAGACCGCTGCGGACGCCGCTTATTTGCGGTGAACCTAGCTTGAAGGTTCTCATTTGGGCTCGGCATTACCGTCCGGTGCATGGCTAGCGGGGCCAGTGGGTGGAGCTTGGGGACCCGATGAGTGCTGTGGCATCATAGGTTGCGAGTAACTTCCGCTGGGTGTACCACGGTGTTGCTGGGGAAACTGGTGATGTTGTTGTGGTGAGCCGTAGTGACCACCTTGGTATTGTTGCTGGAAAGGTCCTCGCATTGGAGCCACTAAAGCGATGTTAGTCGACTATTGTACGAACAACGATGAATGTGTACTTACTGGCTCCTGGCTGCATTTGGTACATCTGAGGAGCTGGTGCACCTGGCTGCATGTACATCATAGGTGGTTGCTGCTGGTGGTGGCCTTGTTGCGATCCTTGATGGCTCATCATTGGTGCACCTGGCCTGGGGCTAGGGAATCCGTTGGCGCCCGGAGGCATGTGAGCCGGGTATTGAGGATACGCAGGAGCGGGAGCGGGAGAGTACATCTGCATCTGTGGATTACCCGGCATTCCCATGAAGGGTCCATTTGAAGGCTGATTCGTCATCATCTGGCCCCCCATCGCCGGCCCAGGACCGTTCATGAACTGACCGCCTTGTGGGTTGCGCATCGTGGCATGCTGCATGCCGGGACTCATACCATACTGCGGGACTTGTGGAGGATAGCCTTGCATCGGCTGAGGCTGTGCGCCATACATGTATGGCGCCATCGGGCGTGGTGAAGGCTGAACTGATGACGTCGAGTGTGAATATTGCATATGTTGTGCTCCGAAATGATGTTGATCCTGGCCAATATGCGGCTGTATCGGTGGTCCACGGGGAGTGTGTTGAGGTGTCGGTCCTTGTGGCATACCTTGGGCGCCTTGGAGATGAGGTGGTAACTGATGTTGGTGAGGCATGGGGCCGTTGGGCATGACATGCTGTGGTACTGACAAGGGCGCGGACGGAGGAGCATGATCAAATAGCTGCTCATATCCCTTGTTCGTGTTCGAAGAGGGGAAATCCCACGTAGGCGGGGTCTTGTAAGGAGGCGCAATATCGGAGTGATGCGACTTCTCGTTCGACTGCGCCTCTTTCTCAAGGCGTCCAATGGCATTGAAGGTCTTCAGTCCATCCAGTGATTTCACGGTGGGCTTCGGGCCTGTGAAGAAGTTGGTGACAGTGGGCTTGCGTACTTCTTGCCTCGACGAATTTGGCCTAGGACTGGAGGTAGCGCTTGGTGTTCCACCAGGCTGGAAGGTGTTTGCAGCTGGGTTGGGCTTGAACTCATGGGCGCGAACGTTGAACCTTGTAGACACGCTGGAAGAAGGCGTCTGGGCACCACTCGAGGGCTGTGAAGGACCAGTAGGTGGCATACGCATATCCTGAGCTGGTATCGGTTGAGGGACGCCGTTGTATGGCATGGCACCTTGCTGCTTATGCTGCTGGTGGTTCATCTGCAGACGGGTACTGAGTAGTCCTTGGTTACGAGGTGGCATCTGGTTCATGTTCTGGTGCGAACCCCGCAAAGAAGCAGACGCATAGGCTGGCTGCCCTGGTCGAGCACGTTGATTTTGTTGGCGTTCTGCGTTGGCGCTAGGTGATGCTTGGGTGGACTCTGGCTTGACAGCAGATCGTGCGGCAGCTTTGGGGTCTGCCATGGTGTTGGACGCCTTCGGGGGTGTAGTCTTCATTTCCTGCGCTTGTTTGTTGGCCTTGTCGACGATAGCCTGCTGCTTTGTCTCGTCCTTAGCGAGTATGGGCACAAGATCTGACGGTACTGGCGTGCTCAGTTTGAAGTTGAGCGCGAACTTCTTAAGATCGTTGAGCTTCACAGCCTTGTTCTCGCGGGCGAAAGCCCTCTGGCGATCGGAAATCCGTAGTTTCTCAGCTGCCGAGAACTGCTTGAAGGAGTCAAGCAGATCATGCTCAACATTGGTAGTGGCATCGTGTGGCCGTTCAGCTTTCCTAGGAGGGATGGCAGCAATCCCAGATTTGATCGTACTACTTGGCTTCTGCAGCTGCTCCGCAATAGCCTTGTGCGCATCAACGGGTTTTGATGCGGCCTTGGGTGCGTCTTTGCTGGGCTCTTGAGTTTTACTATGTTCAGGCGCAGCTGCTG